TATGGGAGATGAAGGTAGATTTAGACAGAAAGCTTGTCTTCCTAGATATAGCGCAGACAACGCTGAGGCCTGACATTGTGATATCATCGCAGCAGTCCAAACTCCTCATCGCAATAGAGCAACCAGTACCATTTGAAGAAGGTTGCGAGGAGGCCCATGAAAGGATGAAAACAAAGTATGATGAGCTGATGGCGAGGTGCAGAGAAAGGGGATGGACTGTGTGGCTATTTCCTGTGTAGGTGTGCTGCAGAGGGTTCCCGGCCCAATCCTTATGGATGATGCTGCAGACACAAGGGATCACAGGAGGAACACGAAGTGCAGCCATCAGACGTTTGGCAGAAGCTGCAGAGAAAGCATCGTGCTGGCTATGACACAGACGAGATGAGCCTATGTGGAAGCCAATGTAGACGAGCAGGGGTTTGGCCACCACTGCTGACCCACCAGCGGGAGGATGTTATGGTTTAGGGTCGAAACATCTGAAGAGGGCTGGAAACCACCTGATGACGTCGACAGAGGCTTCGCAGTGGAAAGATACCAGTGACATGCTACACACAAGGAATGTCACAGATATCAGAATAAAATGATCTGTTAGTTATCGTCGTATGGTTGTATGTGGTCAGGAATGATCAATAATACAGGGTTTACCTTACATAAAGGGCGTTACAGCTATGAATTTTCCCTAGTGACAGGGTCCGCAAGAGACTAGTGTACTTTAGGTCTGATCCATTCTTTGTAAACAACTATTTTTCCTAATGTCTTCCTGGAAATTGTCTCACTTTGACCTACGGACGAGTGTACGCTAGTGGGAGGAAGGCGTGTACGTAGTTTCACTTCTTTGTAACCAAATAGGGCTATATTGAAACAGAGAAAATAAATACTCGGAAGAGTGCACCCAGCCAGACTTACAATCTGGTAGTGAACGTCTAAAATGTGTATAGGATAATTCTGTATTTCCAAGAAAAAAATGGAAAATTCATTTTTTTCAGGGAATCACGAAAGTCAATTTTACCAAACCCGCTAAATACCCATTTAACAAATACCCTAACACTGTCAATCTGACTGGCATTGCTGCAATAGATAGAAATAAATCCTTTCATCGATTGCACCTTTCATACCCTCTACTCATGTCCGTGTATAAATCACGCCCCCCCCCCCCCCCCCCCCCCCCCCCCCACTCCCCTACACACACCCTCCGTGCTCTCCATCCTTTATATATACCATGCCAAATATTGCGAATTGCGAATGTGTCTATAAATTCAATTCATGATTGTAAGAAAGACAGCTGGATACGTTTTGCGGCTAGCAATGTAGAAGGATCACGTGGCCAATTTGTTCCTGTTAGATATGGTTGAACTGTCACCTGGATCAACCAACCATGAAAATACTAGAGTGAAGTATTATAATCATGATGAGTTTAGTAAAGAAAAACCATGGACATGTGTCCGAAATAACGAAAATAGACATTAGTATGTGTCTCCGAGACAAGACCATAGAGTCGGCACGTGTACTGTATCAGAGTCATTGTTTCATGATAGAATTCCGTCCTTGTCGTTAAATATTTTGAACAGAAGAATAAATTATCTATCGTTTCTATGTTACCTCGGGACTCACTTTTGTTATTTTTTATTTAGTTACCTACAGGTTTTCCGTCTCTATGACTCCTTCCGTTGCCGGGTATCGTCTCACCGACGAACGCCAGTATTCTGGCGACGTGCCTACAACGTTGGTTGTTTGGTTGGTTTTCCCGTCTCCTCGACTCCTCTCGTAGCTAGGTATCGTCTCGCCGACGAACGCCAGTGTTCTGGCGAAGCGCCCTTTGTGATATATTTTTCAATATAACATTCATATCGGTTAATTTTGTCTCAGTCTTGTACTGATGACGTCATCTGATTGATTGTAACCACGTGGGTTTGTCTAAACCTTGTCTCTCAGGGGAATGCTTTCCTAGCTAAGTTGTCAGTTCCTTGTAATCGAGAATATACGCAAGTTTGTTTTGTGTAATATAACTTTTAGACACGTTGACGAAATCTGGTTGAATTTGGTACTGAACTACCTCCGGGCAACGTGAAAATGTTCTTTTGTTTAGAATTCAGTCGACCGTGACCCCGCTCAACGCTGCTTTCAGCAGATTTTTCAAGAAAGCGTGCATCCAGGATACTACTTCCGATTTGATCTGGTAAATCAGTACAAATCGAACACTGTAAGAGATCAGCTACAAAATATTTCTTTTCAAAGCGAATGTAGAGCGAAATAACAATAAACACCTTGATGGGGTCAATGTTAAGGAGAGTAACAGCAGCGACTGAAGCCACGAGTGGACACACACGCTACTGATTTGAATCAGGAAACGGCGTGGAGTACCCTTGTTTTAACGCTATTCACGACCTCATTATACTGATTCTACTAATACCTTGTTCGTCTAGAGTGACAGATCTCGTGTTCTTCACTGTGTCTACAGATTGTAGTAGATTGTCTGAGAATTATTGTCGTGTCTCGTTTGGATTGATCAATCTGTCTTTCAGCTACGCTTATAGCTATGAGTTCACTGAAATAAACAGACCAGTTGTGTTGTTGTCGGAGAAGAGAACTCCTAAACTTAATCTGCCTGCGCTTGTATTTCAGACAAACCAGTTTTCTGTGATTGTCGTGGATATTGCTTTGACTCCAACTAAGTTGTATTTTTCATCGCGTGATTAAAGGGTTTCTTAATTTAACCATCGCTGTTTAGATTTAAATCTATTTTATTGTAACAAATACAATAAGATTAAGCACAAGTCTTTCAACTTATGTTAAATCCTTTCCATAAAAAGTTTGACAAGATTCATATTGACAAGACATGTTTAAATACAAAATTACACACAGAGATGGGGGAGGGGGGAAAGGGGCTCGGCTGGTCTCTTCAATTAATTTACATGTGTATAAGGTAGAAACGTTGGTCCGTTCTAAACTAATTTATCAGAGGAAGTGTTGGAGACCATTCGTCCAACCCGGTTAATAAACCATAATTAACGGTGCACGTGATCTATATATAACATTAATAGTCCTTGATGCATTTCCAACTGGTTTATATCCAAGGAGGTCTAACACACTAACAATACTGATAGAAGTCGGATTGTAAACTTGTCATCCATAGTCTATTTTAATCTTCTCAGTGTTCTCGTTATATCAAAGACCACGATATTTCATCAGTTCGTATTTCAGTCTAAAACAAATCAGTTATAATTGCAATCTGTGGAATTCCGTCAGTCACTCTCGGCACACGACAAAGATGTGTATTCTGATAACTGTGTTTTACAAGCCTGTTACCAAGATATGCTAGAAAGCGAATGGTTATATGGTGTGACAGATGAGCTTTTTGTATTGTGTGTGGGGCACATTTGGCAATATTTTGATACTTTTACACCTGATTATAGTATAAACATTAACAAAACTAGATCGTTCGAGATCTTTAAACAAGAGTCTAATGAAAAGATCAATTTATCATGCAAATGTGCCCTGTATGTATCAGTGAGGAACTTTGTTGTCAAAAATATCTTACAAAATCTGTAGCAAATTCTAATTTGAAGGCAATAGCAAAAATCAAATTATCATCTCACAAATTGAATATTGAATTGGAGGTACAATAATGTATGTGGGAATACTAGAATCTTTGAGGAGGGGGTGTATTTTTTTAATACATGAGAAATTATATACTCATACGTGTAATTAGAGAAAAACAGAATTATTATTTCAAGAGTTGAAAAACATTGTGTTTTGAACTTTTTCTGAAAAAGAAGAATACAGCTAAAGATAAGAAATGCTGGAGGAAAGGACAGAAATAGAAGGTCAGTGCCAAAGGATTAATAAAGATTCCTTTTTTCAAAATACTCATAGTATGATAGAAATATTTCATATAATACATTATATATGGAAATTTTTTGAAAATTCAATACAACTTGTAAAAAAAGGGGAAAAAATCCCGGTCTAGACAAAGCTAGTTATATGGCTTTTATCTTTTAATTATGTGGTTTCTAATCACATTTCCCGGTTTTTTTTTTCATTTTCGTTTCATGTTCAGGAGATCATTTTCACCTTTGTTACAGCTATCTCCTTTTGATTGGTATCTATATCTTTAATAAGGTTCTTTAGGGCAGAAATGAACAATGTAGTTTGCAGACATCCAGCCTTGTATATATAAAGTTTCAAGATCACAAGATTAATAAGTTATCCACACTGGGTTTTTTTTTTATCATTTAACCAAAGATAAAGGATTCCCAATTAAAAGCATATTGGGTCAATATCACATCTAATAAAGACTCAAAATTTGATGAAAAATGGACTTCTTCACAATCCGAAAGTACATGAACAATGGTTTAATTTTCAGTTTTACAATAGAAACAAAATGGACAATCAGCCTGGCCAATTTTATATAAAGATATGTTAGTCGCCAAAATTTGTTGATTAATTCTAAATTGAAGCCTTTGTAACTTTGTATCTCTGCAAAGTCAAATATTTCCTCTCATTTTTCTCCCGGTAGATATGGAATATTTTTGATTAAGTATATTATTGAGATCTTTCATTTCCCTTTTTATTCTTAATAAATGATTCTAGATTAATTGAGACATATGGGTAACTTATATTCACATTTGAGATATCTTTATGCAAAAGGTATATATGTTAAATTTCTGGGGAAGCTCTTTTTAAGACATCTTTCCAAAACAATATTTTACAGTTTGTTGGAATTTATGAGTACTGTGAATGGTTTCCTTCAGAGACATATATAACACATATAAGCCCCTGTTTTTATTTAGGAAAAATGAATTGTAATGCTAAGGGAACTTGGGCAAGTCTACAGGTGCGTTCAGCCTCAGGTTCAATCTCGTTTCGCGCGAGAACCAACATTAACTTCGTCATTTGAGCGTTTGAACAGAACGTGATAAAAGCATTTACAAGCACTTGTACAACCATGATCATTGTTTACTTCACGTCCAGGGTGAGGGGAATAACACCATCGTTCACGGGAGACAGATATTCATTCATCATGATCTGAAGCTCACCACCTCTTGCGGCGACGGATTTATAAACATCTTTGTCCCTTCTCTTGTTAGGTAGCACTTGCAAATTTGTTGTACGTGAAAAATGCATACTTACGTTCTTTATGACTGATTGCTGTTCTGTTACATAGCTGTACTTGGAGACTGAATGAACTGTGATTTATACAAGCTTTTATTAACAAAATTGCAAAACGATGCTTTGAAAACAGAAATGTAACAGACATGTGATTTGGTCCTTGGGAGGGTTTGTAAAACTCAAATAAGTAGGTCCCCTTTCTTTCCATAGCATACATTTTCGTTCGGTCATTCAACTGTGCAATGTAAACATGTACAATTTGACTTTTTGCCAGAAAGTCGTTGTCTTTATTCTGTTTAAAGCCCAATAAGTATTCCTTACTGGTAGGGCCTAAGGAGACTACTGGTCACCTACCTGTTGTCGGCAAGTATCAGTTCTTGCCAATACCCGTGAAACACATTTGCGAGAACGTGTACTTGGCAGATATACAAATATATAAATCTGTGACCAGTAACTTACATTTTACAAACTGTTTTAAAGCTAGTTACATACTGGTAAAATACTGGCATACAGTGCTCAAAGTGTAGGAAACCTAACATTATTATTATCATCTTTTATTATTTTTTAACAGTGTTTAGTATTCAAAGAAAAGATTTGTGCATAACACTTGCTGTTGTAAAATTCAGGTAGAGAAAACTCACCGGTGTGTATATTGTGAAATGCATCTTGTAAAGACATGCTATAGAAATAATGGAAGCTTAAAGTATACCTGCAGTGTTTTGCTATATTTAGCTATAAAATACAGATACTTCATATTAGAAAAAAAGGTCAAGAAAGTGTGAGCTTCCTAGTTAATCCTGTTTCCCAGTTTTTATTTATCTGAAATGCTTACCTTTGACTCAATGGTGACTGCCTCGCTATGGGTTGCCCACATCTGTGACATACAAGTTCAACAATGTCAAAGTAGCCATATAAGGAAGTTTCCATCATGTGTTCAATATGCTATCTTTTTGTTCTATATTCTATTGACACTTACTTCTGGAGGTCATATTGTACATACATATAGAAATGACTTTTTGCAATTTCAGTTATGAAATTATTAGTTTCTTTTAAGTGGACAAACAATGAAATGTATACAAGTGTGTGACCACATAAGCAGATGCTATCAAAATTAATCTGTTTTCATAATTCATCAATCAAGTGATCATGACCGTAAATGTTTTTGATATCCAGTTAGTCTCTTGAAAATATGACCAACTCCAAATTTATATACATACTTATCCAGGTCTGTGATTTATACAACACAAACCTATAACAGATTCACACAAATTTACAAAAACTTTCCAAGCACCCCTTTCTTTACAAATGGAGATGTACTATCTGAACAAATATACATAACATACATTAATCCACAAAGTAACTCTAAATTCAGGTTACCCCCTACCCACCTGCTCACATCCCACTGGTCTCACACCTTGACACAGGTATAAAGGTGTATAGTGGGCCTCTTGCCGTGACAGCACATAACACAAATGTGTTAATATTATTTACCTGTACAGAAATTTTACACCAGGGTAGACTAAGGAGTTGATTGAGACGATTTAATTAATGAACCAATATGCTAAATCATAATTTGTATATATAAAGAACATTTTTGAGAAAATCATAATTACGGAAATATTTTATTTAGATCTGTTATTTAATAAAGCATCTCATACATAAGAACTGTAAAAAAAGAATCCAATATTTTAATTGACGATATTTTTTGTCTTTCCCTTTGTAGATTGTGCTCTATATACTAACACCCATAATGTCTGGATCATTATCAGTGGTGTCTTTTGAAGGGGAACTCAATGCCATTGTTCAAGAGGTAATGTATATCACTAGAATCCTATTTGTTTGTTACTGCTTCAGAGAGGTTAAAGCAGAGAGGTTTAAAACATACTGGAATACCAGGTATGGGTGTGTAACTGTACATGTACTGTTCACAGAGGTTAGAGACATACAAGAATACCAGGTATGGGTGTGTAACTGTACATGTACTGTTCACAGAGGTTAGAGACATACAAGAATACCAGGTATGGGTGTGTAACTGTACATGTACTGTTCACAGAGGTTAGGTAATGGGTGTGTATGTATCTGTTCACTACAGTACCTATGGGTGTGTTGTACATGTACTGTTCACTGCTTCAGAGAGGTTAAAGCAGAGAGGTTTAAAACATACTGGAATACCAGGTATGGGTGTGTAACTGTACATGTACTGTTCACAGAGGTTAGAGACATACAAGAATACCAGGTATGGGTGTGTAACTGTACATGTACTGTTCATAGAGGTTAAAGACATACAGGAATACCAGGTATGGGTGTGTAACTGTACATGTACTGTTCACAGAGGTTACTATGGGTGTGTAACTGTACATGTACTGTTCATTCAGGAGGTGTGTAACTGTACATGTACTGTTCACAGAGGTTAAAGACATACAGGAATACCAGGTATGGGTGTGTAACTGTACATGTACTGTTCAGAAATAGTGTCTTACTTACCTGTTTTAATGAAATGTGCTCTAAATGTTGGCTCATGATTCAAACAATGATTTTACAAAATTGTTATCAATTATTTCTTTGATGATGTCAGAAAAAGCCTTAGAATATCCACGTGATCTTCCTAATTTTTGGTTTTGTTTTGATGCACAATCTATGACTCATTTTCTTTTTCACTCCAGTTTTTGGACTTTGGAGGATTTGACCGTACATTATCAACTTTCCAGAAAGAATGTGATCAAAAAAATAAACCTGTGACATCCCACAGCATAAAATCTAAATCTAACCAGAAACTGCTGGCGATTCAGGTAACACCTTTCTGTCTTTCATATAGGGGCTGATGTCTCCTTACCACAACCTAACTCATTGGACCAGTATCATTGTAATTACTAGCTGCTCACCAGGGAATACATCATCTGTTCTAATCAAGAAACAGTCAATGTTCACATCTGAGAAAGTAGTCACAAATATTTATGAAAATTGTGTTTTTTGACCATTCTTCACTGTTTTATTAAATCCCTCTTGTCTTCAGCTTGTTGTGATACTGTTGTGATGGTTTTCATGCTACCAGAATTTTCACAACCCTCTGTTTTTCTGTTGTAGAATGACCTTATGCAGCAGTTCCATAAAGGGAAACGTGACAAGTGCTTCAAATTGTGGAATGAAAATCTGCCACCAAATGTCAGAGATTCTGATGCAGTGGCAAAGAAACTAGAATTTTACCTCAACATCTACTTTGCTATTTACCCAATAAAGTTTGGCAGAGGACAGGTGAGAAAATAAAGGGAAATTAGAGATTGATGAAGTTTGGGGAAATATGTACCACTTTCTTCCATATGAATCAACCTGTGAATATTCTACACAAATTTTGGGAATGATCTATATAGAACATTATTTCCTTCAAAAAGATTTCAATGAAAATAGCACTTTTTCATACCAAAATACCAAGGGAGATAACAAGAGAAAAAGTCAACAGATGTAAGAATAATTCTGTTTGATTTCCACACTAAACATATATCAAATCTACATGTTATGTTCACTTCCATTACATCCTCCTTTCAAATGTTCTAGCATCTTATCCCTCACTCAACAAAGTTTGAGGAAGACTTGATATTGAAATAAACTTGGCCCTGTCAAGAAAATATGAGTGCTACAGGACTGATACTTACATATGTAATATAGGTTACAGATGCTGAATTTGACCGACATTTCTTACTCTTTCTATGTAAAAATCTCATAAGGAGGCATTGCTTAGTCCAGATAGGGAAGCTGTTAGTGCTATAAGAATTATGCTTTCCTGAAAGGTATTTTCTACAATGTTACTGATATTGCCTTGCTGAATTAGCAATGTAATCTACTCCAAAACCTGTACATACAGTATTTAACCTGTATTTGTACATATCTGTATCCAAACAGAGAGAAGCTGACCGCTGTATGACAGATTTTAAGAAGTATTTAGAGAACCGTGGTGCATCACTGAGCCAGACAACAGAGTTTCTGCCATTCTATGCCCTTCCTTTTGTGCCTAATGCCAAGAGTCATCCGTCCTACAAAGAACTCTTCACTGTAAGTAGATTAAAGTTCAACGAATTAAAAAGACAACAGGTAATCAAGTTTTTGAAGATTTTCAATTTTATATATTTAGTCATGTTTTTGAAATACACAAACTTTAAGGATGAATTTTGCAATTAATTGGAAAATGACAGTTTTTAAGTCATTGTTTTGTTTTTTTAATTAAATCTTTATTAGAACAACTGTAACTTTTTTTTTTGACTGAACCATGTCAAAGGGTCAACAGAGAAAATATCCAAGAACCAATGTCCTGCTTAGTTCCTGTGTGTGTTGTGGTTCATCTACTCTTAGATAAAGATAAATAAACCAGTTGCTCCTCTTCATTCCTGTTTTCAGCCATAAACAGATAATGCTTATTTGTTGATGTTCTTGGTGACCAAACATAGCAAGAATGCATGTTTCATTGTATGAACTGCTGTATACTTCTCTAAAAGCAGGACCTCATCAGCTTCTTTTATTTTCACTCTGTCCAGAGACACCATTCTTAATAAAGTATATTTGTGACCAATCAGAACATAATTTTATATCTAATTTAATCTTCTACATTGTCAAACTAATAACGAGTCAAGCTGTCAGAAGTGATTTTCTTACATCAGTTTTAGTAAAAATTCTACTTCTCATTTCAATAGCAGGAACTCTACTCTCTGACAGTTGTTAATCTGTCACTGCTGACATTGCCTATCATCTATGTATATCTAGATGAAGGTTTTGGAAAAGCTTTCAGATGTATTCTTATAATTGTTGTACACTGTAATTTCTTCATCTGTTTTAGGATGCCTGGGTGAAGGATCTAGAGAATAGACTGGAGAAGTTCCTCACCTTAACACTCAAGTCGACACCACAACCTAAACTCTTTGATTTATATGTATCCTTGGCAACCTAAACACATCATGGCCGATGAAATTTACCTGAAAGAAATGTCATAAGACAATGTGTTAAAGAGATACTCTTTTTATTCCATAGAATTATAATGTAATTAAACAGATGTTGTGAGACATACTTAGATCTGTGTTGATCAATCCTAGAACAATTCAACATGGTACACCATGTTGACAAATCAGAACGCTAGTTTACAGCAGCTGGATTACATTATCTGGTTTCGACTTAATTACTGATGATGTTTTTGTAAAAAAAAACAAAGGACAGATTCCATAATGTAATTTTTAAAATTGTGAGATTTTTTATGATATTCATAGATTCCTTAACAGTTTTGTTCAGCGTGGCAGTAAACATGGCGATGACAATGGTGAGTAGATGTAACATCATCTGTTTATTTGGTATCTAGGGCAAGTTCAATCACCATCTTTAGTTACTTAAATTGTGCTATAGTAAGGTTGAACTCACTTTGGTAGCTTGTATTACACATGTATAGTGAAAAGAGTTGTGCGTTTCTAGACAATTACAGCTCAAAACGATATGAAATGGTCAGACCAAAGCACCACATTTACCCTCATTTGGATGCATGGCAGTGATTGGTTGGAGTTGACTTGTGTAACCACATAAGATAGAACAGTCAGACTATAGATGGAACAGCCAGCCTAATGGTGGAGCAGCTTGACTATAGATAGAACAGCCCGACTAATGAAAGAACAACTTGAGTATAGATAGAAAAGCCAGACTATAGATAGAACAACCTGACTACAGATGGATCAGCCAGATTAATGATAGAACAGCTTGACTACAGATAGAACAGCCAAACTGTAGATGGAACAGCCAGACTAATGAATGAACAACTTGACTATAGATAGAACAGCCTGATTATAGATGGAACAGCTAGATTATAGTAAATGGTCAATGATTGAACTTGCCCTTAGCATGAAATGACCAGATGTTTTGTTGTTTAATCAAAAGGTTCAATATGATATCAATGTTTGTAATGAGTTGCGAAGTTGTCTTTGAAACAAATATGTAATACTGAAATTATTCACCAGGACATTGACTTCTGAATTGTACAAAAATACTCATAAATACATAAAAAGTGCATTTTATATTCAGAAAACTTGCAGGTTACTAGTTAGTAAAATATCATTATTGATATCAAACTGGGGCTCCAGGTAATAGACTTTAATGAACATTAATTTAAATGATATTAATGTTTTAGTAGGCAATGAAAAACATTTATAAATACACCATGTACTTCCATTAAATACCACAAAGTAAAACAACCCACAACATGATACTGACAGCTTCATCCTAATATATTCAGGAAGATAATTCCGGTTAAATTGGACAGTTAACTGTTGGTAAGTTCAGTTTGCAGTCTGGTGCAAACTCGTATTCTGGCTGATTTTGGTCAGAAACAAAGGTGTCTGAATTATCAAGTGTCCACCATATGTATGATAGTGGTGTTCAATTCTGTTTCTAAAATATATGTCTTTATCAGATAATTTCCAGCAGATCTCCCGCCTACAGCAACAACTTGTGGATGCTGAGAGAAAGACAATGTCGTACATTAAACGACACAATCGTCTACAGGTACAGCAATCATATATATATGTATATATGTATGCATGGGCATGCTCTCTTCACACTTTTTCAGCTGCTATGTACTAAACACACACAAATCCTCATCTCACAGCTCCTGTCACTGTAGTCACAGATTTATCAATACTTTGATGTAATGGCTGTCTTTCTGTGTTATAATACAAAGGAAAATTTACTGTGAAATATCTACATTTCTACATAAATGGTTTTAAGAATCTGTGATGATGCTGAAATACCTTTATTCTTACCTTGTGAATGGAGATAACATTGTGTAATCTGGAATACAGTCTGTAACCAGGGCAGGAGCTGATGTTTGAGGAACTTCGCTGTCCATTCCATCTGACACTTAACCTACTCTCACAAGGGTGTTACATGATTTAGGGTGTGTGTCTACAATCCTGTTACACATCTCCATACAAATGGCCAACTAATGCCTGTGCACACTAATATCTGATTATAACTACTTACTGTAAATCTAATACGTTTTTTTATCTTTTAACACCAGCTAGGGCAACGTTGGTGAGTAACAGATATATAGTTTACCATGACAACCAGATGTTGAATTGTTAGCTCGGTCATTTAGTATCCATGGTTACCAAAATATTTGTTAAATTTAAAAGTGTTGTGTCTAAATTTTGACTTCCGTGTCCCATTGTCCGAGAGAATGAGTATTTTTGGTAGTGGCTTCTGGTGTAGCTTGCATCAATATTTTTATTGTTTGTTGTTTTTGAATTTAGATGTTTATTTGATCTTTACATTTGTCTTGAATTTCTATGAATTCTAAATGTTTTTTTCATTGTTTTTTAATTTTGTTCATATTTTCATATCTATGTCCACTCAATTCTTCAACCTTTAAAGTTTTAGAAAGCCAACCAAACAATATCTTATACTTGTGTTTTTGTTTTGTCTCAGTAATAATGATGATATTTTAAGTTTTATGCCATGATCAAACATCCCCCACCCACCACTAAAATAGCCATTCAGAACAAATTGATTGTGTTAGTTAGAAGGTCGGATTATATTTTGTGATGTATTTGTCGTTGGCCTGTTGTTCCCTCTACTGTAGTCAGACTTATCAATATCATTGATAGAATGAAGGAAGTTTTAAATTCATGCGTATGTTTCTGTGTTATTGTGCTTCTAAAGTAATAGTGAAAGCGGCTCGCCTCTTAACTTGTCAGGCGTATAAATGTTTTATTTTTTCTTGTGTGCTGTGTACCTCTTTATGTGTGTAGACCCTTGTTTTTAAAGGACCATTATTTTGTTATGACAAATAGGTACTAGATAACATGAGGGCAGCCACAAAGAAGTAGGATCTTTTCGTTATTATTTTTAGAATTCTAAGAAGATATAGGGTTTTTTACATAATAGCCCTAAGTACTGCCCAGATATGTTTATAGTCTGATTAATGACATAGATGTACATCAACAATACCACACACTGGGACATTTGGAATGGCTATTATCACACAATACCACACACTGGGACATTTGGAATGGCTATTGTCACACAATACCACACACTGGGACATACGGAAATTGTCACACAATACCACACACTGGGACATATGGAATGGCTATTGTCACACAATACCACACACTGGGACATATGGAATGGCTATTGTCACACAATACCACACACTGGGACATATGGAAATTGTCACACAATACCACACACTGGGACATATGGAATGGCTATTGTCACACAATACCACACACTGGGACATATGGAATGGCTATTGTCACACAATACCACACACTGGGACATATGGAATGGCTATTATGTTTGATCTGATCATTGTTTATAGTAATTTTGGACCATTAGAAAAGTTCATGTCAAATATTTGGCCATCATAAAGATTTTATTTTTTCAGATCTAATATTAGTGATAATTCTTTGCCTTGTTTTACCCCAAAAATTGCTTTTAATCTAGCCTAAAATATATAAACTTTATTTATTTTACAACAATTGCGAAACAAGTTATGTCAACTTATACTAATCACTCTTGTTGGCCCGGATGTAAGCGCGCGAGGGTTTGTCTTATTGTTTATAGTAATTTTGGACCATTAGAAAAGTTCATGTCAAATATTTGGCCATCAGAAAGATTTTATTTTTTCAGATCTAATATCAGCGATAATTCTTTGCCTTGTTTTACCCCAAAAAATTGCTTTTAATCTAGCCTAAAATGTGTCACAGTGTTTCCTAAAATGAAACAAAAACCATCAATATTTTCCCAAATTTTTCAGAAAACTATTTTTCTCAGTTTTCTCAGCACAGGCTGCTGTAAAATCAAGAGAGGAAAAACACTTACCATTACAACAACATGCTTGTAGGATCCATAATTCCAAACTTATGACCTTACTATTTCTTCATTGTAAATATGTCTCATTTCACTGGAAATGAAAACTTTTATCATAACCTTGTACTGTGATATCAGATATTTCTGTGGTGCTTAAATGTTGTCATAATTACCCTAAAAATATCAGTAATTGGTTGGCACTTAATTTTGTAGGTAAGTGGTACCCAGCAAAATCCACCAGTAAAAATTAATGCCAATTTTAACTGTGTATCATTCTGTGATTTTATTAATTTGTTTGAAGTAAAAATACATAGAAATAAAACCTCCATGAATGTAACAGTTGTACAGTACATGACAAGCACAGCAGCCATGACCTGGAGTTGATCAGCTAAGTAGTTATAATGGAATAGCCTGGCAACATTATTAATCCTCAATCCAATTGTTCTTCATACAGACAACACCAAAATCATGCTATCACCCACCTTTGTAGAAGCCTATGCTATTTTCTGATTGTCTACGGGAGTATATATCTCCATTATACTACGTATATCGCTGCGTATTTTCAGCTTGTTGCATTTTTGATTAAATAATTACAAATTTTAATTCTAATTTTATTTTTTAAAGATTAAAGCTTGTTGCACAATTATACATATATTAATTATTCTGAATGTTGCTAGCTTTTATCCTATTTTTCTTTTTCATTTTTCATCTTTAATTTTTTTTAACCAATTACTTAATGTCTGCTCTACCTTCCTATCTCAAACTTTCACAGAGTTATGCCCCCTTCTTCTTACTTATGTCACAATACTTTTTAGAAAATTTCTAAGAAATCACTGGTTGGCTTTTGTTCACTGAAATAGGAGAGATTTTGACTTATCAGTACTCCTTTAAAAAATTGCATAAAAAGAGTAGGCATGTAATATTACTGTAGGTAATGTGGTTATCAGAGACGGAAAACATCTTAAGACTGTTAGGTGAGATGAGTTGTCCATCAAGATATGAAATTTGTCTAAAGAAAATAGATTTTTTTCCACTTTCTGATTCAATGCATTCATTCCAGTTTGCATTATTGATCATGTAGAATCATATTTTATGGTTGTTTGTTTTCTCTGCTGGTTGAATTAAAAAAAAACTTTTCAAACAGCCATACTCCGAATCTCAAACAAGTTTGGTATTTAACAATGACTTCTATGCACAGTTACATGTAATTTTTTGTACTCTGTATATGTAATGTTCATTTAAACAAAGAAAATGACTCATTGTTTCCTACTATAGTGTACATTTATTATCTCATCGTCAGAAAAAGGAATTACATGTACAATTATTATATTTCAAATAAAGTGACATTGATACAGAAAATACATGAAATATAACTTGTTATTTTATCAGGCTGACTACCACAACCTTATAGGGATAACAGCTGACCTGGTGGAGGCCCTGGAGTCTACAGTCACAGGAAAACCAGTATGTAATGTACCATACAACGCAGTGTCCTTTACACATAAGGATTTATATTGTGATGTTACAGTATGTAGAAGTACTGCTCTGATGTCAATCACCTCTGCAATTTTCTGTTTGAAACAAGAACTGTAGTGTATATACAAAATGAGAATCATTGAACCGAACATTGAAATATTTACTTGTAAATTTGTATAAGTTAATCTGACCTCTGAACTTCTGACCTTTGTTGTGTATAGGTTACTCCGGAGTATCTACAGGAGATATGCGCTCGTCTGTTCAGTGCCCACATGAACCAGTCTGTTGACTTTACACGTCCAGGCACAGCCAGTCAATTCCTACGACAGTCCATTGCTCCGAAACAGTAAATATCTCTGATTAACTACTCTAAACAGTAGATTGATCTAATTATGAATCATTCAGAAAGGTTAATATCTCTGGTTGTTTATCTCTCATAATCATAGCAAATCTTTCTTATTCTCTGTCACTTGGCAGTATTTATATTTTGTTTTCTCCGTTGCTGCAAAACAGAAAGTATTGTCTATCCTTCAGTGTTGATTTTTCTGTACATATGTCCCAAGCATTACTCTATATTCTGTACATATGTCCCCAGCATTACTCTATATTCTGTACATATGTCCCCAGCATTACTCTATATTCTGTACATATGTCCCCAGCATTACTCTATATTCTGTACATATGTCCCCAGCATTACTCTATATTCTGTACATATGTCCCCAGCATTACTCTATATTCTGTACATATGTCCCCAGCATCACTCTATATTCTGTACATATGTCCCCAGCATCACTCTATATTCTGTACATATGTCCCCAGCATTACTCTATATTCTGTACATATGTCCCCAGCATTACTCTATATTCTGTACATATGTCCCCAGCATCACTCTATATTCTGTACATATGTCCCCAGCATCACTCTATATTCTGTACATATGTCCCCAGCATCACTCTATATTCTGTACATATGTCCCCAGCATTACTCTATATTCTGTACATGTGTCCCCAGCATTACTCTATAGTCTGTACATATCTATATTCTGTACATATGTCCCCAGCATCACTCTATATTCTGTACATATGTCCCCAGCATCACTCTATATTCTGTACATATGTTCCCAGCATTACTCTATATAACACTAAGATCTCACTCTGAATTGTCTGTACATATGTCCCCAGCATTACTCTATATTCTGTACATATGTCCCCAGCATTACTCTATATTCTGTACATATGTCCCCAGCATCACTCTATATTCTGTACATATGTCCCCAGCATTACTCTATATTCTGTACATATGTCCCCAGCATTACTCTATATTCTGTACATATGTCCCCAGCATTACTCTATATTCTGTACATATGTCCCCAGCATCACTCTATATTCTGTACATATGTCCCCAGCATTACTCTATATTCTGTACATATGTCCCCAGCATCACTCTATATTCTGTACATATGTCCCCAGCATCACTCTATATTCTGTACATATGTCCCCAGCATTACTCTATAGTCTGTACATATGTCCCCAGCATCACTCTATATTCTGTACATATGTCCCCAGCATTACTCTATATTCTGTACATATGTCCCCAGCATTACTCTATATTCTGTACATATGTCCCCAGCATCACTCTATATTCTGTACATATGTCCCCAGCATCACTCTATATTCTGTACATATGTCCCCAGCATTACTCTATATTCTGTACATATGTCCCCAGCATCACTATATTCTGTACATATGTCCCCAGCATTACTCTATATTCTGTACATATGTCCCCAGCATTACTCTATATTCTGTACATATGTCCCCAGCATCACTCTATATTCTGTACATATGTCCCCAGCATCACTCTATATTCTGTACATCTGTACATGTGTCCCCAGCATCACTCTATATTCTGTACATATGTCCCCAGCATCACTCTATATTCTGTACATATGTCCCCAGCATTACTCTATATTCTGTACATATGTCCCCAGCACCACTCTATATTCTGTACATATGCCCCCAGCATCACTCTATATTCTGTACATATGTCCCCAGCATTACTCTATATTCTGTACATATGTCCCCAGCATTACTCTATATTCTGTACATCTGTTCCCAGCATTACTCTATATAACACTAAGATCTCACTCTGAATTGTCTGTACATATGTCCCCAGCATTACTCTATATTCTGTACATATGTCCCCAGCATTACTCTATATTCTGTACATATGTCCCCAGCATTACTCTATATTCTGTACATATGTCCCCAGCATTACTCTATATTCTGTACATATGTCCCCAGCATTACTCTATATTCTGTACATATGTCCCCAGCATCACTCTATATTCTGTGCATATGTCCCCAGCATTACTCTATATTCTGTACATATGTCCCCAGCATCACTCTATATTCTGTACATATGTCCCCAGCATTACTCTATAGTCTGTACATATGTCCCCAGCATCACTCTATATTCTGTACATATGTCCCCAGCATTACTCTATAGTCTGTACATATGTCCCCAGCATCACTCTATATTCTGTACATATGTCCCCAGCATTACTCTATATTACACTAAGATCTCACTATGATTTTTTTCTCTTTAAGAAAAGCTATGGAGGAGCCGGAGCCTTATCCTGCTCTCGATTTTACAAAGATCAAACAGGCTATGGCCGACGCTTCAAATAAACGCAAGGCACTTCTCCTTCAGGCGATGAGATGGGTGGGTATCATTAATTTTAGACTTTTCAACAAATTTATGATTTTGTTTTATGAAAAAAAATATACATGCTTTGAAAAGATGTTTATCCTGAATACAAACAGATCAAAGGGGGTCATAAAGGGGCAGAATGGATAAAACTGCATCAGTCCCTAAGACTGATTACTGTATAAGATAACTATTGGGACGTAATCATAATTTGACAGCTGACTTCAGACCACTAGCTGTTCGCCATATTTTAAACCTTCATCAAGGTTCTGTTGTTTGCACACTTTTCTTGATAAAGGAAACAGGTTTTGAAAATTTTCAGTCACAGTTTTTGAATTAGAAGTCATTAACTGTTGCTATTGTTTTTGTTTACAGCGACTGACACAGTCCAACCCACAGCAGCGTGACATTACAATGACAGCATACAGGGATCATGATCTATTGGGATGTGTACAAGGAGGACCCCATAGGGTAAATATAGCCATGTCATCGTAAGGAAAGGGGGACCCCACAGGGTAAATATAACCTGGTCATCATAAAAAAGGGGGACCCCACAGGGTAAATACATTGTATAACCTTGTCATGTAAACAAAGGGGGACCCTATACAAGGTAGATGTAATCATGTTGTGTTTGCATCGGGCACCCTACAGGGTGAATGTAAATGTGTTGTGTAAACAAATGGTACCCCACAGGGTAAATGTATTCTTATCATGTCAACAAGGGGTACCCAACAGGGTAAATGTATATTTATCATGTTAACAAGGGGTACCCCACAGGGCAAATTTAACACTCGCATATTAACAAAGGGGAAACCAAATAATATTGTCATAACTGGCTCCTTATTAGGATTTGTATTTGAAGACTAATGAGACAGATGTTTATTACAGACAGTGGTGCTTGGTCTTCTGACGTCATCAGATGAGTTAGTTAAACAGGGTGCAGCCAGACTCTTCAATGCATTTGCCTCTTTGTGTGCAGGTACATTTAAATAGTCCACTACATAAGGTCTTAGTCTTTATAAGTGAGATTTAACCTTTCTTTCTTTGTGAGATATCTCATATTAGAATTTTATATGTCTGATGGAGTTATGACCCTTTACTGAGGAAAAATAAATCTTGAGTCAACTCCTTCAAAAGAGAAAGTAGAAGTTTGACAACCAGTGGAAAAAATGTCATGAAATGTTGTACCACAGCTGACCACAGGTAACAAAATAGTTTTCTCTTTTATAGGCCGGACCTATTTAGCTCAGAACCAAGATCTATTTACTTCTCTACTGGACAGTCTCCACAGTGAAGAGAAAGAGTCGGTCACCAGGGAGATGGTGCTAGGGGCTCTACAGAAACTCAGTCTCCGGTAAGTACTGACCACCTGTTCACCAGGGAGATGGTGCTAGGGGCTCTACAGAAACTCAGTCTCCGGTAAGTACTGACCACCTGATCACCAGGGAGATGGTGCTAGGGGCTCTACAGAAACTCAGTCTCCAGTAAGTACTGACCACCTGATCACCAGGGAGATGGTGTTAGGGGCTCTACAGAAACTCAGTCTCCAGTAAGTACTGATCACCAGGGAGATGGTGTTAGGGGCTTTACAGAAACTCAGTCTCTGGTAAGTACTGATCACCAGGGAGATGGTGCTAGGGGCTCTACAGAAACTCAGTCTCCGGTAAGTACTGAGCACCTGATCATGTTTACAATATCTCAATGGAGTACCTCATTATTTGAGGTGTCTGATGTCCTTCCAAATCTGTCAGTTTAACATTTAAAACTGATTTATCTTAATCATGTACATGGTATCTTTAACAGACGTAACCTCCAGACAGCAATGATTGATGCAGGATTGATTGAGTGGCTGGTCAAGGTGCTGGAGGATAACGACTCGCTGTCTGACTACACACTGGAGTACTCTGTAGCTCTCCTCATGAATCTCTGTCTCAGGACATCAGGTACGACCCTGGTCATATGTCAAAACATGTTACAATGTTGGTCAGAAGACATTAGGGCACTGACTGTTTTTCTTAGAAGATACCATGGGTTTTAATATAGATACAACTGTTGATGTAAGGATGATGTAAAAAGTAAAAAAAAATCTGCCATGAGTTTGAATATTTTATATATATATATATAATGGTGAATATGTATTCCATGACTTTGTTTGTTATACAGGAAAGAAGCGTTGTGTGACCCATGCTAACCAGACGTTAAAAGTACTCAGTGACCTTCTAGGACATGAAAATCAGGAGGCAAGTTATACTGGTGTTCCCTTCCACGTTGTTAGGCTAGACTTCTGAGGATATACATTACATTTAGATATCAATTGATGAAGATTGTTACTAAGACATGATTCTGTTTGATGACTCTGACCTCTTTAAGAACTTATCATCTTAAATCATCGTAATAGATTTAATACAGGGTAGAAACTGGTACTTAGTTTGGAAAAGTTTTCAGTATGGATTCATCAAAATTGTCTGAAAGATGTACACCTTTGCAGATATTGAATTTTCTTTATAACAAGAAAGTTAACAAACTATCCGGGACGAACTTTATATCCTAAACAGTATATTGAAACTCATCATGGTACATAGATGCATTACAGACATATAGGGTCTTAAAGGAATTTTCATTTCATGTGAATTTTATGAAACAAGTCGAAGGAATTTTTATTTTAGCAGATAAAACTTAAAACTTTAAGAAGAGTTTCATAACATTTCATCAGAGATGAAAACATAAGACATTTAAACCACATAACTCAGAAAAGTTACATTTAGATCATTCAAAGTGTGGAGGGCAAGATTGAATGATGGCAGCCATTTTGTTGGGCCATTCTCAGTTCATGTCATTGTCTGTATTATGACATCAAACTTCTGACTGGAGCAGCAAATAGAAAACACTCTAGAGTATATAACATTAAGTGATATATACAAACTCAGTTTCTGGCTGGAACAGCGAGCGAAAAACACTCTAGAGTATATAACACTTAGTGATATATACAAACTCAGTTTCTGGCTGGAACAGCGAATGAAAAACACTCTAGAGTATATAACACTTAGTGATATATACAAACTCAGTTTCTGGCTGGAACAGCGAGCGAAAAACACTCTAGAGTATGTTACACTTAGTGATATATACAAACTCAGTTTCTGGCTGGAACAGCGAGCGAAAAACACTCTAGAGTATGTTACACTTAGTGATATATACAAACTCAGTTTCTGGCTGGAACAGCGAGCGAAAAACACTCTAGAGTATGTTACACTTAGTGATATATACAAAAGGGTTATTACAAAGTAAAATTCAAAAACAAGCTGATTACGTGATGAATGTTATAATGTTATAGAGTTACATTATATAGAAGACAATAAGGTTGATACAATAGAATTATGTTGATACCCTTGTGATAACTTGGTGTGTACTACTTTCCAGATTCGACCTTATGTGAATGGTGCCCTGTATAGTATTCTAGCCATTCCATCGATCCGTGAGGAGGCTAAGGCCATGGTCAGTATAACAATTACATATAATCGTATTTCATTTTTAAATCTGATGGATAATATTGTTTTTTAAATAAAGTTTTTAAAGTAGGATTATATATAACAATCACATACAATTGTATTTCATTTTGAAATCTGACGGATAATATTGTTCCTTTAAAGTAAAGTTATTAAAGTAGGATTATATTGTAATTTTCTGATGGGTCAAAAGGCATAGGATCATGACATTCATTTGGATGTTTCCTGGGATGAAGGATGACTAAGTTTGCCAGAAGAAATTACCTTGACCTGTTTTCAAGGTCACAGGGTTAAAATATTTGAAATCTTGAAATGATTTCTTCTCAATATCACGAAGGACCAGTGTTATGATGTTCTCACTGATCTCTCAAAGGTCTAGACTGACAGGATACTGAAATAAAGCCCATCAATTTCTATGAAATAAATGACCTTGAACCATGTTCATGTCCAGAGGGGTCAAATTGTGGAAAAATTAACAAAGACTTTAAATGTCAATGATGTGAAATGTTCAGTACTAGAATAGAAGTTTGTATAACACAACAGTAAAGAATATTCTACTAGTTGTGGTGTAAGAACTTCTATTGACATTACCAACCTGAAGAAAATGTTTCCAAATTTTCAGTAATGTTTTATTCTTGCTATAAAGAGCAAAAAACAAAGAAAAATAAGAAAATAGAAGGGAAAAGATCCAATTTTTAAAGAACAAATAAATATTAAATTATGATGGTCACCTAGATCCTCTTGTGATCTGTTGTGGTGTGTATATCCTGTAGTGAAGCACTTTTGAGTACGTCTACTGTCCACATAAAAGTTCCTCAGTTGGCAGGACACCTGTAGTAAGGATGTTACCAATGTATATATCTTACTAATTCTGGTCGTTATTTTACAGGGTATGGAGGAGATTTTACGTTGTTTTATCAAGGAAGACCAACCTGATATGAACAGACAGATCGAGTTTATCATCAAACAGCTCAACTCAAGTTAGTCCTCATTCTTAAACAGATTTACAATAACATGGGTCAATTGTAGAACAAAACCACTCTGATATGATACAGCTGTAGAGTAGTGTGCTACTGGGTAATTAGATCTGCCTGTTAATAAGCCCACCCTGTTCCAGCTCACTGTCAGTAAATTTTATTTTGTTGACCTGCAACATGTCTGCATCTTTCTTAGAGGCACATTATTTGTGTTGGTCCCCTTGAATTAATGAAGACAAAATTGGTTAGTGTAAGTCATAATTTTAAATTTTACTTATCATACCTGCCAGTGTGTGATTTTCTGAAATGGTTTCTTAATCACAATGATAATTTTGAGTTCAGTAATCGGTATTGTATCAAGTATTTGATTTATCTAGTGTTTCAACTGTTGAATTAAAAATAAATGAAAACTTTATTTTAATGATGTCAAAATAAAATCTTCATATGTTTATATCAAATATATTAGCTGTTGTAAACATTACAGAGGGAAATCTCAATACATTAGTGTTTTAACTTTAAGTGAAATATCAAAAAAAAATTATGACACAGCTATCGTGCTATCATGTTGAATACTGATTGATAAATTTAATCTGCTAAAATAAATAATTGGATTATCAGTTGTGTTTGATAAACTGACTCTTATTCATGAAGTAAACAAATTTACTGATAGGCGTCTTTCACAAGAGTCAGAGGACAAGTTGTCATCATTTTCATGTTTACTGTAAATTTGAGAATTATTGTTCACCTGTATACACAAGAAAGGTGTTGATTGTAATTATAATGTTTCTATATTTCAGCGGAGACTGTGGATGAATATGCATCTGATGATGAAGATGAGGAGGAAGAAGAGGTAGGTGGGATGGGTTAGATATAAGTTGGTATGTTGGAATTATGTACACTGTGGCACCAAATAGAATATTTACTAAGGCTGCTGTTGAGATGGGAATATTCTTCCTTGGGGTCCTTTTGTATTCTTTTTTCTGTGTGATAAATATAGTTCTCTTAGTTAAGTCTATATCTAACATGGTTACCTGGGACACAGCCGCTGCTGTAAGGTTATAAGGTCAAGGGACAAGGTTACTGATGATTTAAGGTTATGTGGTTAGGGGTCAAGTTTACTGTAGCTACAAGGTAACTGTTTCTTTAAGGTTATAAGGGTAAAGGACAAGATTGTTGTATATAACCTTATAAAGGGTCTAGATTTCTTTATCTATGAGGTTATAAGGTCAAGGATCAATATTAACTATTTCTGTTACCAATCTTAAGTGGTAATTAGATCATCGTTACTAAAATTATTAGAAATACCACACATCAATGAAATAAGCAATGAACACAAATGTAACATCTATGATTATAGGGCTTTCACATTCAAATGCCACCATTTGATTAGATTTTGATTTTTAGACAAACATTATGCAGCATTTTCTTGACCTAAGTGTTTGTTTTAACCACATGTTTACTGTTACTGAAGCAGAGTGAGTTTGTTATTGTATCTAACATCATGTACAGTTATCACAACAGATCAGATAGGATCTTACTCAGTGACCTTAACAGTAACAGGAGGGGGTTGTAGGTCAAAAGAAGCTCTTATTTAAACAGGAGGGGGATGTAGGTTAGAAGAAGCTGGTGTTTAAACAGGAGGGGGATGTAGGTTAGAAGAAGCTGTTATTTAAACAGGAGGGGGATGTAGGTTAGAAGGAGCTGTTATTTAAACAGGAGGGGGATGTAGGTTAGAAGAAGCTGTTATTTATAAAGATGAGAATTGTTGAGATAAGTGTGTTGAACTGTTTGTTTTGTTTATATAAAGGAATATAAATTCATGGTAAGACCAGCAGACAATGTTTCTCCATCACATTTTACTGAGAAACCAGAATAACTACACACAAATGTCCTTCCTTTGTTCACTGTCTGTAATTACATGCAATCTTTGTAGTGAGATCAGGTAATATATTATGAAAATTTAACCACTTTGAAAAATTTTATATTGATCAGTAAAATTTGCCTTGGAGAAACCTTGACATTTATATATTTTTTGTTTCTTATTTTTCAAATGAGTATAATTATCATAAACCTTTTTTATTGATCCCATTTTGTAAGCGTAGCTTGACTTGTACAGGATGTGAGTTAGGACTGCTTCATTCCCTTATACCAAGTTCATTATAATAGGATAATTCATCATGCCATGCGTAGTTAAGTGTAGATTTTTCTATCACCCTAGCTAGTACATGTATTAGTAACTGTAGCTTATAATCATATGGACTCCATACTGAGTTAAAACTAACGTCTTTAATTGTCATAGCAACGTTTATTATAGTTTAGTATCAAGAATAGGAACATTCATACAGATATACGACGACAGATAAATTAGATATTTTTATTGTCGGATTGACTACAGTAACTATGTAGACTCCGTACAGATATACGACGACAGATATACGACGACAGATAAATTAGATATTTTTATTGTCGGATTGACTATAGTAACTATGTAGAATCCGTACAGATATATGACGACAGATATACGACGACAGATAAATTAGATATTTTTATTGTCGGATTGACTACAGTAACTATGTAGAATCCGTACAGATATACGACGACAGATATACGACGACAGATATACGACGACAGATAAATTAGATATTTTTATTGGCCTACTGACTACAGTAACTATGTAGAATCTGTACATATATACGACGACAGATATACGACGACAGATAAATTAGATATTTTTATTGTTGGATTGACTACAGTAACTATGTAGACTCCGTACAGATATACGACGACAGATATACGACGACAGATAAATTAGATATTTTTATTGTCGGATTGACTATAGTAACTATGTAGAATCCGTACAGATATATGACGACAGATATATGATGACAGATAAATTAGATATTTTTATTGTCGGATTGACTACAGTAACTATGTAGAATCCGTACAGATATACGACGACAGATATACGACGACAGATAAATTAGATATTTTTATTGGCCTACTGACTACAGTAACTATGTAGAATCTGTACATATATACGACAACAGATATACGACGACAGATAAATTAGATATTTTTATTGTCGGATTGACTACAGTAACTATGTAGAATCCGTACAGATATACAACGACAGATATACGACGACAGATAAATTAGATATTTTTATTGGCCTACTGACTACAGTAACTATGTAGAATCTGTACATATATACGACGACAGATATACGACGACAGATAAATTAGATATTTTTATTGGCGTATTGACTACAGTAACTATGTAGAATCAGTACAGATATACGACGACAGATATACGACGACAGATAAATTAGATATTTTTATTGTCGGATTGACTACAGTAACTATGTAGAATCCGTACAGATATACGACGACAGATATACGACGACAGATAAATTAGATATTTTTATTGTCGGATTGACTACAGTAACTATGTAGACTCCGTACAGATATACGACGACAGATATACGACGACAGATAAATTAGATATTTTTATTGTCGGATTGACTACAGTAACTATGTAGAATCCATACAGACATTAGATTCTTTGTATTACTTAGTAACTTAGCTTTCTAATAGAACTTTAAGTATATACTTTTATCATTGTGTAAATACAATTTTCTAAGATTCGGAGTACATGAGAGTATGTAAATGTATATTAGAATGTTATTTATTTTACATAAAAATTCAGTATATCACCATCGATCTCATGAATACTGAATCTTATTAAACTTATCATTGGAATTTACAGACTGCTAGTTAAAATAGAAATCCAGTTTTCTGTTTGATTATTGTGGATCCTGACATCTTTGTTTTTCAATTCTTTACTTGAGTGTACTTTACTCCATTTTATATTTAATCTGAGATAAAAAAGGAAATTAATCCTGACTTAGATGTAAATGTACATCATCTGATACAGCTAGGATTTACCTAATAAGAAACTGCATTTATCACATTCATAATTCAGCACAATGCTGAGTGTAAACTTAAATTTATTGTATCCAAGTCATTGAAATGTTTGTTTTATTTCCAGGAGGACCAGGATGCCATGGAGCTTGATCTTGACAAGGATGAACCAATCCGACCGGAGGGCGATGAACTTAGTGGGGAACAACTACTCACTACTGATTACCTGGCCCAAGGGGGCGTGGCTGTCAAACCCAAGAAACGAGTAAGAGGAAGATAGCTCCTGGAGATGATTGTACCTCTAGATAGCTCCTGTCCCTGGTGATTTAGATTTAGCATACAGCCAACTCTGTTTAATCTGACAACTCAAGAAAGATTTCAAAAGCATTTTTTAAAATAAAAGTGGTCTTTTGATAAAGTAGGGTCTTAAAGTTTTATGGATTAACCTGTGAATAACCAATCAGACATTCACAATTATACAAAGTACACGGAGACATTTATTGATATTGAGTCTATTGATAGATTGGGTAAAAAAGTAAACACTGGTTTACACTAGGGATGGTCCCTTCCTCACTGGTGTAAAGCAGCAGTTCATGTTGGCTGTGTAAAACCTGTGGTTGTGTTAACGGATTCAGCTATGACTATTTATAACATATATAGAGACTGATTCAGAAACATGTTTTATTACAGCATACTGATATGGTGATGGCCCAACAGGTTCCACTTCAACGACCTGTTACCCCTAGTCAGCGTAGGGCAGCAGATTCACCACACCCATCACAGGCAGGGTAAGTCTCTCATCCCTAATGTCACCCCTCACATGTCTAGTCCCTCACAGGCAGGGTAAGTCTCATTCTGAAATATTTAAAGTCTTCAAGAGAGGCCTTTCAAATTTCTGTGACATTGGAAAAAAAAAGAAAAGGAAAACAGCAAAAATTAGGATAGATACAATTAAAATCTATGTATAAACAGTAATTTTTATGAGTTGACTTTCTTGATTAATATTACAACTTGATTACCTTACTTATCAACAATATTATGTATAAAAAATATCATACATAAACTTTATTTCTTAGAAATTGTGAAAGAAGCTCTCAGCTTGTATCATTCAATACTTTGGCCTGAATTGGAGCATGTGAGGGGTCTGGCTGACTGTGTAGAAACCCAAACAGGTGAAAGGCAAGTGTATTTCCACTATGCAGCCTGACCACCTGAACCAATGGAATAGTGACAGTTAGTAGCCAGGAAGGTTATTTTACAGTTATACATTCTGTGTCATTGAAGAAACGATTGATACAACGAAGCTGACCTAAGACATAGGACTTGTGTTAAGGTGTTTGTTTTGTGTTCTAGGAGCCGAGCAGTGTCCAGTTTGTCCCAGCGTCACGCTACACCATCAGGCTTTGACCGTCCCCCTACTAGGTCTGGCAGTCGTCCATCCACACAAGAGAGTCTGGCCCAGGCCGGACTTCGTGTGCCGTCTCGTGGTATGTCTCGTGGCGGTGATGGAGAAGGTGGTGATGGTCAACGTCCCATGAGTCAAGCTAGTCAGAAAAGTCTACGCCCACAGAGCAAAGCCTCCCAACTGTAAGTTAGGAGAGATATGCACATCACTATCCTTTAAAATTCTAAATTTGAAACTTAATTAGTTGAAAGTTTAGGCTGTCGAAAAGAAATAAGAACTCCTTTGCTAGGCAAGAGATTACATGTGTCTTTTATTCCATATTAAGTAACACAAAATTTTCCTAGGCATAGATCTCAGCATACTCATTTATTTAAGTAGATATGGATTTACTATGTTAATAGACATGGGTGATAGACAGAGAATCTGACTTCAAAAAACACAAAAAACTATTAAACAAGGCTTTAATCTGTGTTGTATTTTATAAATTTTAAGTCAATCATTTATTCCAAAAATCCTTTCACAAAATGTTTCTTGCAGTTGTGTTTTCATTCAAAGTATTTTTAAATAATTTGAAATGCCCTGTATATGCATTCTTTGTTATAGGAGTGGTAAAGAGTACAACCAAGCATTCGGTTCCCGTCCTAAGATCCCACGAACCCCTGATGTGAGTGGTGGAGTTCCAAAACTTCCGAGGACTCCTGATGGATCCAAACGCCCCACAAGTCGGGGTTCTATCAGTGGCAGTGCCCCTCCCCCTCCACAATTCTCTGAGTCTGGTCCCAGGCCAAGCTCTGCTGGAAAGTCAGGTGTGTGTGCCTTATGATGTAATAGAAAGTAACAAACATGACTATTGTTGTGGTAGGTAATTCTGACATATCTTTTAATGTCAGAAGCATACTTGTCATTCAGATTTAATTGATTAATTGATTTTTTTTTAATGCTAAAAGAATTTATAGGTGAAGATTTACTTTCAAATAGTTAGATGTTTAAATAAATATTGTATGGTAATATTGCATTTATATTTCAATCCAAATTTGTTGCTGGTCAGTCCATAATCTGTCCTTAATAATGCTTTTTCTAGAGGTTGGGTGGGTCATTCTTAAATGTTTTTATATAGGTTTCCCTTTATCCTTAGTAGTGCATTGTTGATTTTGGGAGTATTAATGAGAAAACTAAAATGCCAATAGGCAGTCATTTATTGTCAATGGTAGTTTGTTAATCAGTCTTTCTGTAGAGGTACTGAATGGACCTTCTTAAAGTCTGTGGGTTCACCATGTTAAACATCATCAAATTAAATATGTATACAATGAGGGACACTAGGATTCCTCTTGGATGTCGTTTCTTTATTTAGATAATGAGATATTGATGTCTGTGGGCTATTTGTTGTACTTGTTAACCTGACTTAGTGAATTTAATTCTAATTGTTTGGTTTAACAGGGACATGAAACACTGGTAAGAAAGTCTTACAGAGTTTTCTCCCTTACTAAATATTGTGTTCAACTAGTCAATGACTCTGTGTTGTGCTAGTCAATAACCAGGGCCATTGGACCAGGATTGTTTGTTTATAAAATAAGGACAGCCCTACTGATCTTATTTTGTTTTCCAACAACTTTTCACTACGACTTCCAATGCCTGTTTTAAAATTTCTAGGTCTGACAATTTATAGCAGAAATTTTAAGTGCTGATGAACCGGTTGTCTGCATAAATGAACAGGCCCTTAATATTGTGTTCTATGGAGTTTTCTCCCTTACTTAGTAGTGTTTTAATACTGGTGTTTTGATTAATGTTGACCTGCCAAACATAACCTTTAATTTAAACTTAAAATTATAACATGGTGATGAACATGAATTGGTATACTTAATTTATTTTTTAATTGTTACTGGTATGTAATATTTATCACCTGTGATCCTGTGTTCCTCTATAACACTGATTAAAATGTGGTATTTCTAGCTTTGAGGAGACTAATTATCAGCACTTTGTGTCACCTTCTGTCACCATAGGCTTTCTGTATTATAGAAAAGTGGGTAGTGATTATAGTAGATATTACATGAACAGAAGAAATAAGTCCCTGAATTGTCTCCCCTTGATTGATGTTGTATGCTGTAGTAGAGACAGAGGTTGATCCCACAATTATATAACACTAAATTAAATGTAATTAAAATCATGTAAACCCTTATAAACCCTGTGATATCCTGGGTCATGTAAACCTTATAAACCCTGTGATACATTGAGTCATGTAAAGCCTTATAAACCCTGTTATACCCTTGGTCATGTAAACCCTTATAAACCCTGTGATACATTGAGTCATGTAAAGCCTTATAAACCCTGTGATACCCTTGGTCATGTAAACCCTTATAAACCCTGTGATATCCTGGGTCATGTAAACCCTTATAAACCCTGTGATACATTGAGTCATGTAAAGCCTTATAAACCCTATGATATCCTGGGTCATGTAAACCCTTATAAACCCTGTGATATCCTGGGTCATGTAAACCCTTATAAACCCTGTGATACATTGAGTCATGTAAAGCCTTATAAACCCTATGATATCCTGGGTCATGTAAACCCTTATAAACCCTGTGATACATTGAGTCATGTAAAGCCTTATAAACCCTATGATATCCTGGGTCATGTAAACCCTTATAAACCCTGTGATATCCTAGGTCATGTAAACCCTTATAAACCCTGTGATACATTGAGTCATGTAAAGCCTTATAAACCCTGTTATAACCTTGGTCATGTAAACCCTTATAAACCCTGTGATACATTGAGTCATGTAAAGCCTTATAAACCCTATGATATCCTGGGACATGTAAACCCTTATAAACCCTGTGACATCCTGGGTCATGTGAAGCCTTATAAACCCTGTAATACCCTGGGTCATGTAAACTCTTATAAACCCTGTGATACCCTTGGTCATGTAAACCCTTATAAACCCTGTGGTACCCTGGGTCATATAAACCTTATAAACCCTGTGATACCTTGGGTCATATAAACCTTTATAAACCCTGTGATACCCTGTGATACCCTGGATCATGTAAACCCTTATCAGCTCTATGATACCCTGGGTCATGTAAACCCTTATAAACCCTGTGATACCCAGGATCATGAAAACCCGTATAAACCCTGTGATACCCTGGGTCATGCTAACCCTTATAAACCCTGTGATACCCAGGATCATGAAAACCCTTATAAACCCTGTGACATCCTGGGTCATGTAAACCCTTATAAACCCTGTAATACCCTGGGTCATGTAAACTCTTATAAACCCTGTGATACCCTTGGTCATGTAAACCCTTATAAACCCTGTGGTACCCTGGGTCATGTAAACCTTATAAACCCTGTGATACCCTGGGTCATATAAACCCTTATAAACCCTGTGATACCCTGGGTCATGTAAACCCTTATAAACCCTGTGATACCCAAGATCATGTAAACCCTTATAAACCCTGTGATACCCTGGGTCATGTAAACCCTTATAAACGCTGTGGTACCCTGTGATACCCTGTCATATGTGAACCTTATAAACCCTGTGATACCCTGTGATACCCTGGGTCATGTAAACCCTTATAAACCCTGTGATACCCTGGGTCATATAAACCCTTATAAACTCTGTGATACCCTGGGTCATATAAACCCTTATAAAACCTGTGATACCCAGGATCATGAAAACCCTTATAAACCCTGTGACATCCTGGGTCATGTAAACCCTTATAAACCCTGTGATACCCAGGATCATGAAAACCCGTATAAACCCTGTGATACCCTGGGTCATATAAACCCTTATAAACCCTGTGATACCCTGGGTCATGTAAACCTTATAAACCCTGTGATACCCTGGGTCATATAAACCCTGTGATACCCTGGGTCCCCCTAAAACCCTTATAAACCCTGTGATACCCTGGGTCATGTAAACCCTGTGATACCCTTATGTAAACCCTTATAAACCCTGTGATACCCTGGTTCATTTACATATAAACCCTTATAAACCCTGTGATACCCTGGGTCATGTAAACCCTTATAAACCCTGTGATACCCAAGATCATGTAAACCCTTATAAACCCTGTAATACCCTGGGTCCTGTAAACTCTTATAAACCCTGTGATACCCTTGGTCATGTAAACCCTTATAAACCCTGTGGTACCCTGGGTCATGTAAACCTTATAAATCCTGTGATACCCTGGGTCATATCAACCTTTATAAACCCTGTGATACCCTGTGATACCCTGGGTCATGTAAACCCTTATCAGCTCTTTGATACCCTGGGTCATGTAAACCCTTATAAATCCTGTGATACCCAGGATCATGAAAACCCTTATAAACCCTGTGACATCCTGGGTCATGTAAAGCCTTATAAACCCTGTAATACCCTGGGTCATATAAACCCTTATAAACCCTGTGATACCCTGGGTCATGTAAACCCTTATAAACCCTGTGATACCCTGGGTCATGTAAACCCTTATAAACCCTGTGATACCCTGGGTCATGTAAAACCCTTATAAACCCTGTGATACCCTGGGTCCCTGGGTCATGTAAACCCTTATAAACCCTGTGATACCCAGGATCATGTAAACCCTTATAAACCCTGTGATACCCTGGGTCATGTAAACCTTATAAACCCTGTGATACCCTGGGTCATATAAACCCTTATAAACCCTATGATACCCTGTGATACCCTGGGTATATAAACCCTGTGATACCCTGTGATATCCTGGGTCATGTATAAACCCTTATAAACCCTGTGATACCCTGGGTCATGTAAACCCTTATAAACCCTGTGATACCCTGGGTCATGTAAACCCTTATAAACCCTGTGATACCCTGGGTCATATCAACCTTTATAAACCCTGTGATACCCTGTGATACCCTGGATCATGTAAACCCTTATCAGCTCTATGATTATAAACCCTGTGATACCCTGGGTCATGTAAACCTTATAAACCCTGTGATACCCTGGGTCATATAAACCCTTATAAACCCTATGATACCCTGGGTCATGCTAACCCTTATAAACCCTGTGATACCCAGGATCATGTAAACCCTTATAAACCCTGTGATACCCTGGGTCATGTAAACTCTTATAAACCCTGTGATACCCTGGGTCATGTAAACTCTTATAAACCCTGTGATACCCTGGGTCATGTAAACTCTTATAAACCCTGTAATACCCTGTGATACCCTGGGTCATGTTAACCCTTATAAACCCTGTGATACCCAGGATCATGTGAACCCTCTGAGTGCCCTGGGCCCTACACTGTCTATATTGCATGTTAGACACAGTTTGTATATTAGGTATTAGCTAAATGTGGTATATAATTGTCATTGTTTTGTGATTGTGTCTGTTACTGTATATAGGAAAATTGCATTTTTGAGCATATTTTTTTTTTCAGAAATAGTTCAAACTTGGTTAGAATTTATTTTTATTAGTATAAACTGTTTGATGAGATGCATATATTGACTTTGACTGACAACAAGGGGGGATGAGAGGCAAGGCCAAAAGTGGGTCAAATTAATTGAAATTTTAAGGATGTTCTACTGTTCCTGGATGGAAGATTTTATATAGGAAAATTCAAATCTTGAGTGAAATTTCTTTTAATTCAAACTTGGTTAGAAGCCTTAGTTTGGAACTGGCCAGTAGCTAAATGTATACACAAGAAATAGTACATTTTTTAACAAAATCATTTCTACGACATGATCCAAGACCTTGACTCAGTTGACTGTTGTTTGAAAAATGTTAAAAATGTACCTGGTGTTGATTTTATGATTAAATTATAACTAAATATATGATAAAAAAATTGAAACCATGATTTCCAAAGTCTATCATTGTGTTTATGTATCTTAAAAAAAATATAAATAACTTGCCTGCTTGGAAATAAAAAAATTATGAACGCTGTTTGAAGAAATGACTAAACCTATTAATAAAAAGTATTTTAAGTATTTCAGCTGTACAAAGTGTCAAATTACAAGTGTCTTAACTGTACAAAGTGTCAGAATACAAGTGTCTTAACTGTAGAAATTATCAGAATACAAGTGTCTTAACTGTAGAAAGTATCAGAATACAAGTGTCTTAACTGTGAAAACTAACAGAATACAAGTGTCTTAACTGTGAAAAGTATAAAACTACAAGTGTCTTAACTTTGGAAGTATCAGAATACAAGTGTCTTAACTGAAAAGTATCAAATACAAGTGTCTTAATTGTAGAAGTGCTGAATACAAGTGTCTTAACTGTGAAAAGTATCAAAATACAAGTGTCTTATCTGTAAAAAGTATCAAAATACAAGTGTCTTAACTGTAGAAAGTATCAGAATACATGTGTCTTAACTGTAGAAAGTATCAGAATACAAGTGTCTTAACTGTTGAAAGTATCAGAATACAAGTGTCTTAACTGTGAAAAGTATAAAAATACAAGTGTCTTAATTGTAGAAGTGCTGAATACAAGTGTCTTAACTGTAGAAAATATCAGAATACAAGTGTCTTAACTGTAGAAAGTTTCATAATACAAGTGTCTTAACTGTAGAAATTATCAGAATACAAGTGTCTTAATTGTAGAAGTTCTGAATACAAGTGTCTTAACTGTAGAAAATATCAGAATACAAGTGTCTTAACTGTAGAAAAGTATCAAATACAAGTGTCTTAATTGTAGAAGTTCTGAATACAAGTTTCTTATCTGTGAAAAGTATAAAAGTACAAGTGTCTTATCTGTGAAAAGCATAAAAATTTAAGTGTCTTAATTGTAGAAAGTATCAGAATACAAGTGTCTTTACTGTAGAAAGTATAAGAATACAAGTGTCTTAACTGTAGAAGTTCTGAATACAAGTGTCTTAACTGTGAAAAGTATAAAAATACAAGTGTCTTATCTGTGAAAAGTATAAAAATACAAGTGTCTTAACTGTAGAAAGTATCAGAATACAAGTGTCTTAACTGTAGAAAGTATCAGAATACAAGTGTCTTATCTGTAGAAAGTATCAAAATACAAGTGTCTTATCTGTGAAAAGTATAAAGATACAAATGTCTTAACTGTGAAAAGTAACAGAATATAAGTGTCTTAAATGTGAAAAGTATCAAATACAAGTGTCTTAATTGTAGAAGTTCTGAATACAAGTGTCTTAACTGTGAAAAGTATCAAAATACAAGTGTCTTATCTGTGAAAAGGTTAAAAATACAAGTGTCTTAACTGTAGAAAGTATCAGAATGCAAGTGTCTTAACTGTAGAAAGTATCAAAATGTAAGTGTCTTAACTGTAGAAAGTATCAGAATACAAGTGTCTTAACTGTAAAAAGTATCAGAATACAAGTGTCTTAACTGTAGAAATTATCAGAATACAAGTGTCTTAACTGTAAAAAGTATCAGAATACAAGTGTCTTAACTGTAGAAAGTATCAGAATACAAGTGTCTTAACTGTAGAAATTATCAGACAGAAATGCCTGAATAAGAGTACATGTATTTTAACTGTAGAAAGTGTTGGAGTACTTATGTTTTAAATGTACAAATTGTCTGAATACAAGTGTCTTAACTGTAGAAGTGTCTAGATACAAGTGTCTCAACATTCAAGTAAGTGTCAAAGTTGTAAATAAGGAAGTACCAAAAAAGTGTGTAGAATCAATTGTCACATACTAAGTAGTTATAAAGTAGATGTCAGTAGGAATGGACATGTCTCTAATGCTACATATTAACTAGTAAGAATAGTAAAAAAAGCCGATGTTTTATCTTTATGATTTGGTTTAGTGGTAGGACTTGGGATCTAAGAAACGCTGATTAGACTCACGACATGGGCACTATGTTGTATCCTTGGACAAGATACTGAACTTAAGTTGACCCAGCTGTAAATGAGTACTTGTTAATGAACGCTGTTCCAGGTGACTCAGCTGTAAATGAGTAAATTTTCTGTGAGCCTACAGAAATAAATGTGTTCTGAATAGCATATTAGATGCAGCTGAACTTAAAGTGTATTTCTTGCAAAATTAAAGCTGATCAATCAATGGCTGAAGAGTGACACAATTGACACTGCCTGGTATTTGCTAGTTTCAGGCACTGGGTAGCTATAGTTTGGAGCAATTTTCCAAAGACTTTTCCCTTTGTTTTAATGAGAATTTCTGATATCTTCCCTAATCTAATTTTGATTTTTAATTGACTTATTTAGTTTGTTAACATGGCTACATTAGTTGATCTTACCAACATATACAGCTGTCAATCAAACTCAGACCATATATTCTGTTTATTTTTCAATACTAAATGATTAAGTCTGCAAATTCCATTTTATTGATGATGTTCATGAATTTGTGTGTCTAGTGCTTAGTCTTTAGTGTCTAGTATCTGGTGATAAGTGTCTAGTGTCTAGTCTTTAGTGTCTAGTATCTGGTGATAAGTGTCTAGTGTCTAGTCTTTAGTGTCTAGTATCTGGTGATAAGTGTCTAGTGTCTAGTCTTTAGTGTCTAGTATCTGGTGATAAGTGTCTAGTGTCTTGTCTTTAGTGTCTAGTATCTGGTGATAAGTGTCTAGTGTCTAGTCTTTAGTGTCTAGTATCTGGTGATAAGTGTCTAGTGCTTAGTCTTTAGTGTCTAGTATCTGGTGTCTGGTGATAAGTGTCTAGTGCTTAGTCTTTAGTGTCTAGTATCTGGTGATAAGTGTCTAGTGTCTAGTCTTTAGTGTCTAGTATCTGGTGATAAGTGTCTAGTGCTTAGTCTTTAGTGTCTAGTATCTGGTGTCTGGTGATAAGTGTCTAGTGCTTAGTCTTTAGTGTCTAGTATCTGGTGATAAGTGTCTAGTGTCTAGTTTTTAGTGTCTAATGAAAGACGAGGAATTCATTATAATGATCATGAAGTAATTGTGAATGTTTATTTCAGCGTCAGGATCGCGGCGAGGATCAGCCAAGAGCAGTGCCAGTCCCCGTCCAGAGCCAAGTGGTGCAACATAGTGCTGTTACTATGACAACATATCAAATTTCACCTTGACAACATGTTAAACATCTGCCTTGAAGAAATATCAAATTTGTTTGTTGACACTGTTGTGATATACATTCCATATTTTTGGTCATGTACAGATAATCATTCTGACAGTTAACAGAGAAAATGTTTTACATTTCAAATGAATTTTATTAATATGATCTATTTATTTGTGGCCATTTTTTTCATTGTAATGTTACACAATTATTTGTTGTAGTCATTAATTTGATATGATATGTCCTGTGTATGTTTTACATGCTCCTGTGTATTTGCCATTAATCCAGTTGTTAATTAATTATTTAGTTTGTATGACAATGAGAGTCGAGTGAGTGGAAAATGACCAGTGTTACTGACCACAATCAGTTCAATAAATAGTAGAACGAGAGGGCATTAGCATAAACGTTTTAAAAAACACTCTCACCTTGATATATGGAAGCATTTCTTTACTGTGTTATTGATGGAACAGTCTCCCTCAGGATGTAATAGATTCATATGACGTCAAAAAGTTTGAAATCTCTCTAGATGAATACTGTAACCGTAATAACATAACTTTCAATTTATAGTTTAAATGTTGCTCATTGATACAGGAAATATCCTAAACATTTAATGTGTTGTATAAACTGATATAGAGGATATAGAGGCTGCTTCCATAATATATCCTATACAATCCTATTCAATGTGTCTGTACCCTTGGCTTAAGTTTGGTTCCGTCCTAGACCTTTGTCTCTCCAAAGCAATTCCAAGGGACAGTGAGGAATGATACCGTTGTAGACCAAATCTCTCTAAAACAGTCTATAGTATTCCAAATAAGGTATGGAGACTCTCAGTTACTATCTACTCAGGATCAGGTAAATTTTAGACGAGACCTTGTATTCCATATATGTACACACAGTATGTCTAGAATGTGTTGTTATGACAACAGTTTCCATTATTAGGTAACCATTGTGATTTTGATGTAATACTCTTGGGTTTTTTTTCAATTATCTTTCATCTTTGTATTAATTTTAGTTGGATGAAAATGAGGTTGTGAGTTGGAGACAGATCTGTTATTTAAGTCTAGTGCTAATTCTGCACTCTCACTGTTAGTGTGTGGTGGTCTGTGTGTTGGTCTGTGTGATGGTCTGTGTGGTGATCTGTGTGTTGGTCTGTGTGTTGGTCTGTGTGGTGATCTGTGTGTTGGTCTGTGTGGTGGTCTGTGTGGTGGTCTGTGTGTTGGTCTCTGGTGGTCTGTGTGGTGGTCTGTGTGTTGGTCTGTGTGGTGGTCTGTGTGTTGGTCTGTGTGGTGGTCTGTGTGTTGGTCTCTGTGTTGGTCTGTGTGGTGGTCTGTGTGGTGATGTGTGTGGTGGTCTGTGTGGTGGTCTGTGTGTTGGTCTGTGTGGTGGTCTGTGGTGGTCTGTGTGGTGATCTGTGTGTTGGTCTGTGTGTTGGTCTGTGTGGTGGTCTGTGGTGGTCTGTGTGGTGATCTGTGTGTTGGTCTGTGTGGTGGTCTGTGTGTTGGTCTGTGTGGTGGTCTGTGGTGGTCTGTGTGGTGGTCTGTGTGGTGGTCTGTGGTGGTCTGTGTGGTGATCTGTGTGGTGATCTGTGTGTTGGTCTGTGTGTTGGTCTGTGGTGGTCTAGCTGTGTGGTGATCTGTGTGTTGGTCTGTGTGGTGGTCTTTGTGGTGATCTGTGTGGTGATCTGACGCTGTTGGCTATATATATATGTGATATTCTGTTAATCTGAATACAGATATTAAAAGTTTACTATTGCTGACAAAAGGTCATTTGATCAATAATTTACATTTTGGATCTGATCTTGTGGAGTGTGAGTGATGAAAGCCTAAGGAATTATCTTGTTTAGAAATTATCCTTTCTTTAAGCATTCTTTATCTCACAGGATAAACCAGGTTAGAACCTTGACAACAGTTTCAATGGAAATTACATTCTTAATTCAGTTCAAATTTCATTTCAATCTTACTTAAATTTTATTTTGATTTAATTCAGATTTCATTTTTACAATATATTGGATTCACATTTTGTTTTTGATTCAATTCCGATATCATTTTTTATTAAATGTATATTTTCATTTTTGATTCATTTCAAATTTTGTTTTTAATAAGAAATCCTAGGTGAAGAAATGATGTTTCAAGCTGCTATTTTTTAGTGACAATTAATAGTTTTTCAACATATCTTTATCTCTTTATCTCCACACCACATGTAGACATACACATACAGTGAACTGTATCAGTGTTATTTGAATTTTCTGTTGTATATCTATATATGATATGTAATTCTCAGTACTACAGAACGTCATGTTGATGATTTTTCCACTCCATTTCATCTCTAGTCAGTGATTTTATGTATGTAATACATAGTAGTGTATCATGTTTTTCAGGGGAGGTAACAATTGCTTTAACGGCTACATAGACCAGACAAGTGACCTAGCAACATTGTGAAATATGGACAAAATACTAATTAAAACAAACCTACACTACAACAGTTACTTATACAAAGTTTTTCATTCAGTGTTAACTTAATGCTGTAGTGGAATTTTATCTTCACAAGGTTGTTAAAATTTATTTTGTAAACAGTGTTTTTAAACTGATATTCTGTAATAGAATTCCATAATTCTTTAAATACACGAATAGGATACAGAAAACTAGTAGAGAAAATACACTGGAAACATGTCATCATTCAAACTGAATTTTAGATCAGAAGTTCATCCCTAAAATTTTCACATATCATCGAAACTTTTCTATAAGTAGTTCATCCGTATAAGGTCATTGACAATTCTAAGGATTCTAATTGATTTTAACATATATGAATTATTGTTGAATCTCAGCTGTTGTTGATAGTAAGCTGACAACAGTGTTGTTTGTGTTGATGCCGTGCAGACATCGCTTATATTGGTATATTGAAGTCCCGTGCCTTACCTCAGCATTCCCTACAGAGAATTTTAAAATGTTGCCAGTAGTTTATTTGTAGCAGGTCTTAATTAATAGCATTCCATCTCTTTATAATTAATAAACAAGTCCACATCGTTCTCTCTTTGTTTTTGTTATTATTTTGTAATTCACTGGAACTTATTTTTGGTACATTACACTGTGTATTCATCAAAGTATCATGCTTCATAAAGTCAGTCTGGGGTCAGTACATAATGTCTTCACAATATTATATTTTAGCTTATTAGGTCACGCGAGATAAAGATCTTTACAATACCCCTTTGTCCCGCGACGTAACATTTTTGGTATCTCCTGTAAAACCCCTGAACTGATTTCAATAAACTTGGCAGAAATCTTTCATGGCCAAACATTAACCAAAATGTTATTGTAAATTATATGGTTCCCAGTCAACACTTAGTGTAAGTTTGTCCTATATCTATAGAAGGGATCTGGTGTAGAAGCATTTTGCTGTAGAAGAATCCTATGATAAATGTAAGAAGTAGGGCTTTCATCTGATATATAAAATATCACACAACAACATAATGGTATCAATAATTTATTTGTGTTATATTTCACAAGTGTTGAAAGGGAATGATATCTCCAATGTCACATCACAGATCTTGGAAACAAAAGAAAAAAATACATACATCACCAAACAGTGGGAATGGGAGCATTTTTGTATAATTTGTATGTACTCACCATGAAGTTTGTACAACTGACCACAAAGTTAAGGTCACTAACCACAAGTATTGATCAAATGACCACAAACTTCAGAGCAATGACCATGAGTTTTGGACCAATGATCACATACTTAAGGCCACTGACTACAAAGTCCAGATCACTGACCACAGGATATGGTCCACTGACCACAAACTTGGGATCACTGTTCACAGGATATGGTCCACTGACCACAAACTTTGGATCACTGTTCAGACTAAGCTTCATACTCCTTGGATTTACCTATATTTAACTCCATACAGACTGATTTTCAATATCTTATTTTATATATTACATCAGTGATGTAATCGCAACATCACAAGTATCACAGTGATAAAGACATCTGTGATATATATACAACACCAAGAAGAAGGAATAAGATCAGAATAAACTGGATAAAGTAAAAACAGAAAGTAAATTAAGTTTTAATTTTGTTCAAAGAAAATTTGTCTTGAATTTTAATCCCAGATGATGAAAGGAGAAGTACTATTGAAATTTAACTTATCTGAAACAACGATTTGCAAGCAAATCTATCATTACTTTCATTTACATTTCTGCAGCATGCCCTTCAATAAATACCCAGAGAAAATTCTAAATACAATATGGTCAGCATCCTTTTCACTCTTGTCTTATTTAATTGGCAACTATGGGAAGGAACAAACGTTTTGATGATACAGTTCAAAGTTGTTCCAGAAATAGCATACAGAAGCTTAGTTATAGGAGATAATGTTTTACTCTTTATATTGCAAATAACTACAAAAACATAAATAAGGAAAAATTGGAATGAAAAGTGAAACAAACCATTTTCCTCCTTGATGACAATAATAGGACCAACTCTAATCGGCCACAATACTATCAATAACTCGTTCCTGTTTTTTAAAGTGCAATATAACAAAGTGTGTTCTAACTGACATGGACAATCATTATAAATAAAAATAATTCAAAACAGTTACAAATATGACACGAGTGTCAAAGAGACTTAAATCCTACAGTAAATTGGTGTTGAGGAGTAAATATCACACTATTTTACTGATGTGAGAGAGATTGTCCACTATCCTATACCTACCACGTTATAAGAAGTTATATATCTGTGGATTACATAGATTTCATAGTATCTGTAATGTTCAATCTGCCAGTCATGTATCCATTATATAAAAGTACTTTTCTATTGTTCAATGTTAGTCAGACAAATATAGCACCGAAGATGTCATGTGACCACTTTAATGAGGCAGTTCAATTAAAGTCAGGCTGATCTGGCAATGACAAGTAATACAGTTATAGCCCGATTAATTCCAAATCATGTATTATTTCTAAGTAGGATGAAAATTAAAATCAAACTTCTGAAAAAGTGATATGTAGCTTTTTCCTCTAAGTTGGTAAAATAGTGAATTATACATACATGTATCATTATATAGAGTTTTCAATCATTCATCTCAATTACCAAACATTATATCATCAGGGCTCTATATGGTGAATGACATGTTTTAATCTCCTTTCCACCCCACTGGTAGTACTGTACAATACATACACCAGGCTACACGAGATCAGACACATGGAAATGTAAAATTACATGTTAAGTACAGAACCTGGAAATCTGTGTATATGTCTTGATACTTATACTACAGAGAGAAGAGAATAAGAGATCAGGTGATTTGGCACTACTAGAAAAAGGACGGGAAATTCTATTTTTGTAAGGAATTCCTATAAACATTTATTAATATGTCCAGGGGTCAACACATTTACCTCTGATTAATGTTGAGGTCTATTATAGGGAAATAAGTAGTGAGGACCAACACTTAAACCTCTAACACTATGTGAGTAGGTATAATAGTATGCAAGAGCTTATTTCTCAATAAGTATAAATCACATACTTAGACATCTATATTTACGTCCATGGTAAAATGGATGGATTTAGATATCTATATTTAACTCTGTGGTTAAAGGGACTGATTTAGATATCTATATTTAACTCTGTGGTTAAAGGGACTTATTTAGATATTTATATTTACATCTGTGGTAAATTGGACGGATGAGACAAGATGGCTACATATCGGATTACATACAGATTCAGACTGTAGCATAATGTAAATCACAAATCAATGTCTCTGTCTATAAAATAGGAGAGTATACTACAAATACTCCGAACTTAATATGTACCAGAAAGAACATCTTGTCAAGAACTATATCCGAACATCATGTTTCTTTCCAATATTAAATGTACGCTTACATAGAAACAGGTGATCACTCATTCCCTGGTCATCATTCCCTGGTCAATACTATCTCTCATTCCCTGGTCAATGCTATCTCTCATTCCCTGGTCATCATTCCCTGGTCAATACTATCTCTCATTCCCTGGTCAATACTATCTCTCATTCCCTGGTCAATACTGTCTCTCATTCCCTGGTCAATACTGTCTCTCATTCCCTAGTCAATACTATCTCTCATTCCCTGGTCAATACTGTCTCTCATTCTTACTGACGTCAGTGAGAAAATTCCCTCATACTGTGCAGTGTCATTTTACCTACATAGCAGTGTAGTGTCCAGTAATTTATATAAACTACTGATCTGGAATGTAAACAAACACAGTAACCTGTTCTAGGGGTATATCAGTGTAACATCTACAGGTTTACTGTCTATTACTTAATAAGCAAATTTTCAATCAAAATCTACGCTGGAATAGTCGTGAATATAACCTGGAATCCTGGAGTGGGATAGATGTTTCTGGGGTGAAAGAGATGTTTCTGGGGTGGGAGAGATATTTCTGGGGTGGGAGAGATATTTCTGGGGTGGAAGAGATGTTTCTGGAGTGGGAGAGATGTTTCTGGGGTGGGAGAGATGTTTCTGAGGTGGGAGAGATGTTTCTGGGGTGGAAGAGATGTTTCTGAGGTGGGAGAGATGTTTCTGGGGTGGTAGAGATGTTTCTGGGGTGGTAGAGATGTTTCTGGGGTGGTAGAGATGTTTCTGGGGTGAAAGAGATGTTTCTGGGGTGGAAGAGATGTTTCTGGAGTGGGAGAGATGTTTCTGGGGTGAAAGAGATGTTTCTGGAGTGGGAGAGATGTTTCTGGGGTGGAAGAGATATTTCTGGGGTGGGAGAGATATTTCTGGGGTGGGAGAGATATTTCTGGGGTGGGAGAGATGTTTCTGGGAGAGATGTTTTCTGGTACAGCCCCTACTTTCCACATTCATAAAATTGTTCTATTTTATTTAGCTATTGCTTTTTTGTCTACATTTTTGTCTACATTGGTTATAAATAAATTATATATGTAGGCAATGGCTAATTATCTCTCTGTTTTCTTTCTAGCTTGTTTCTCTTAAAGCTACTTAAAAAGTAATTTAAAATATTTATAGTGCAGTGGTGTAACTGTGTTATGATTTTTCTAAATGATGTATTCTGAAGCATGCTCTCTTACAATAAGCCTTTGAAATCTACAAACCTAACCTATCAGATCTTTAAGTCCAGCATTACAATTAAAAAAAAATAATGGAACCAATCATCACAGTGTGTTAACTATGGAGATATCCCGCTCACCGAACGGTCCCCACACCATCTCACTGGATCTGTCCACAGAAACTGACCAAGCAGTTTGTACTGAGTATTGAGTTCAGAACAAATTATAAACATATTAAGTCAACATGTAGTAGATTTCCTTGTCCATCACACATATGCATTTTTCAGTATATATACAGGGAATCTTTAACCTTAGATTGACTTTTTTGTCCCGGTTCAAAATTTATCAAGACAACAAATGTCAGAACTATTATTACTACATATGACATCTAACTGTGCAGTGACATGAATCTTATTGGACAAACGGAGGTTGTGAATATTTGGGCGAACGTTTCCATGTACACCTGTTTTTACTCTGATAACAACCTCTGCACATCCTTTCCCATCCCTCTGTTTCCCTTTACAGAACCATGTATACAAACTACCACAATGTCTATATCCAATGTTGGATAATCAGACGAGGACAACAGAGTACAGAATATACTTGTAACTGAGATAAGAAGTACTAGTTTGATAGCAGGAAGAAAAGAATTGATGTACTTAACACAAAACATCACATCTAGATGTCTGTGGTTCAGCAAAGTCCACTGAGAAAAACAGCTAAATTTTAAAAAGTTTGAAATTTTTCTTCCTTCTACAGATATTCCAACAGATTTCCCACCCAATGCTCTACACATAGTAAACAAGGAGACTGTAAAATTAAATACATGTAGATGGACAACATTGTTTAACAGCTCCATCTTGTCTGTGGTATCACAGATCCTTTGTCCATCATCCTGTTGTTTGATTTTTCTCTGCATATGTAACAGTCTCCCTGTTGAGTTATCTTTACACTGTGTAACATGTCAGCTCCACTAAATTGATTCCCAAGTCACCCTTGCTGCTGGAACTACCGTTTCTTTCCCCGTCCAACGCCCCCTTTAGCTCCACCTCGACCTTTTGTCTGACCTGTGTAAAACCAAGACAACACATTAGTAATTGTTAACATCAATACCAGTGTTTTACAGCACATGTTTTCACAATTTTTACGATGGTAGTCCGCCATGCTTTACAACAATTAGAAAAATAATGTACTGAACCACCAGGCTAAAACAACATCCTAAATTAAAGTCTCTCATAAAGACAGCATGATGAACAGCTGTTGATAAACAAAGTAACAAAACAACTATTAAATCAATAAAACTGGGATTATAAGCAGCTGTTCATAACTTAGATTATTACAGTGTTTAACTGTGTGTACAATTATGTATGAAAGAACACCTGATACATAACAGATATAAAACAAGATCCCAGAAGGATCTGGGTTCCTGATATTTCTTATTTATATTTCTTATTTAAATGTGGGTTCTTTCTTTTCTTTCCCCTGTTTTTCTCTAAATTGTAAGAAATTTGAAAATTCCTGTGAAGAAAAAGCAAAAATAATATCTGTCAATCCCAAAATGGCCACCTGTCAGCCATTTTGTTTTCCTGCTCAGTCCTAACATAACAAGTACATCAGACATCAAGGGGAACCTATCAGTAAAGTTTGAGAAAGATCCATCCTGTACTCCTCTACAGCGATCATAAGTTTAAGGATGGACAGACGATGATGGAATGATGGTCAGAAAGAGATTTGGTTCTAAAGCCCTGAAGCATTATCACTAAGTCTATACAGCTATATAAATGACTAAATGTAGGTACAGTGTATACATGTAGTCCATATGGTAAGATGGATCCTGCTACAATATTGTTGAAGCCAATATAACTTGTCTATAATTATACCATATTGTTGAAGCATCACAGCTACCTGGTAAGTCTATAGAATTTTGTCAAATTGTCTATACAGCTAGTATATTCAATGTACAACAAGGTAAAAGTATCACAGCATGACTATAATGTAACATTTTGCTTAGCTATACTTAGCTATAATGTAGGTAGTACATTGATTATAGCTGTACCAGCTGAAGTAGGTCATAAACACAAAAATATAACTTTAGAATCTGAAAGATCAGAAAACATCTCATCAAAACAGCATAGCTTTTCTGTACAAGATAATATCTACTAATAAAGCAGCATAGCTCTTTTACGCAAGATAAAACCTACTGATAAAACAGCATAGCTCTTTTAGATAAAACCTACTGATAAAGCCGCGTAGCTCTTTTACGCAAGATTACATATACTAATAAAGCAGCAAAGCTCTTTTACGCAAGATAATATCTACTGATAAAGCAGCATAGCTCTTTTACGCAAGATAAAACCTACTGATAAAGCAGCATAGCTCTTTTACGCAAGATTACATATACTAATAAAGCAGCAAAGCTCTTTTACGCAAGATAATATCTACTGATAAAGCAGCATAGCTCTTTTTTACGCAAGATTACATATACTAATAAAGCAGCAAAGCTCTTTTACGCAAGATAATATCTACTGATAAAGCAGCATAGCTCTTTTTTTACGTAAGATAAACCTATTGATAAAGCAGCATAGCTTTTTTACGCAAGATAAAACCTACCGATAAAGCAGCATAGCTCTTTTACGCAAGATAAAACCTACTGAAAAAGTAGCATAGCTCTTTTATATAAGATTATATCTATTGATAAAGCAGCACAGCTCTTCTGTACAAGATTATATCTACTGATAAAGCAGCATAGCTTTACTGTACAAGATTATATTTTCTAATAAACATCATAGCTTTTCTGTACAGGATTATATTTTCTAATAAACATCATAGCTTTTCTGTAAAGGATTATATCTACTGACAAAGCAGCACAGCCAGCTGCTTATAACACCACTCTGAATTTGACCATGTTATTGATTATCAAAGGACTACTATATAAATACTTATAGTCTATATATCTAAAGCCATATAGTTTTCTAAGAAGCAGTCATGTGTACAGTTTTTAAGATCAGAGCAAACCAGAAATAAATACAATCTTCAAGCTGTTGCTATGAAGCTGATAACACTACTATCAGGCTGTCCAGCACTTCTTGACAAAAAATTCGGGCTAATTTTAGGGCTAAAATTAGGAATTTTGTAACTAGAATAGGTGGTATGAAAGCATTAAACTGACTTACCTTTGCAAATTTGACAAAATAGAAACTAACATACAATGCCTTAATTGCAGGAAAGGTGTCTTCCAGGGTTTCAGTGTCCCAGCTGCTGTTGGCTGTGACCTTAAGAATAACACCTCTGTCACTCAGTCACAACCAATAACAATCTGGGTACATAGATCCACTGGTCAACTGCATGCCTTTCATTGTCTACCCTGAATTAGAACTACAGACTACATTAAAATACATTTTAAGTATGAATTTAATGAAAACATTTTCAGTAAATTGTAAGCAATATAAAAAAAGTAGGAACTGAAGTGAAAAATAAGGGCTTTTTTAGGAATTCCTTTTGAATTTTTCATTTTTTTTAGGAATTTTAGCAAAACTGAAAAAAATTAGGATTTTTTAGGAATTTTAGGGACGCTGGACAGCCTGTACTATGTTTCTAGGTCGGCCAGAGGTATTTACTATAATCAGTATGTTAAAAAAAACAACCCGATATTTGATACCTGATGATAAATTAGTGAAGAAAGATGCTTTAACAGTGTGACAGCGTTTCTTTGATATTTTGGGATGTAATATCTATGACTATTTGTCTTCATTTACATGTAGGAATCATCCATGTCTTCATCAATCCCTGTGCCTGCAGGATTTCTTATTGTATATAGAGGTTACAGGATTGTATTTACTTCTGTTGACTAATAAAATATGGTTTTACAACTCAAATAAATTTGAACAGGAATGATCTACTAATTGGGATATTTTTACTGCCAACAAACAAAAGCAGACTACAGCTGACACTTAAAAAGTGACATAAATAAACAAAATGTGTGACAACTTAAGGTGATATTAGACACGAGACATATATATGATCTGTAGGTGTGGTCATACCCCCTACAACAGGTGCCCCCATTGTGAGCCCTGTAACAGTTCAATCAGAGAGTCCGCATCTAACTCGTTTATATCCTCCTGTTGTGCTCTTCTTCTGTCAGCTTGACAAAAGTTAGACAATTTATCACTTCTCATATGTACAGTACCAAACTGTAGGAAGATGTGGATTGATAGGTGAGGAAGATGTAGATTGATAGGTGAGGAAGATGTGGATTTATAGGTGAGGAAGCTGTGTATTGATAGGTGAGGAAGATGTAGATTGATAGGTGAGGAAGATGTGGATTGATAGGTGAGGAAGATGAGGATTTATAGGTGAGGAAGCTGTGTATTGATAGGTGAGGAAGATGTAGATTGATAGGTGAGGAAGATGTGGATTGATAGGTGAGGAAGATGTGGATTGATAGGTGAGGAAGCTGTGTATTGATAGGTGAGGAAGATGTAGATTGATAGGTGAGGAAGATGTGGATTGATAGGTGAGGAAGATGAGGATTTATAGGTGAGGAAGCTGTGTATTGATAGGTGAGGAAGATGTAGATTGATAGGTGAGGAAGATGTGGATTGATAGGTGAGGAAGATGTAGATTGATAGGTGAGGAAGATGTGGATTGATAGGTGAGGAAGATGTAGATTGATAGGTGAGGAAGATGTGGATTGATAGGTGAGGAAGATGTAGATTGATAGGTGAGGAAGATGTGGATATAGGTGAGGAAGATGTAGATTGATAGGTGAGGAAGATGTGGATTGATAGGTGAGGAAGATGTAGATTGATAGGTGAGGAAGATGTGGATTGATAGGTGAGGAAGATGTGGATTGATAGGTGAGGAAAATGAGGATTTATAGGTGAGGAAGCTGTGTATTGATAGGTGAGGAAGATGTAGATTGATAGGTAAGGAAGATGTAGATCTATAAATTAGAGATGTAGATGCATAGGTTAAGAAAATAGATTTATGGGTTAGGAAGTACTTTTGTACACTAATGGAGCTGGATTAACAGGAGTGTATACGACAGAAATTTAACACAAAAGTAGTCACAAGGTACTGATTCAAGAGCAGATTTACCACAAGGTACAGGTTTAAGATCATATTTACCCTGAGGTACAGGTGTAAGATCAGATTTACCCTGAGGTACAGGTGTAAGATCATATTTACCCTGAGGTACAGGTGTAAGAAGAAGACTTTACCCTGAGGTACAGGTGTAAGATCATATTTACCCTGAGGTACAGGTGTAAGATCATATTTACCCTGAGGTACAGGTGTAAGAAGAAGACTTTACCCTGAGGTACAGGTGTAAGATCATATTTACCCTGAGGTACAGGTGTAAGAAGAAGACTTTACCCTGAGGTACAGGTGTAAGAAGAAGACTTTACCCTGAGGTACAGGTGTAAGATCATATTTACCCTGAGGTACAGGTGTAAGAAGAAGACTTTACCCTGAGGTACAGGTGTAAAATCATATTTACCCTGAGGTACAGGTGTAAGAAGAAGACTTTACCCTGAGGTACAGGTGTAAGAAGAAGACTTTACCCTGAGGTACAGGTGTAAGAAGAAGACCCTGAGGTACAGGTGTAAGAAGAAGACTTTACCCTGAGGTACAGGTGTAAGATCATATTTACCCTGAGGTACAGGTGTAAGAAGAAGACTTTACCCTGAGGTACAGGTGTAAGAAGAAGACTTTACCCTGAGGTACAGGTGTAAGAAGAAGACTTTACCCTGAGGTACAGGTGTAAGAAGAAGACTTTACCCTGAGGTACAGGTGTAAGAAGAAGACTTTACCCTGAGGTACAGGTGTAAGATCATATTTACCCTGAGGTACAGGTGTAAGAAGAAGACTTTACCCTGAGGTACAGGTGTAAGAAGAAGACTTTACCCTGAGGTACAGGTGTAAGAAGAAGACTTTACCCTGAGGTACAGGTGTAAGAAGAAGACTTTACCCTGAGGTACAGGTGTAAGAAGAAGACTTTACCCTGAGGTACAGGTGTAAGATCATATTTACCCTGAGGTACAGGTGTAAGAAGAAGACTTTACCCTGAGGTACAGGAGTAAGAAGAAGACTTTACCCTGAGGTACAGGTGTAAGATCATATTTACCCTGAGGTACAGGTGTAAGAAGAAGACTTTACCCTGAGGTACAGGTGTAAGAAGAAGACTTTACCCTGAGGTACAGGTGTAAGAAGAAGACTTTACCCTGAGGTACAGGTGTAAGAAGAAGACTTTACCCTGAGGTACTGGTGTAAGAAGAAGACTTTACCCTGAGGTACAGGTGTAAGAAGAAGACTTTACCCTGAGGTACAGGTGTAAGATCATATTTACCCTGAAGGTGTAAGATCTTTACCCTGAGGTACAGGTGTAAGAAGAAGACTTTACCCTGAGGTACAGGATCATATTTACCATGAGGTACAGGTGTAAGAAGAAGACTTTACCCTGAGGTATAGGTGTACCCTGAGGTACAGGTGTAAGAAGACTTTACCCTGAGGTACAGGTGTAAGAAGAAGACTTTACCCTGAGGTACAGGTGTAAGAAGAAGACTTTATCATGAGGTACAGGTGTAAGAAGAAGACTTTACCCTGAGGTACAGGTGTAAGATCATATTTACCCTGAGGTACAGGTGTAAGAAGAAGACTTTACCCTGAGGTACAGGTGTAAGATCATATTTACCCTGAGGTACAGGTGTAAGAAGAAGACTTTACCCTGAGGTACAGGAGTAAGAAGAAGGCTTTACCCTGAGGTACAGGAGTAAGAAGAAGACTTTACCCTGAGGTACAGGTGTAAGAAGAAGACTTTACCCTGAGGTACAGGTGTAAGAAGAAGACTTTACCCTGAGGTACAGGTGTAAGAAGAAGACTTTACCCTGAGGTACAGGTGTAAGAAGAAGACTTTACTCTGAGGTACAGGTGTAAGAAGAAGACTTTACCCTGAGGTACAGGTGTAAGAAGAAGACTTTACCCTGAGGTACAGGTGTAAGATCATATTCACCCTGAGGTACAGGTGTAAGAAGAAGACTTTACCCTGAGGTACAGGTGTAAGAAGAAGACTTTACCCTGAGGTACAGGTGTAAGATCATATTTACCCTGAGGTACAGGTGTAAGAAGAAGACTTTACCCTGAGGTACAGGTGTAAGATCATATTTACCCTGAGGTACAGGTGTAAGGTACAGGTGTAAGACTTTACCCTGAGGTACAGGTGTAAGATCATACTTACCCTGAGGTACAGGTGTAAGAAGAAGACTTTACCCTGAGGTACAGGTGTAAGATCATATTTACCCTGAGGTACAGGTGTAAGAAGAAGACTTTACCCTGAGGTACAGGTGTAAGATCATATTTACCCTGAGGTACAGGTGTAAGAAGAAGACTTTACCCTGAGGTACAGGTGTAAGAAGAAGACTTTACCCTGAGGTACAGGTGTAAGAAGAGGTACAGGTGTAAGAAGAAGACTTTACCCTGAGGTACAGGTGTAAGAAGAAGACTTTACTCTGAGGTACAGGTGTAAGAAGAAGACTTTACTCTGAGGTACAGGTGTAAGATCATATTTACCATGAGGTACAGGTGTAAGAAGAAGACTTTACCCTGAGGTACAGGTGTAAGATCATATTTACCATGAGGTACAGGAGTACCCTGAGGTACAGGAGTAAGAAGAAGACTTTACCATGAGGTACAGGTGTAAGAAGAAGACTTTACCATGAGGTACAGGTGTAGGAAGAAGACTTTACCATGAGGTACAGGTGTAGGAAGAAGACTGTACCCTGCTGTATTACATAGCTAATCAGAGCTTTCAAATCCAAGGCCTAAAGAACAGGTTTAAACCAATGGCATTGTGTTGAGGTTAGACTCTCGCTGAATAGGTATTGTTTCCAAGTGGTACAAAAATCTTTAGATTTGATATTTATTGTGGATATTCTGGAATTTGGCTGGAGTCTGAACACATATTCAAAATTATAAAATTTTATTAAAAAGATTCATAATAATTGTTAATCATGATGGATTATTGACATTTTTATGCAAAGTGAAATGTGGAGCTGAACTTAAGTTTAAATCACCAGGTCATTTATACACCTGGTGTGAAATAGGGTTATATCTCCTGTCAGCATATAAGTACAAAATGATGGTCAACCTACCCTGGGGTGGCTGTTTGTTGAGGGCCAGCAGACGCCGTGGGTTCTGTTTACATCCATCTTTTCCCATTAAATGCTTCTTCCATCCATCCTCCCCAGCAGAAATATTCTGGTGACATAATGGACAGTGATTCTTGTCTGGTTCGGCAGCTGAATCAAACAATCAATAACATTACACACTACCGTACAATATCGCACACAGATACAATAGTTACAATCATTTAAAATGACTTAATTTCATTTTTAAAGAATTCTCAACTTCCATGAATAAATTTGATTCTATTTGAAGGTGTAACTCAGAGAAATGATCAATCATTATTGCAAAACAACTTGTGATGTAACTTGAAGTTAACTTTTTCATACGTATATATTGTATGCAATTTTTACTCAAATCAGCAGTGCATTTCATATAACAACAGAAAAATATTTAGATATGTCAAATTAAACCACAGAGAAATGAGTTACTTCATCTTTTATAACATAGAAGGAAATAAAAAATATACCGTGATGCACGTTAGTTACAGACATAATTACACAATTTAGTATACATTTATACCTGTACAACATTTATACCTATACATTTATACCTGTACAACATTTATACCTGCACAATATTTATACCTGTACAACATTTATACCTGTACAATATTTATACCTGTACAACATTTATACCTGTACAATATTTATACCTGTACAACATTTATACATGTACAACATTTATACCTGTACAATATTTATACAACATTTATACCTGTACAACATTTATACCTGTACAATATTTACACCTGTACAACATTTATACCTGTACAATATTTATACAACATTTATATCTGTACAACATTTATACCTATACAACATTTATACCTGTACAATATTTATACACCATTTATACCTGTACAACATTTATACCTGTACAATATTTATACCTGTACAAAATTTATACATGTACAACATTTATACCTGTACAATATTTATACCTGTACAACATTTATACCTATACAATATTTATACCTGTACAATATTTATACCTATACAACATTTATACATGTACAACATTTATACCTGTACAACATTTATACCTGTACAATATTTATACAACATTTATACCTGTACAACATTTATACCTGTACAATATTTATACCATTTATACCTGTACAACATTTATACCTATACAATATTTATACCTGTACAACATTTATACCTGTACAATATTTATACCTATACAACATTTATACCTGTACAACATTTATACCTGTACAATATTTATACAACATTTATATCTGTACAATATTTATACCTGTACAACATTTATACCTGTACAATATTTATACAACATTTATACCTGTACAACATTTATACCTGTACAATATTTATACATGTACAACATTTATACCTGTACAATATTTATACATGTACAACATTTATACCTATACAATATTTATACCTGTACAATATTTATACCTATACAACATTTATACATGTACAACATTTATACCTGGACAACATTTATACCTGTACAATATTTATACAACATTTATACCTGTACAACATTTATACCTGTACAATATTTATACCATTTATACCTGTACAACATTTATACCTATACAATATTTATACCTGTACAACATTTATACCTGTACAATATTTATACCTATACAACATTTATACCTGTACAACATTTATACCTGTACAATATTTATACAACATTTATACCTGTACAACATTTATACCTATACAACATTTATACATGTACAACATTTATACCTGTACAATATTTATACCTGTACAACATTTATACCTGTACAATATTTATACCTGTACAACATTTATACCTGTACAACATTTATCTGCTAAACACTTGGACATACTCTGATGTAGGAATGTTGTCTGTATACTAATATACATTTATACCTTTACAACTTTTGTCTGCTATATGCTGAGCGTACTCGGACTTCGGTATGGCTTCTGTACACTGAGGACACCTGGCGTAGTTTCCTTTCGCCTCACATTCTGATAACAAGTGATCTGTATAGCTGGCAATCTCCACAACCTGTAATAAGTAGCAACAGTTACATGTGGTTCTCACACGCAACAACTAACACAGATGTTAGGGGCTCAGAAACAACCCCTGACACAGATGTCAGGGGAGAAACACTTCTCACCCACAGCACCTAACACAGATACTGGGGGCTCAGAAACAAGCCCTGACATAGATGTCAGGGGCCCAGGCACATGCCCTGACATAGATGTCAGGTGCCCAGGAACAAGCCCTGACATTGATGTCATGGGCCCAGGAACAAGCGCTGTCATAGATGTCTGGGGCCCAGGAACAAGCGCTGACATAGATGTCTGGGGCCCAGGAACAAGCGCTGACATAGATGTCTAGGGCCCAGGAACAAGCCCTGACATAGATGTCTGGGGCCCAGGATTAAGCGCTGACATAGATGTCAGGGGCCCAGGAACAAGCGCTGACATAGATGTCTGGGGCCCAGGAACAAGCACTGACATTGATGTCATGGGCCCAGGAACAAGCGCTGACATTGATGTCATGGGCCCAGGAACAAGCGCTGACATTGATGTCATGGGCCCAGGAACAAGCGCTGACATAGATGTCTGGGGCCCAGGAACAAAACATTTATTTGAAAATACTCAGAATTAAAACAGATTTGGATGATGTCAGGAGGTGGGTTAATTACATATATATATATAAGTCTATTGCTGGATGATACAATATGGAATAAAGACTATTGCACTAATTGTTTAAGATACAATGATATCTCGATATCTGCTGTGACTTTATCAAACAAATCATATGAATCAGGACTGTTTTTAGTGCTGCAAACTGTTATAGCAAAAACCGGGAGATCTGGTGTTTATACAGTAATGAAGTTGATAACTGAGATAAACAGCCAGCTGCTGTAACACTCGACGAGAATCCTTACCTGTTTACAGTTAGTGCAGCGTTTTAACATAGGACAGTGTTTCCAGTAGTGCAGATCTAGTCCGTCCTCAGTAAAGCTGGGATTGTGTTCCTCACAGAATATACAGATACTGTAAGGAGAGAGTAACATACTATCATAAATAAACACTCGGTCTTAACGATATATCAATAACAATACAGGCAATTATTATACCATTTCATGATCCGGTATTAATTTATATCAATACAGTCAACAATCCCTTTACAGTTCTGGATAATTAGATTTTGAAGTAATAATTGATGATGAACAACAGGTCCTGACCTATGGCTATAATTACTAGTTACTCTTACCATATAAATAGGAAAATGAATAATGGCAACGTGACGTAGACCCGAAGAAGTAAACTTACTGATCCATGTTGTAGACAGAAGCATCATCGTCTTCCTTCTGTTTCGGCTTTGACTTGTTCAATGCTTTCTGCAATAATCAACATGCTAGAGATGAAGTCTATTTCATTGCTAAGTCAGTAATAACACATTATAGTGAAAAGTTTTGAAAGTTCTTCAAAATTACAGGAACCCGTGGAGTTTAGCATATGAAAGGAGACCAAGGACTTGTGCCAGGAAAATAGTGTGACAGATTTGTATGATCTGTGTTGGGATTAGTGACATGAACGACTGACATAACATCTGCATACCTGTATACCTACCTTTGTAGGTTTCTTGGATTCTGTTTTCAACACATTCTCATCCACTGGCTACAATACAATAAATACACACTGTCAATATCTATATACATTATCCTATATATTTCCCAGAGTAATCGTTCAAATATAATTAAATGTCAAAATTAAAATCATAAATCATGATAGGATGGTCGACAACACTAAAGTCGTTTATAACAGAAAGACAACAATTTTCAATTTTCATCCAAAAATGGAATACATGGATATATGATACTGATATGCAGGACAGTAAACATCATAAAATATTGCAATAAAGACAAACAAACTATAGCATACTGTTTAGGGTACCTAGCATTAAATTAGAGAACTCTCAAATCTTTGTGTTACTGTATCAATTACTGTGTGTGTATATAAATCACCTGTTTGCCAGCAGCCATGCTGCGCAGTTGTTGTAGCTGATTCTGGAGCGCCTCTATCTCCTCTTGTTTCCTTGATTCCTCCTCTGCCTTCTGTCTCTGGAATTAACATCAACCTCGTTAGCATGGAAAGTAGGTCATTGTGACCTTATTAGTAAATGGTCAACCTGTCCAGCACTTATACAGTGAAAAGCTATTATCTTCATCTCTTACTTAACCAGCAGTGTTCATGTTTATATTTTAATGTTTAGCCTTTCCCAAGTTATATTAAAAACAGTTATACATAACATAATGATGTCAAAATATCTATAACCATGAAAATATCTTTTTAAAAATATTGTTGGAAAATACTTTTTCAATGTTAACCATAGTGGAAAAATTTATACACCATCCTTTTGTAAGAATTGGGAGAAATTTGATAATCAAAGACATTATCCCTTCAAGTCACATTTAAACTATGTAATCACTCTTATATAAACTTACACTAAGTAATTACCTTAATATCAGATTTGCTTGGCTTGCCATCCACTTTGTCAAAATATTCAAAAAGCTGTCGATACATTGTGTTTTTTCGCGTTCTCTCGTCGTCAGGTGGTAAATGATCTTTGATGGTTTGACGGTCCCCTGGGTTTTCTTTGTACATTGTCCTGATGATCCGTTCTGATACTTCTCTCACCTCTCCTGCAGTGTGACCCAAGGCCACTACACAGAAGTTCATAATGTTGTCTATTGTCATCCCTCTGTAACATTAAAATATAACATATTTACACCGGAGACATCTCTATACAGTAATGCTCAATTAATTATTACCACGTAGATATTTCCGCTACATATGACACCATTTACTCCAGTTACTACTGATCTATATACACTTAATTAAACCTGTGTTACTGTGGTCTAACAATATATTGTCCTTAACTGTAAAACATGTCTAGGACTAAAGGTATTTTGCTCTTGATTACGAACGTTGCCTATGAAAAAATATTTTCTATCCTGAAATTCAAAATCAATGTTTTCCGTTCACTAAACATGTGCTACTCTGAAAGATGTAAGCTAACTCAGATAAACCATGATGAAGTAACTACTGTTTATGACTACGTACGTGTTACCCTTGACTCCTAGACTTTTGTACAACATCTCCACAATTTCCACACGTGACTGAGCTGGTCGGGGTGCTAATGTCATCTTAATTGGCTTCAGACATTCATGTGGTACAACATTGGTGGGCTGTAAAACAGAAGATAAAAAATATGTCACTTCTTTCTAATGTCAGAAGGATTCACAAATCTGTGTAACAATATTTCATTTCAACTACTGTGTTTATCTCTTTAAGCCCAGCAATGCTATATATGGTTATGACTTGGGAATCTAAACTGTTTTCAAACATATTTTCCCTATTGAGCCCCTCCCTTCCTGCCCCAAGGTCCACCATTTATACAAAATTGATTTTCCTTCACTAAAACATGATTCACACCACATCAGGGGAAAATCCAATCATTCCTACAGGAGGAGTAGGGTTTTAAAGAATTTGCTCTATTTCCCCTATTGGGCCCCACCCCCTCAGGCAATGGGTGGAGGCCAGTACACACCATTTATACAGAAAATGTTCCCATTCCCCTAAGGATGCTTCTGACCAAATTCTGGTCAAATTCCCCTCAGTTTTTCATGACTAGTAGCATTTTGTAGAAAAAGTTGACAGACAATGGATGACACAGTATCCCTATAGCTCACTTGGCCCTTCTAGTTAATAATGAAATATAAATGAAAGAAAAGGCACCAAGAACAGGTGGTCGATTTTCTATTTAGACTGACAGGAAGACCTTAAAGAAATGGCTCCGTTATCACAAGTAAATTTTACTTACTCGTACATCAGGGAAATTTGCCATTTCTCTGATAAAATTTTTTGCATCTTCTCGATTCCTTGAAGCCTGATAAAATAAAGAAAACAGTAAAATATCACATCACTGTAATATTATCTTTACATGTCAAACTTAATCAGTTATATTAGTTGTTTGTATGTCATACAATGTAAAAGTTTCGTGTTTTGTTTTTACTCAGAAAAGTCAGCGTCATTTTAAGGCAAGCCTCCTTGTATTGGATGGTGAAGCTAAGACAAATATTCTCATTGGGACAGGTGCAAAAATACATATATACATAGATATATGTATTTTTTGCATATATATATATATATCAATTCAAAGAATTGATAAATGTCTTTTCTCAGTCTCCATATTTCACATGCATAACCAGAAGTCAACTTAAGAGAATGTGCAAGAAACTTACAAATGAAATTTGAGACAAACTAATTTAAACAAGATTGTTCTTTATTTCTAAGAAAAAGGGATAACTTTAACAACAATTCAAGATAGCTGCCTCTCAAAATATACACATACAACAAGCATCCTCAACCTACAAACCATCTACAAGTCATGATTTTACTTGGGAAATAGTGATAATAATACTGACATAATGACAGATAGACCAATTAGATAACAGTGTTATGTGAACAATCCACCACTTAATAACAAATGGCCAAAAACAGATTAAGAATTCTTTGAACAGGTGAGTTTTTATTCCTTAAAAGAACTGTATTATATATAAAACAAATTCAAATAATAGTGTTCATACCGTGTCAGCAGACTTGTTGAACAGCTCAGGCATGACCAACTCCACTGTGTGGACAATATCTGACTTGCCCAACCTGTAACACAGACATAATTCACAAATGCTTCAAAGATGAAGAAAGATATAATTGATTCTTAAATATGTTCAAAATCTTATTTTTCATATAGCTTATCAATAATGTGAATTGATGTATACAAAGTGTGTTTATTCTGCTTGGAATATTAAGATTAATTACATATATATTTTGTTCTTAATAAAAACTGGTAACAGAAACTTATTCAACATTATTCTACCTGTGTTTATAGGTCTGTGTGATACCTACCTGTGTTTATAGGTCTGTGTAATACCTACCTGTGTTTATAGGTCTGTGTGATACCTACCTGTGTTTATAGGTCTGTGTGATACCTACCTGTGTTTAGGTATATATTCTGGTCTGTGTGATACCTACCTGTGTTTATAGGTCTGTGTGATACCTACCTGTGTTTAGGTATATATTCTGGTCTGTGTGATACCTACCTGTGTTTATAGGTCTGTGTGATACCTACCTGTGTTTAGGTATATATTCTGGTCTGTGTAATACCTACCTGTGTTTATAGGTCTGTGTGATACCTACCTGTGTTTATAGGTCTGTGTGATACCTACCTGTGTTTATAGGTATATATTACCTGTGTTTATATATATTCTGATCTGTGTGATACCTACCTGTGTTTATAGGTCTGTGTGATACCTACCTGTGTTTATAGGTCTGTGTGATACCTACCTGTATTTATAGGTCTGTGTGATACCTACCTGTGTTTTGGTATATATTCTTGTCTGTGTGATACCTACCTGTGTTTATAGGTCTGTGTGATACCTACCTGTGTTTAGGTATATAGGTCTGTGTGATACCTACCTGTGTTTATAGGTTTGTGTGATACCTACCTGTGTTTATAGGTCTGTGTGATACCTACCTGTGTTTTGGTATTTATTCTGGTCTGTGTGATACCTACCTGTGTTTATAGGTCTGTGTGATACCTACCTGTGTTTATAGGTTTGTGTGATACCTACCTGTGTTTATAGGTCTGTGTGATACCTACCTGTGTTTAGGTATATATTCTGGTCTGTGTGATACCTACCTGTGTTTATAGGTTTGTGTGATACCTACCTGTGTTTATAGGTCTGTGTGATACCTACCTGTGTTTTGGTATATATTCTGGTCTGTGTGATACCTACCTGTGTTTATAGGTCTGTGTGATACCTACCTGTATTTATAGGTCTGTGTGATACCTACCTGTGTTTATAGGTCTGTGTGATACCTACCTGTGTTTGGGTATATATTCTGTAAGCAGCATTTTGAGGAGGTGCAGGCCAGCCTTAAATACCTGGAATCAGAGATTTAATCTCTACACAACACCCGACAAGATTAGCCCTGACTGTTATCACACAAAATACAAAAGATTTTCAACCAGATACTTTTTAACTAACAGAGTGTATTTATCATGATTCTAAATAAATACCGCCATTTTCAAACACAAATAATAAAAAAATGAAAAAGTCAGTTGGAATAGATAAACTTACAGCATAAACCTTGTCTCGAATGGCACGTTTACACAAGTACACAGCCCCCTTCAATGCTGACTTAACCTCATCCTTAGGTGTGGATGTCTGCATCTCTGACATCTGTTTATATACAGCCAGTAAGGCATCCTCCCGGTAGGACCAGGTCTTACTGTAGGCTTTGGCCACCTATAACACACACAAACACAGAAACATACCATACGGCATCAGACAGTCTTACCTTTATCAGTTACATCCACTAATAAAACTGTTTCTGGGCAATAACATTGCTGACAGGTATATTTAGGACACAGAAGGTCCATGTGATCTAAAGAAATTGTTCATTCACTTTTCCTGTATTAAAATTACCAGACTTTAGATTTGTTTGTTTTTCATCATCCAGAGATATTTAACTTACAAAATAATGTTTGACACCTCACCTCAGAATACAGTCGTGCATAAAGAGAAAATGGGTCAAAAACAACTGTTTGAACACATTTAGGTGCAAAGAGATATTTCCAAACAACTGAGTGAACGTCAAGGGAGATAATTTACCAGTGGTTCTCCAAATACGTCCACTGCCGCTGATGCCTCACGTAAATCTTTCTCAGACATGGGTTCTGGCTCGCCCGTGATGCCCCCACCTCCTGTGTCTGCCACTTGTTCTTCTTCCTCTGTCACTGGGGGAGGTCTGTAGTAACAATAGACTGATGTAACAGACAACAACAACACAAGGTACCAGACACATGACCTTTAGCCCTATAGGGAATATCTGTGTGACTTTATGTACAATTATATAACAAAGAAATTTCAAGCAGAAAATCAATGTAATACATCACGTTAGGTGATTTTACCTCCAAAAACTTTTTCTTAAATCCTCAAATTGATGATATGAAACTGGACATAATTTCTCAGATTTCGAAATGGAAATTTCATGAATCAAATGTGATGGTTTTTTGGAATAAAAATATAGAAAAATGCATCAAATAAAATCTTTTCATATCAATGATAGCTTTTCTACAAAGTAAATGCGACTCATGGTCACGTGATGCAATAAAATACCAGGATAATGATGACATTTGAAAGTAAGAAGCAACGTAAGGTTATAAAACCCAAATGATCAATCATTTAAAAATTTAAATGACCCACAATGAATGTTTCAAGACTATCCAAACTATATATACAACACCTATAATTCTGACAAAGGAAACAAGTTTTATAATAACAGATACATCACATTAACTGTGATGAATTTATTTCTATTTTATTTGTAATCCTTAAAACAGCAGAATATTAAAAAGTATATAAAAGATTTTATCAATCAGAGGTCAGAGTCTTTATACTGAGGCCTTAAGGAGTAAATAGACATCAGAAAATAATAGCCAGTAAATCAGTCTGTGCTGTCACATCCTGATAGAGTGAGGTTAGGGACTGGATTTGACAGGAATTATTTAAAATGTTACCAAAACTAGAAGTTTAACAATACATATAAATAAACCAACTGAAGTTTGAAATCAAAGCAAGAAATAGACAACATTACTACAATGACAGGAACGTAATGTAAGAATTTGTTTTTATAAGAAAAAAGGAAAAGAAAAATGGAATTATGAAAATAATGCTTCAAGTATGCATTGTAAGGAAAAGAAGTATCACATCAACTTAAATGACTTTATCAATCATTTTCCTCGGAATTGTTCTTAGTCTCCTAAAAACCAACTAATTTTTCATATCTTAAAGTACAATGATTTTGATTTTCATTAAAGTCTTATAAGTTATGAAGAAATAATATCATAGGCTTTTCAAAGATTCATTCAGCAAGATTTCTACAACTAAAAACAGCACTACAAAGGGAGATAACCAGAGAACTACTTCACACAGGAGACAGTAGACATGGTGTCCTAAAAGGATCATAACCTTTGACCTATGATCCTTGACACCTTGAGGCTATAGACATACAGTTTTACCTACATGAAACGTTTGGCAATCTGAGTTGGTTTCACATAGCGCTTGGTATAGCTTGTCAATACAGGAGAACAACACACAGTCATACCAATGATTAGAAAAGTGGGTTAAAAATAGGAAATCTTACATTAGTTTTCCTTATACACTTTGAAAATTGTTAGAAAATCAAACACCTGATTACTCATAAATACTGTCAGAGGAATAAAATACAAACACCGGTACACTAACTATATACTCAGCGGTAGAATGGGACTTGTGACCCCTAACCACAATCATCCCTTAGAATACTACAATTTGTCCCACAGGATTATTTTGGATTCCTTAAGGGTTTGTAACACCACTATCTGTCATGCCTGAATTCTGTAATCATTCGTTTTGTACGAAGTAGAAAGAACTTTTACAAAAATCTTATAAGACATCAAAACTGTGAAAATAGACTTGACTATAAATGAAGAATGACAAAATGTAACACAAGTTGATAATTTCTGAGCAACATTTTCTCTATTTACATTGTACTGATACATTGTATTTCAATTGTGAAAATGAAAGATACACTGAAGCAAGTACTTCTATCACTTCAAATTTATTTGAAAACTCTCAAATTGTGAATGAAAATTATTGATATTATCTCACAAAAATGTAGCAATTAAAAGTGAGTTTTAACTACTGCAAGTAATTCATGGTTAGAATAATTAATAATGTTGAGAGTACTTCAGACATGAACAACAAAATCATTGATAAAACTACTAGGATGGTTATCATTGATGTGTTAGTCACTACACACTACAGACACTGTGATTGTACATACCTAGTGTCACTACAAATCAACATACAATAATATCATACATAGACTAGCTTAATTAATCAGCCACTACTTCATCATAGATATAAAAGCATTCTGATTAAAATGAATAAATGCTGTCTTATTTTCAGCACAACAAAGGTTTCATTGGAAAAACAACTAATATATATTTGACGTATAAAATATTCATTAAAAAGATTTCTTGCATCATGAAATCAGTGATTTTTTAAGTACATTCATGAAAATGATGTAACATAATAACCCGAGTTGACCTCCATTTTTTTTTTTGCTCTCTAGACTTAAAATTTTAATCTATGTTTCCAATATCTAAAGAAATTATACAACACAGGTCGAAGGACAGTAACTGTATGATAAAACCAGTTATCACCATGTTTTACCCAAGCTGTGTTTCTAATTGATTTTTCATATAATGTAAGTTGAGAATTTCAAGGATAATGTAAAAAGGGGCAACAACTGCAATTAAAATAAAGGAATAAAAACAGAGATTTGTTACCTGTATGTTATCTGATAAAGCAGTAAAGTAACAATTTTATAATATGTTCCTCCATATGGACGGACAGACAGATCATTTTCATGTCTAGGTTTGTGACAGGGAACAACAACCTATGTACACCATTTTTAACTTCACATTCAGATCAACAACATGTCCTCTGTGTAAATTAACCAAGATTTGGCGACTGCTTTATTTATCTTAATAACTCAGAAATTCTCAAACTTACTTGTTAACAGGTAATTGGCGTTCGTCGTATGGCGTCCGGGAGCGTGGTGATGGAATCTGTTCTCGCTGAGTTGTGTCCCCTTTACTATTGGGAGGGAAAAAAAGGATTTCTAAAACTACTAATACCTATTACTGAGTACTGTATGTCCCTTCAATATTGGTACACAAAGTCCTGTGATGCATTGACCCAGGAATGTGTATAAAACATCATGCTTTTTGACTCGGGGACCTGTTTGTTATGGGGTTGAGGTTTGGGGATTTGAGGAGGGGTTGTTGGAGGAGCGGAGGGGAGGGGGAGGGGAATGGCACAATGGGCTGCTGAAAATGAGATATGTATTTGTTCTGTAATTCATAGTAAGGAAGGGGGGAGTGGGGGGGGGGGCGTCTGGAGCCGGGGTGGGGGTGAGGGCTCGCATTACTTATTATACTTATCATGATGAGAGTGGGCACTAAGTTGGGGGATGGGGGTGGGGGGGCTGAGAAAGTGGAGTTGTTCCTATCTAGGACATGTGTAACAGACACAATTAAAATTTGTGAAACTAAATTTGTAAAATGTATATCTAGAAGCTTTAATGATACACAATACTAAAGTATAGGTTATACAATGTGCAATATATTACATTGGTATCAAATTGTGAAAACTGTTAACACTATCACTAAATGATACAACACCTGTATCAAAGCTTACAAATTGTACTATGTGCTCTGGAACATACTATCTCCTCTTCATTAAGCTTGAGATGTTATGTACGCTAAATCAAATGTTATTTGTACATAGAATTACAGGTTAATAATTGACATGATGAAATATATTGCCAACTGAGAACATCCATCTTAAAGCTGACAATCTATAGGAGGCCCAATAAATCAGAGAGGTCACAGTCTCACAGAATTCACCTCAAACTATCCCCAACCCAAAAAGATGTGAATCACTACCGAAGCAGACTCATTTACATATTGTTCTGAAATAAACATTTATACACTAGCATATCCCTTACCAACCAAACATAAGTAGAATTTTTACTCATTATTTTCATGTCACACAGTTATGGCTTCCAACGCTTTCAAAGTAATTTAAGTTTCTGCTATCGATCACCCAAATATTATGTGATGTCCATAATTATACAAGTTCAACACTTCAATATTATAAAATTGATTTATAAAAAAAAACGTGGATTGTCAGCTTTACCTGAACATTTTTCCTACACGACTGGTGTTAACTAATCACGACTGTGGTCATAATACAAGTTTACAGACAGGATAAAAAGCTATAATTTGAAGTACAGGATGTGTGATATATATTACTTTTTCATTGCAGGAAGGGGTCGCTCATCATAAGGTGTCCTTGGCGGTGGAGTCCTGGGTGGAGTTCTCGGTGATAAATGGCTGAGACGAGGTGGTGTCGGTTCCCTTACAGGTTCTGTAATACAACACAATAATCACTGAACCTGTAATCCTACACAGAAAATAGCTCCAGTGCATCCCTAGGTGTTGTTTATTAAACATATGGTGTGAACATTGGAATCACCTTATCACAATACGATTGTAGTTTTATAAGAATTCAGACTAAATCTATTAACACAAATAGTTAGTCACATTTTATCTGAAAAAAACTTATGAACAGATTTACAGACTGATAGAAACTTTCACCCCCTTTGGAGTGAAATAGAGGGATGTCATCCAGAGTGTAAAGATTATTTAATTGGAAAACAGAGGCTTACTGAAAGTTTGCAACTTAATAATCTTTCCTCAGCGGTAAAGATCCTCCTATCTCACCAATGATAAGGGGTTATTTTTCTGCTGACCTTATTTCATGACTTATGTCAATGCTTAGGATTGTTGACGTGAAGTCATAGTTATGAAATGGGAGCTCCCCGTCCCCTGCCCCCCTCCCCGTTTCAACCTCAGGGTGAGACAAGAAAATCTGACTCCAGCAAAATAATTTACACATTTAACAACAAACTGGATATCTTCAGTAATAACCTGGGAATAATACACACCGAACCTCATACTCCTTCATCAAATTAAATTCATCAAACAGCTTCTATCAAAATTAAAATTCATCACATTGTGGATAAGAATACTTACCAAGGTCTACATGCTGGGGATGCCTCGACTGAAATGTAAAATTACGTTGTTCAGTACATAAAACACAGATACTGACCAATAAGGTAAAACTCACAGATTTAGTAAAAAACAAGAGAAAGTAAGGTTCACTGACCCATCAATCACTCATAAGCCAGACTTAAAATTTCATATCTAGTCACAATGCACAATGTCTGTCCAATTTCATATCTAGTCACAATGAACAATGTATGTTCAATTTCATATCTAGTGACAATGAACAATATATATTCAATTTTGTATCTAGTCACAATGAACAATTTATGTTCAATTTCATTTCTAGTCACAATGAACAATGTATGTTCAATTTCATATCTAGTCACAATGAACAATATATGTTCAATTTTATATCTAGTCACAATGAACAATTTATGTTCAATTTCATATCTAGTCACAATGCACAATGTATGTTCTATTTCATATCTAGTCACAATGAACATGTATATCCAGTCTAATCCCAATAAACATTCCTCCTTTATTATATAAAAAAGAAAACAAGTACAGCAATGGTAAGCAAGTTTGAAAGAAATCAGTTGAAAACTGGGAATTATTAACATCATGACAATAACTCTTCCAAATGCAGTTTAAGCAAACTGCTGTTCAGGCAGACACAACTTCAAGTCATGGTATCCAAGCCACCAAAGTTTGAAAAAGATTGCTTTGGAGGCGACCTCCAGACAAATTAAGTTATGATTGACAGATATATTGACAACTTCATATCATAATACCTCTGTCAAAATTTTTGACTAATGTATCAAAACCGAAGGTTAAAGTCATAGTAAACCTTAGGTAGAAAATACCTACATCTGTAGTCTCTGATGGATTACTCTGAGGTCACAGTAGATCTATATTACCTACTCCTGTTGTACCAGGTTCAGGTCACAGTAGATCTATATTACTTACCCCTGTTGTCTCCAACAGATCACCAAGGTTGAGGTCACGGTAAATCTATATTACTTACCCCTGTTGTCTCCAACAGATCACCCAGGTTGAGGTCACGGTAGATCTATATTACTTACCCCTGTTGTCCCAGGTTGAGGTCAAGGTAGATCTATATTACTTACCCCTGTTGTCTCCAACAGATCACCCAGGTTGAGGTCACGGTAGATTTGTAAGCGATATTCCTCCATCTGAACTTTTTTGAGAGCGGCCTTGTCATAATCCTCATTTTCAACAGCTTGACGTTTCTCCACCTCGTACTTGCCTAACTTCTCGCCTACCTTCTGTAGGTCCAGAATAGCAGTCTTAAGCTTCTTTGCATAATCAAACCTCTCCTCTGTAAAACATATTGCTTAATCTGACAAAACATTCTCTATGTTTTATATACTAAACAGAATCTGCCATGGAGACTTATTACAACATAATACTATATTTCTCCTGCTGTAATGCCAGGAAACAACACACTGATATAAAATCAGAGGATGGGCTTATTACAGGACAGTGAACTGTTTGTAATTCTACTGAACAGCTGTGTAGAATCTGGGTGAATTAATCACCAGCAGGGACACATTGTGAGATGAATATGATAATCAAATAAAAATACAACCATTCTTTACTGTTATCAACAGAAACTGAATCCTAGTATAGTATATAGGTAGTCCTTACAGACATAACATACAATTACTGAACTGTGATCAAACATTTGTATCATACTACACATATAAACACTACAACACCACTAACTCAAAATTTGTTTAAGTTTGCCAGTGGTTAGAGTAAATATTTAGATATAAATTAGACAAAATTAGGAATATTCTTGATCATGACCGTAGATTTGTTGAAACAGGTCAGATAGACATATTTGGAGTGTCCATTGTGCTTTGAATGTCGTCGTTTTTCCATTGGTAAAATTATCAACAAACCCAAACAAACCAGACTTTGAGTGTAAAACTGGTAGGGAATCATTAATATCAGAGTGAATTCTTTAGTCAACATACGGAGAACGGCTTCTTTCTTTTTCTTTTCCAGTTTGCGTATAATGCTGGCTATTTCTGGGTCCTGGTACATATCAAATGCCAAGTCATCAAGAGGTGATATGTAATCTGGTCTGTAAGATATTAACAGGAACACATCATTAGGCTTTCAAAATAAATCAAATTCCAAATGACCAAAGAACAGTGATTGAGTGTAGAATGGTGTTATAATGTACTTACCTAACGCCACTTTCCTCGTCGTCCATGTATTCTAACCTTTTAGACTGTTCCGGGTTTAAGTAATAATCCTACAAAACAAAAAAAATGGTAATATTTTATCAGAGTTGACTTTTAGTATTTTTTCTCATTACTTAAAGCTTTCATTAGGGCTAATGGTAGCATAATCCTGACAAACCCCACACTACAATCCCAGCCAATCATTTACTATAATCCTGACAAACCCCACACAACAATCCCAGCCAATCATTTACTATAATCCTGACAAACCACGTACTACAATCCCAGCCAATCATTTACTATAATCCTAACAAACCACATACTACAATCCCAGCCAATCATTTACTATAATCCTGACAAACCACATACTACAATCCCAGCCAATCATTTACTATAATCCTGACAAACCCCACACTACAATCCCAGCCAATCATTTACTATAATCCTGACAAACCACGTACTACAATCCCAGCCAATCATTTACTATAATCCTGACAAACCACGTACTACAATCCCAGCCAGTCATTTACTATAATCCTGACAAACCACGTACTACAATCCCAGCCAATCATTTACTATAATCCTGACAAACCACGTACTACAATCCCAGCCAGTCATTTACTATAATCATGACAAACCCCACACTACAATCCCAGCCAATCATTTACTATAATCCTGACAAACCCCACACTACAACCCCAGCCAATCATTTACTATAATCCTGACAAACCCCACACTACAATCCCAGCCAATCATTTACTATAATCCTGACAAACCACGTACTACAATCCCAGCCAATCATTTACTATAATCATGACAAAGCCTACACTACAATCCCAGCCAATCATTTACTATAATCCTGACAAACCCCACACTACAATCCCAGCCAATCATTTACTATAATCCTGACAAACCCCACACTACAATCCCAGCCAATCATTTACTATAATCCTGACAAACCACATACTACAATCCCAGCCAATCATTTACTATAATCCTGACAAACCATGTACTACAATCCCAGCCAATCATTTACTATAATCCTGACAAACCATGTACTACAATCCCAGCCAATCATTTACTATAATCCTGACAAACCACGTACTACAATCCCCGCCAATCATTTACTATAATCCTGACAAACCACATACTACAATCCCAATAAACCATTTACTATAATCCCACATTTACATTGATACCTTGACACACCATTTCAATGGTAACATATTTACTTGAACAACATACATTGTAAATAGCCATAAACAAATTAGTCAGATATAACCGCAAAATATGATAATATACATCTTGATTGTAAAATGAATACCAAATTAAACAACAATCTGAAGCCAGTTGTATCACTGATGACCGGTGTCATATCACTGATGACAGGTGTCATATCACTGATGACAGGTGTCATATCACTGATGACAGGTGTCAGATGACAGGTGTCATATCACTGATGACAGGTGTCATATTACTGATGACAGGTGTCATATCACTGATGACAGGTGTCATATCACTGATGACAGGTGTCATATCACTGATGACATGTGTCATTTCACGAATAAACTAATGGTGAAAACACATATCATCTGACTCAATAGTCATTTCAATCATTCAATATTATGATGTTAATGTATATTTATAAAAATATTTACAAACATTGTGTCTTACAATAAAGAAATGGTGAAAACACAAATCGTCTGACTCAAAAGCCATATTTATAAAGATATTCACAAATTTACAATCATTGTATCTTATGGTAAATGAATGTTGACAATGCACAGCATCTGACTCAAAGTGAAATAGAAGAGGTAAGGGGGAGGGAGGGGAAAGGAAGTGACCTTACAGCAAGACAACATCAAGATAGTATTTTAAACTGCAATAGGTATGGGAAAGTTTATGACTAGACATGGAGGATAGTTAACTAGCGACATTATAAATCATTCAGTAAAACATGTAACAGTCCATCTATACAAGATCAGATACTGCAAAAATTGATGATACACTTAAGAAAGAGGATCTGTAATCGACGATAATTAATAATGATAATTTTATTATACAACACTGGTTCGTCATAATCAACATTTCTAACATTTATTACTGAAAAGAATGAAGTAAAGTGCACATATCAACCAGGCAGTTGTATAAAAAGGTGAAATATTTATACTTAAATATTATGTACATTTATCATAATATTATTTATACTTATAAAGTCTGTGGTATGTTTTGGTATAAAAGTCTGTGGTATACTTTGGTATAAAAGTCTGTGGTATACTTCGGTATAAAATCTTGTGGTATACTTTGGTATAAAAGCTTGTGGTATACTTTGATATAAAATCTTGTGGTATACTTTGGTATAAAAGTCTGGTATAAAATCTTGTGGTATACTTTGGTATAAAAGTCTGTGGTATTACTTTGGTATAAAAGCTTGTGGTATACTTTGATATAAAATCTTGTGGTATACTTTAGTATAAAAGTCTGGTATAAAATCTTGTGGTATACTTTGATATAAAATCTTGTGGTATACTTTGGTATAAAAGTCTGTGGTATACTTTGGTATAAAAGCTTGTGGCATACTTTGGTATAAAAGCTTGTGGTATACTTTGGTATAAAAGTCTGTGGTATACTTTGGTATAAAAGCTTGTGGTATACTTTGATATAAAATCTTGTGGTATACTTTGGTATAAAAGTCTGGTATAAAATCTTGTGGTATACTTTGGTATAAAAGTCTGTGGTATACTTTGGTATAAAAGCTTGTGGTATACTTTGATATAAAATCTTGTGGTATACTTTAGTATAAAAGTCTGGTATAAAATCTTGCGGTATACTTTGATATAAAATCTTGTGGTATACTTTGGTATAAAAGTCTGTGGTATACTTTGGTATAAAATCTTGTGGTATACTTTGGTATAAAAGTCTGGTACAAAATCTTGTGGTATACTTTGGTATAAAAGCTTGTGGTATACTTTGGTATAAAAGTCTGTGGTATACTTTGGTATAAAAGTCTGTGGTATACTTTGGTATAAAAGTCTGTGATATACTTTGGTATAAAAGTCTGGTATAATATCTTGTGGTATACTTTGGTATAAAATCTTGTGGCATACTTTGGTATAAAAGCTTGTGGTATACTTTGGTATAAAAGTCTGTGGTATACTTTGGTATAAAAGTCTGTGGTATACTTTGGTATAAAATCTTGTGGTATACTTTGGTATAAAAGCTTGTGGTATACTTTGGTATAAAATCTTGTGGTATACTTTGGTATAAAAGTCTGTGGTATACTTTGGTAAAAAAGTCTGTGGTATTACTTTGGTATTAAATCTTGTGGTATACTTTGGTATAAAAGCTTGTGGTATACTTTGGTATAAAAGTCTGTGGTATACTTTGGTATAAAAGTCTGTGGTATACTTTGGTATAAAAGCTTGTGGTATACTTTGGTATAAAAGTCTGTGGTATACTTTGGTATAAAAGTCTGTGGTATACTTTGGTATAAAATCTTGTGGTATACTTTGGTATAAAAGTCTGTGGTATACTTTGGTATAAAATCTTGTGGTATACTTTGGTATAAAAGTCTGTGGTATACTTTGGTATAAAAGTCTGTGGTATACTTTGGTATGAGTGAAGAAATTAAAAAAAAAATCAGGAGTTTTCATATCAACACTAAAGAGAAAAAGACATATACCACTAACATGAAAAAGGAATAAAAAAGTAAAAGATTAAGACATTTTCCTTAAAATGATGTGATAAATAAAAAAAGAGAAGTAAACAGTGTACAGAATACCTTAATAGTTTCAAATGATAATTGATCATAAGAGGCCACAGGATTATGATCCAGGCCCCACAGACCTGGCCATGACGGCTGTTAGTAAAAAAAGTAAAATGTGAACGGTCAAACAGTGTAATAGTAGTCATAGTTGTATGTATCAGTGGAGGGGAGAGGCTGTGGAGGGGAGAGGCTGTGGAGGGGAGAGGCTGAGGAGGGGAGAGGCTGTGGAGGGGAGAGGCTGTGGAGGGGGAGAGGCTGTGGAGGGGAGAGGCTGTGGAGGGGAGAGGCTGTGGAGGGGACAGGCTGTGGAGGAGAGAGGCTGTGGAGGGGGCAGGCTGTGGAGGGGAGAGGCTGTGGAGGGGACAGGCTGTGGAGGGGACAGGCTGTGGAGGAGACAGGCTGTGGAGGGGACAGGCTGTGGAGGAGAGAGGCTGTGGAGGGGGCAGGCTGTGGAGGGGACAGGCTGTGGAGGGGACAGGCTGTGGAGGAGACAGGCTGTGGAGGGGACAGGCTGTGGAGGGGACAGGCTGTGGAGGAGACAGGCTGTGGAGGGGACAGGCTGTGGAGGGGACAGGCTGTGGAGGAGACAGGCTGTGGAGGGGACAGGCTGTGGAGGAGACAGGCTGTGGAGGAGACAGGCTGTGGAGGGGAGAGGCTCAGGAGGGGAGAGGCTGTGGAGGGGAGAGGCTGTGGAGCGGAGAGGCTGTGAAGGGGACAGGCTGTGGAGGAGAGAGGCTGTGGAGGGAACAGGCTGTGGAGGGGACAGGCTGTGGAGGAGACAGGCTGTGGAGGGGACAGCCTGTGGAGGGGACAGGCTGAGATGACTCCTTTACCAAGAACACTTATTTACACACATTTGTAACAATGAAGTAGTGGTATTGGTGTGAGTGGCTTGGTGTGAAAATATAAACATAGCATGACTATAGTCTGTCCCAATGAACTTGGTTTATCAAATTTTGAGAATAGAAAACAAAATAAATATCATTTTGTGAAAGTGGAATGGTTGGGATTTGGGTAGTGGTGACAGAACAAGAGTTTTAACAGCTGATATTTTCCAATATTCTAGCTATTCTACAACTTAAAGACTGTTAAAGTTGGTCTTCTCGTGCAGTGTTTTAGCAAATGGATATCTATATCACAATCGCATTTAAAAAAATGTTCATTTCATTCATCTATCATGTATATTTTTTTTCTATTTGAAAGGTAAAAAAAACTGTGTACTACATTTCAAGGTATAGGATAAGGTATAAGGTTTAATTGATTTTTTTTTTTTTGAAAAATTCTCGATTATCAATCTTATTCAAGGCACATGGAAATGGTGTTTACTGCATATAAAACTCCATATAAGGGTCTAAAGGATAAAGTGAAGGGCAGTAATGACAGCTGACAACAGATCACTGAGGTTCAAACCATACATACTCGCTTAATCCTCTGTAACACACAAGGCAGTAGAATACAGAACATTGACATAATAAATCTAAACCACAAAATCAAAACTTTCAGAACTTGGTAATAAATATAACTGATGGCCGTAGTTATGTTTTGATGATAAAGATCATTGAACTTTTCTGCTGTGAAAGATATTCCTGACAATATGATGTATACATTAAAATATAAACCCACATGATCTCAGCTCTAATAACTTTCAGTTTTTAATTTAAATTGATTTTAATTTTAAACCACACCTACCTACACTGTTATCTTCTCTAAAGCAGATTACTTTAGAAAGGATATATTGTTAGTAATTTTTAATAATTTATAATCTTACAGGATGACAACTTGTCCTATTCCTGGCCTGTTATCAATATGACATGCTCATGTCAAAGACAAACCTATTTGTATGATGTTACACAATTACCTTGGAATGAAAAAATAATGAGTCAGAATTCATATAAATTATCAATAGGTCATTTGATCTTAGTAATAAGCATTTTATTTATCTGCTATACCAAGATTTAATAGAATATTTACGTGAATTGTCATAAACAGTTTTTTCTAAATCCTGGTCAGAGTAAAGTTCTCAATACACATCCTACACTGTATAACCCATATTACTGCTTACTATAAGCAATAACTGTATAAAATAGGTATTATATATCAGTATGTACTTACATCTGTTAGATCTGATGGCCGTGAGATGACATCACCGATTATATTTACAGCAATAACTCCGACCTGAAAGGAAAGTGATTCACACAGATAAATCAACAGACTCTACATCTAAAACATTAATCAAAAGTAAATTTATAATTAATGATACTTCATCTTAATGCTGTTTAAATGCCATTTATTTCAAACCTTCTGCAAAACAATTTTTTCGTCTTCTGACATCCAATTCATTCTATTTGAGATTCCATGTTTTCTGGGTTTTTTGAGATTTTACTATAACATCTGTTGAATCACCTTCAGAATTATTATCTGTCAGTGACAAAATAATAGGTAAGAACCCTACCTGGTTATACACATTGTGTTTGTTTACATGGTTTTTATGTACAAGTATCTTCAGGTACTGGCCTATAGCATCAACGTGTACAGACTTTAGCTCTCGTGACTTAAAGCCTGTCTTCTCATTGTCTGACAGGGACACATACCTGGAGAAATAGAAATTCACACAATTGTTATTGCTGTTTTCACTTCATCTATCCTTTGATAACATATCTATCCTGTAAAACTGTTCTTCCCTGTTATACTGTATCTATCCTGTAATACTGTATCTATCCTGTAATACTGTATCTATCCTGTAATACTGTATATATCATGTAATACTGTATATATCATGTAATGCTGTATCTATCCAGTAAAACTGTTCTTCCCTGTAATGCTGTATCTATCCTGTAATGCTGTATCTATCCTGTAATGAAGTATCTATCCTGTAATGCTGTATCTATCCAGTAAAACTGTTCTTCCCTGTAATGCTGTATCTATCCTGTAATACTGTATCTATCCTGTAATACTGTATCTATCCTGTAATACTGTATATATCATGTAATACTGTATATATCATGTAATGCTGTATCTATCCAGTAAAACTGTTCTTCCCTGTAATGCTGTATCTATCCTGTAATGCTGTATCTATCCTGTAATGAAGTATCTATCCTGTAATGCTGTATCTATCCTGTAATACTGTATATATCATGTAATACTGTATATATATTGTAATGCTGTATCTATCCTGTAATACTGTATATATCATGTAATACTGTATATATCATGTAATGCTGTATCTATCCAGTAAAACTGTTCTTCCCTGTAATGCTGTATCTATCCTGTAATGCTGTATCTATCCTGTAATGAAGTATCTATCCTGTAATACTGTATCTATCCTGTAATACTGTATCTATCCTGTAATACTGTATATATCCTGTAATACTGTATATATCATGTAATGCTGTATCTATCCAGTAAAACTGTTCTTCCCTGTAATGCTGTATCTATCCTGTAATGCTGTATCTATCCTGTAATGCAGTATCTATCCTGTAATGCTGTATCTATCCTGTAATACTGTATATATCCTGTAATACTGTATATATATTGTAATGCTGTATCTATCCTGTAATACTGTATCTATCCTGTAAAACTGTTCTTCCCTGTAATGCTGTATCTATCCTGTAATACTATATCTATCCTGTAATACTGTATATATAATGTAATGCTGTATCTATCCTGTAATACTGTATCTATCCTGTAATACTGTATATATATTGTAATGCTGTATCTATCCTGTAATACTGTATCTATCATGTAATACTGTATCTATCCTGTAAAACTGTTCTTCCCTGTAATACTGTATCTATCCTGTAATACTGTATCTATCCTGTAATACTGTATCTATCCTGTAATACTGTATATATCCTGTAATACTGTATATATCATGTAATGCTGTATCTATCCTGTAAAACTGTTCTTCCTTGTAATACTGTATATATCCTGTAATACTGTATCTATCCAGTTTGGGCTTACTGCCAGATTAAAACAGCTTCAATTTGTCATATCTTTGAACAGTGATATGGTTGGGCTTACAAGCATGGGTGTGCTGCCTAATCAATAGAATAGGCAACAAAATTTACACAATAATGCCTTGAAATTATTTATCTTCTTTTCTGTTAATAGGAATGCCACATGAGTCTAATGCAAATGTGACAGTTTATCTATAAAATAGAATATCACAGTGTATCTGTTAGTATAGAATACAATGTGTAACTGGTGGCCGTCTTACCCTAGTCGTGTATATCTGGCATTGTCTGGAGACAGAACCATATCTTCAGGGACATCACCCACTAAAAACTCGATCTTTGTGGCTGAAAATAAACATAGAATTAATAATACTACAATTACTTATATCTCCAGAAGATATTGACACCTTCTTTTAGATCTGTTCTTACAATTAATCATTTAATAATTGTTCTTTCAATAACAAATGAATGGGTTGTGAACTGGCTGATCACAAATTAGTGTGACAATATCAATATATGTAGAGGTTGTGTTATATCTAAACTCAGAAAATGCTTTCATTACAAGGACTCAATTCATACATTTCCTGTTCACTTCAGTCAATACCAACTTTTAAACATCTAAAATTTTCAGATTATACATGTTTAATTCCAATGTGGGCAATAACAGTTAATCAATATTTATTTCTAGATATCACTTTTTCTGTTTCCTTAAAATAGTAACTTTAATTTACAGCTTGCAATATGTCAAAGGCAATATATTTATTAGACTCAGTAAGAACTGTACCAATGGGCGATTAAATGACCTGTCACTCTCATGAAAATATATAATTTGAACTGAGAAAAGTTTACTTCAACATAAATACACATATATATTTTTGATACCTTCAAATAGTGTATCTGTTTGCAGCATAATGTTAATGACAACTCACCTACTAAAAATTGATGAGATAAAATCTGAATTTTTCTTAACCGTGAACGAGCATCCAGCTGTACGATGAGGTCCTGAGGATATAGACAGTACCTGTAAAAGACAGCATCACTGATCAGATTTAACAGAACTTTGTTTTTCTGAATTAAATAACACATATTATAGACTAGTCACCAGACTGAATCTGTACCTAGGTGTTCCCAGCTACTGTTCTCTAAGCCCAATGATAAACAAATTGTAAGGATCTTTTCTGCTAAGTTTGGTCAAAATCTAGAAGTTAACTTCATAGGAAAACTTGATCAGAGCTTACTAAATTTGATAACACTTTTTGTGCCAGACCCAGTCGAAGTTCAAAAATCCTGATACACAATGATAGAAGCATACATAAGCTTTTTATCCCCTAGTCAATACATTGTGGACTTTTTTAACTTGAAGCATGCTTTCCCTGTTCAATGGACTGTTGATTTACAGATTTTACAGATTTTATTGGTACTCTCAGACATACAAAGTATGTTACAAGAGGTCAGGTTACAACAAAAACATTCATGGCATGGCGGTACACAGTTACATACATAATGATATTTTAGCTACGTAGATTCAATAGATTATCAAGCTTTTCTAGAAATTTACTGAGATTTGATAAAACTTTAACATTACATACAGAAAAAGTCCATGCATTTTTGTAATACTAGGATAAGTAGAATAGTAATGTGGAATAAATTGATCTCTTATTCTCTTCACTGATTCATGATCGCATCTAAAAAGATAGTGGTATTCATCGCCAATTTCATTTGAGCAAAGATAACAAACTCTGTTCTCCTTCGGTATTCCGATCCATCTTCCTGTTTCTATAGGTAAACGCATATTTGAAGTTCTAAATTTAACGATAATTTGTCTTTCTCTAGGTTTAAGTCTCAAAAGATATTTTTCTAATTCAAAATTACTTTTCATTATACAATAGGTATTTCCTCGAGAGGAATTAATTACATTACTGAACCATTTTTGTATGAACTGGTCTTGTAGTCTTTGCTTAATGACAAGTTTTAAATAATTTCTATCAAATGAACATATTTTCTGGAAGTCCCAGATAAAGTTTAAACCAGTTTCTATAAAAATATTTTGAACATTTTTCAACCACTTGAAATCCATATTGCCATTAATATGTAGATTGCACATTAAGTTATACATGATACTTGACAAGTTATTACAGGTAATTAATTTATACCAAAACATAATAACTCTGCTTTTAGCTTCAATAAGTAAAGGGAATCTCCCCAATTCACCATAAATCATAAAATTTGGTGTACTTCTTCTAATACCTAAAATACGTTTGCAGAATTGTAAATGAAGTTTTTCAATGACACTTAAATTTTCAAAACCCCAAACTTCTACTGAATAGGCAACACAAGTGAGTCAAAAATGACGTTTCTACTATAAAGCTTGCTACTACCTGGTCAATGGACCATGGACAACCTTACCTTAAAGCTTGCCATCCCCTGGTCAATGGACCATGGACAACCTTACCTTGAAGCTTGCCATCTCCTGGTCAATGGACCCTGGACAACCTTACCTTGAAGATTTCCATCCCCTGGTCAATGGACCATGGACAACCTTACCTTAAAGCTTGCCATCTTCTGGTCACTGGACTGTGGACAACCTTACCTTGAAGATTTCCATCCCCTGGTCAATGAACTGTGGACAACCTTACCTTGAAGATTTCCATCCTCTGGTCAATAGACTGTGGACAACCTTACCTTAAAGCTTGCCATCCCCTGGTCAATGGACTGTGGACAACCTTACCTTAGAGCTTGCCATCCCCTGGTCAATGGACCATGGACAACCTTACCTTAAAGCTTGCCATCCCCTGGTCAATGGACTGTGGACAACCTTACCTTGAGGCTTGCCATCTCCTGATCAATGGAACATGGACAACCTTACCTTGAAGATTTCCATTCCATGGTCAATGACAGTGAACAACCTTACCTTAGAGCTTGCCATCTCCTGATCAATGGACCATGGACAACCTTACCTTGAAGATTTCCATTCCATGGTCAATGACAGTGGACAATCTTACCTTAGAGCTTGTCATTCCCTGATCAATGGACTGTGGACAACTTTACCTTGAAGCTTGCCATCCCCTGGTCAATGACAGTGGACAACCTTACCTTGAAGCTTGCCATCCCCTGGTCAATGGACCCTGGACAACCTTACCTTAAAGCTTGCCATGCCCTGGTCAATGGACCGTGAACAACCTTACCTTGAAGCTTGCCATCCCCTGGTCAATGGACTGTGGACATTTAGTTCAACAGCTTTGTATCCATCATCCTGGCCCGACACATGCACCACTCGAAATGGAAGTTTACGTGGCATTATATTGCTGAACAGTATCTACCAAGTAAGCATTGTCTTTCTTGTCCTAACCCAACTGTCACTCCAAGTGATTCTTGTGTGGAGGAATGTGTTTTCTTTCGTATTATGTCAATACGTTTGTAATCAATGTTGCTGCAAAAACACAAATACAATATATATTCATGTGAACGATAAAAATCCATAAGCAAACTTAAAGCTGTAAATTCCTTCATGTACTCAGAATTTTTATTCTTTACATGAATATACTGTGAAATCATCAATTTTTGTGAGAGATTTATATTTGATGTTTTTGTGGGACCTCTTTATCTACGAAAATGATATGTCCATGAACTGATTTAAATAGTTTACAGACATTTATTGATCTATATATGTATATCCATGACAACATTTTCCACAGAAAAGTTATCTTTTGAAAAATCACGAAAATTGAATCCCACGAAAATGTATGATTTTTGGCAGTTTATATTCCCATTAGTCAACATCATCTGGAGTTAGTGGAGTTTGTTAGCTGATAGGCTGAAGGCTGCAGTAGTGGATGTTCAGCTCATTCAAGAAATAAATGAATAACTAAATACATCATCCAGATATATGTTTCCATAGTTATTAACCTGTGTTTGTAGTAAATACAACATCATTGATCTACCTACAGATGTGATATTAAGTGATCCTTACAACACTGTAAATGTAAGGTTGTAAACATCTACATTACTGAACAACATCCTGAATATTAGTCAATTGATCAATGAAAACAGGAAAATGTTATGTCATTGTGACGGAATAGTTTCCAACAGTGACAAATGAATTATTAATGATTTTTAATTATATCACTGTATAAACTTTCCTGGAATACTTGGATGGTTCTGTCAGATATTGATCCTTACATCATATACTATTCACTCTGTAAGCGTCTTGTTACGCTGCGTTACAACACAAAATTAGCATACATATCCTAGTAATGTGTTTACAATTACAAGAATCACCATTGAAAGGGTACAAAAATGTGTTTCAAATTAACAATACAGTTATACAGCAGATCTGCGAGATCCTGTTACTTTTTTTTAACTGATTGATTATTAAAAGTTTCTGTTGATGATCAAATTTCCTAATTTTCCCTTTTTTTTATTTTACAAATTACATGTACACCATAAGATTGTGTAGTGAAAAACTATTCATGACACTATTTTCTGGTCAATCATTTAGATTTGAAATCTTCAAAGAAAAAAGTACTAAAGTGTGGTGCTTAAATAACAAGTTCAGCAGCCAGGAATTGGGAGTTAATTATAAATAATACTGCTGGCCATCAAAGTCTTAGCATGGTTGAAAGAATACCCTGAAATCCTGAAAGTAAGTCACTGATTCCATGAAAGCAAACATAATCTAAGAAAACAGATGGCTTTGAATGCAATGCTTGTCAAGAAAGTGTTGATTATGTAATTTTTCCAGATGGTAATTTAAATGCTCAATACATTAATTAATTTGAATATAAAGACAAACAACTATTTTCTTACAGTAATACACAGTTTGGTAAATTCTTTTATTTTATGACAATAAAGTATACATGCAAAAATCTCAACAAACTTTCACTTAGTCATATTTTATAACAATCAGAAACTTGAATTATTAATCTAAGTCCATGTTACTGTTGGTCTGATGTACAATAGCACACATGACACACAGAGATCACAGTACCTTGTAAAATTTAGTTTTGAGAACATAACAAATATTTCAAAGACTATTTCGACAGTATTTCCTTCCCAGACAAATCTTGAAATAGCAGGTCAAAAGCAGTAGAATTACCTTTGGAAGAACTTCATTTTTTCACATCTACATATGAAAAAGAAACTAGGTGACTTGGCAATTGATTCCATACCAAGATCATATGACCCTAATTGATAACTTCACATTTTGTTCTTTAAATTTATTATGCACCATGACATTTCTCTTCCCCCCCCCCCCCCACCCCACCCCCTCCCCTTCTTCATTCCCAGTTATTATTAAACACTTATGGATACTATAACAGCAAAATCAAAAGGATAAATAATAAGGTCAATTTTCCAAATCACTGTTTTGACATATCTTAGTTATGATGATGGACTTGGAAACTTGTAGTCTCAATTCATGGCAAGCGATTTATCTTTTGATATGAAATTAAAAAGAAAATTGGTATCTGTATGTTTACAATGTAGGGTCCTTGTGGACATGTAATGCATTGGGGGAGGGGGTGCATATTACTTGTTGCCGCTGGAGGCCACCACTGAAGCCTTGAAGGTTTTCTCATCAAGCAGCTCCCTGGAGATAGTGGTAATGGGAAAGAATAAGTTCTTCAATTCTTCCGTTCTTGCATTTGGAATTTTGTATCTCCTATTGTGATTACATTAATGCTATTTTATTGTATTGCTGTAAGAGAAACCACTAAAATCTTCCTGGCATATTTTTCATCATTGTCTTTCAGGTGTCAGGAAATTTGTAGTATGAGTCCCAAACAACACATGTATACTCAAAGATTGACCTAACAAGTCAGAGGTAGGCTGACATTCAGCATGCATGCCGGCAGTGTTTCGGGTTATGTATAATAATGCTGAAGGAACAGTTTTTTGACAGTCTTGTAATGTGTGAGGTCCACTTTATGTTTTTATTGACGAGAGCTCTGAGACAGGGGTACACACTACATTTGCTTGAGAATCTGACCTCCAACCTCTGACTGAGGTAGAAGTGAGGCTTCTTACTATCAATGCAAATAAATATATATTTCTTCAGTTTAGTACATCCATGTATATATTGCATGCAATATGTGTAATTAAGGTTGATTGACATTATTATATGCTTAATAGCTGTATTTTGGAGGTGGTGCAAAATTGACTCTTTTGTAATCAGACAAGGTGGCAAACAGTGGCATATGGGTACGAAACGTCCTGCTGCAAAATAAGATGTGTGCGAAATGCCCGACATCTCCATGACGGACACATTTTTAAATTAAAAAATTCCCAACGACATCAATTTTAATTTACATGAAGTAGATGCATAATCGTTGTTGGAAAAAGAAACACTACTTACACATTTATGTAATCAATTGTCAGTGAATAATTAATTCTTTAAGTTTATTATTACTTTAATGTTATTTGGCAAATCCCTACACCTACAGTACTCATGCTAACTGTATGAACTTTCAGACATGCCCAGTCGGGTCGGTACCCTAAACAGCTCTAACTCAGTGTGTTTTCTAAATAGTGAAAAGAAAAACTGAACTCTAAAGAGTACTTACTTTAGTCTCCGAATATTAGGATTTTAAATGTAGCTTCCAATTATGTGATATGCTTTATAAAGGTAAATATCTCATTTTCCACTTGACAACCACGGAGTTTGTGTACATTGACTCCAATGGAATCCCAATTCTCGTGCTTACGAGAAATGACGAGAATATGCAATTGAATGCGTATTCTAAACCTTTTTACCCCTTCATTCTATTTTAAATTCAATACAAAATGATGTATGAATTATTGATAATATTTTTTCAATGAAGGCAGAATTCCTTATTATGTAAACAATGTGTATCCTAATGGCGGCGCCCATGTGTGATGGCGGGAAACACAACTCTTCAATAGAAGCCATTGAATTGAAAACCTTTTTATAGAATTTAGCACAAACATACGGAAGTGACCAATGTCGATATGGGATCGATTTCTAGGCCTGTTTAATGGCGGTATGAGGGCTTATAAAGTACAAGATGTTAAGCGAGAAGCGCGAATAGGTGTCACAGCCAAAAATTTTCACGAGTTGTTGGAAAAGGGATGCAAGAAGCTAAACGTAAGTTGTGTTAGACAGTAGAAAAGATAATTTTCCAATATTAAACAATCAAAACAGGTTTCTGGTGGATATAGGTCTAGGCCTATATCCTGTCCAGTTGCACCATTCCAATGACATCAGCGTCTGATTAGCTCGGCTCATGTTAAGAACCATCAGCTATTTTAGATAAAAGTGAAAAAGTTGAGAGACCAGTTCACTTTAACCCCTCGCCTGATCAATTTTTGTAAAATTATACCAGTAACTAGATGTAGGTGTAATGATATGCAAAACTAGTTAATCACTGACAGTAATTTTCAACTCCTTGGCTTGGCATCAAACCCAGGACCTCTGATTTACTAGTGACAAAGTGTGGCACTCAACCGATCAAGCAAAAGAGAAGTTCTCCCTAGCCATTTTCAGCAAGTATTTTACCAGAGTTACACTAGTTTGTGATACGTCTAAATATGTGAAGAACCATCAGTGATCTTGTCATTGCTTCTTAATCTTGTTAATGAAGAAAGATTGGTATACCTCCAATAATGAGCAGGGAATGATATTAATGGGTCCCAACAAAATTTGGACCTGTACTGCAACATCCAGTGGATGTCACTCAGAAAATATTGTCATTACTACTTCTTCTGAAATGAGAGTTATATCAAGGCAGCATTTTACTACTCCTGAACAGAATTCATATTGAGGCAACTATTCTATCAGTGAGTTATATGATTGACAGGTTTTACCAACTGAGTTTCCTGAACTTTCATTTAAAAAATGACATGATTGTCAATTTGAAAATCTGTTTCATCTGCTTTTCCTAATACCCGAATATTACCATGATGAGTTGTGTATGCACAGATGATCCTAACCTACAGGTCGGTTCATTTCAAGACAGCAAACATCTTGAATATTTTGTTTCTTCTTGGGATGCTGCTGTTGACAGAAAACACTATTGTATCATGAGTCAAGACAATGTAATGAATAATGAAGTGTTTTATAATCATTGTTCACAGATGTAGATGACTCTAAATGACATTTAGACCTGTGCTAAAATTTGGGTCTGTGTCTCTGCATTAAGATGATAGTGGCCACCATCATCAGAATCTTCTGTGGAAAAATAACTGTTGACATTGTGAAGTATTATATCATTTAAAATAAAGTTTGTTGCTCTCAGATTGTAATTATATCTTTCAAATTTAGAACATTTTATGATATGAAGTTGTGTCTTTTAAAACAGCATTTTAATTCAGTATAATTTTTGAGGAGTTATTGCCCATTGTCTATTTATTTTTTTTTCTAAGCATTTCAATCTTGTTTTTATGTAGCCTCTCCCAGTTTTTGATCTTGTTTCTTTGAAAGCTGGCAAGCTTAATGACCATGACATGAAACAAATTGCATATGATTCTCGATGCTGCTTAATGAGAAATACAATATTTAATTGAGTTGTTGCCCTTTGGTTTCTTTTTAAGAATTTTAATATGACCCGAGATTTCTTTTCTGGTTTTTCAACCTTTAAAATCTAGTATGCTTTATCATTAAAACATCTACATCCAGAACCCAGCCTCTTCACCTGTTGTGATTGATCTCTATGCCTCTAAAACATAGTACTGCTTTCCTTTCAGGCATTTTGGTTTTAATTTTTAATAGAGTTTTTGTTATTTTTTACCTTTTTAAAATCTTGTCTGTAGATCCTTTTCCTCCATTTCAACTCAAACATTACACTTGTAGACTTTATGAAGGCATGAAGTTGTGCTCTCTCGATGGCAATTTATTTCCATATTTGTATACATTTTGATACAATGTATTTCTTTTTGCCATGGATCGTTTTTCCCTGCATTATCCTGGTTATTACATGTACTCCAAAGAGGTTTCCACTCAAACACGTTCGAAATACTTTTCACTTTTGAAAATTATATGATAACAATGAAGTAATTGCAATGTTTCTGACGACTTTAATATGAAACAACACTGACTATGGTAGAGTTAGCTTTAATAGGAAAGAACACTGACCATGGTGGAGTTAATTTTAATATGAAACAACGCTGACTATGGTAGATTTAGCTTTAATAGGAAAGAACACTGACCATGGTGGAGTTAATTTTAATATGAAACAACGCTGACTATGGTAGAGTTAGCTTTAATAGGAAAGAACACTGACCATGGTGGAGTTAATTTTAATATGAAACAACGCTGACTATGGTAGAGTTAGCTTTAATAGGAAAGAACACTGACCATGGTGGAGTTAATTTTAATATGAAACAACGCTGACTATGGTAGATTTAGCGTTTCATGATAAATTTTGGTGGTAATCTTAATCTGTCTTTGCCAAAACATGGACGACAAAATGATCAAGAGTGTGAAAGATTTATTGCTTAAAGAAATAAAATGCAGTCGGTAAACTACATAGAGAGGAACTAAACAGGGTTTAGATAACATCATCAAATTTGTGTTAATAAAGGCGAGTAATTATTTTAATATCGGCGACAGTTCGGATGTTCATGATTTGTCAATGCTTATAGCCCTAATTATGAATTTCAGAACATTGTGGAGAACATGTTTAAATGCTTGGACAGCTAATGGGCCAATATGATTTTTATCTTATATCATGTTATATCTGTGTTGTAAATCAAGTTTGCTGTACACGTTCATTTATAATTACACACAAGTGCAATTGTAAGAAAGTTAGGATTTATCAAACTATTTTTTATTGCAATGAAACCTGTCGTTCAGTTGTTGTTGATTGTATCTGAAAATTGAAATTGTGATTGTTTTTTTTTTTTTTTTGTTTTTTTTTGTAATTAAATTTTTTTTGTTATGTGATTGGTTTATAGTTTGACTTAAGAATGAAAATGTTTAGATCATAATTGATTTTGATTCACATAATATATACAGATATGATAGGAAGGAGTAGCTGCTGAGGTTTGAATTAGGTCTTGAATTCATTTTCTTTGTTGTTATCACCTCCACCATTACTAGCGATTCTGGTGAAGCTATAGTGACCCTTTGGTCTCTAGACAGATAATGTATTACTAGATTAAAGAAAAATTCCCTCTAGCTAAGGACACAACTTGTAGTATCAGTAGGACTTGTCAGTTTAAAACATACACTTTGTATTTGAGATTTAATACTGTGTATCCAGTGCTCAAACAAGCTATGAACATGTTATTGGTCACTATTGTGAAAGGCACTTTTAAAAGAATTTTTTAAAAAAAGATTAATTGGATAAATAAGCAACTAGCTGATTAGTTGTCAGTTATAATAACTGATCATCCATGTTGACATCACAACCCATTCTCATGAGCACAAGAAAACATTGAACTGATTTATGAGAGTGGCCTATAACCATGCACTTCAGCGTGTAAGGTGCATATTTCAGAGTCACACTTGACTGGACATGATCACCCCCTCCAATCACACTTATCCACCGTAATGATCAGATTAAGATCTTATCATGTTTTGAAACTTCATATAATATAGATATAATCAGCATGACCAATCACTCAAGATCATATGCATTCCATACCAATATACCACTTCCTTTATTTCAATACAAATCATACACAGTGTCTCTGAGTGTCCTTGACACTTTGATTCAAAGTTATTTATAACTTATCAGCGATTGTTACTAAAACATGTCACTCATGTTGATATATGTCATTTATTGTGTGCATCCTTTAATTTTGACTTAAATAACATAAAAAAATGATTCAGCATATTGTGAAATTGTTAAATAAAAAATTCAAATCTATGACCTGGGATCATGATAAATCAAGACTTGGGATAATATTGATGCTGTAATAAGCTGATAATACACAACTATATACATTGTAGGATTTGTGTTTAATTACACAACAACATAAAATGGTTCTGATTGATCGTGTCCTTTTGCAAGACAACTTATCCCAATTGAATGAAACAGGCTCCTGTAGGTTTTACAGTGAGGTATAGCGACCAACTACTACAAGGAGGCCCCGCCTCAAAATGACCCAGGTTGTTGACAGGATGATAAACTCAACCAACAAACATGTAGTCATTTAGAGGATTGAAGCATGGTTTTGAAAATTCTTTATTGTGGTAATTACGTATCAGTCATACAGGGGAGCCTAAGGACATTAAAGTAAATTGCCTAATACATGTAAATATGAAATTCCCTATGCTTGTTAGCACACCAGTCACTTGGGTCCTTTGTTTTTTGAGTTCTTTGTCAATCTGTTTTTACTGTATTATAACAAGGCTGTATTTGGTGAGTAGGTATTGATAAAATATTATATTTAAAGTTTGTGTTGATCTATAGCTTTTTGCAGCATAGAACTTAGATAAAACTTAAATGATTTTCAATAATTCCATTCAAACTGAATTCCAATCCATTGATGTGCTTTGTCAATCTGATTTACTGCCTTATAAACAGGCTAGTGTATTAGAAATATGTTTTCAAAGTCTATGTCAATGTTTTGAAGCATATAAATTAGTAATAACCTAACCCCAGTCATTTTCAGAAATTCCATTCAAACAGAACAGAAGGACAGCATTTAATTAAATTAAAAAGTCCACTGTAATACATCCCGAGAGTAAACCTTGAATATTAACTATGTTGTTTAGTTTGACACATTATTCCTGCATGGAAGCTAGCTCAGCAAACATAGATGCTCTGACTTTCTCTGGAGACTTGGTACTTCTGGCAAGGCAAAATGCTGAAACAGAAAATAGGATACAATTTGCATATCTCATGTTCAAAGCATGCATGCTGTGGTACGTAATTGAAAAATGTGGAAATGAAATTGTAAAGGTATAGAAATTGTTCAAGGTGAAGCCATACATGGCCTGTTACAGCTTGTACAAATTAGGTTTGTATTGAACTTTAAAACATGTCATTGGTATCAGCATAGATTAACAATGGATCATTTAATGCATGTGGGACATCCATATTATCATACACGAAAAATGATTTCAGAATTATTGTTGAAGTGCCAGCCAAGTCATTTTATATAGGGCTGGAGCTCTGATGTTTTATCCACTCCAAATTAATAAAAGACCTGGTCTTATTCTCCTTGTACTTTTTCAGGAGTCTTTTGTGTAAATCTTTCTATTGGTTCACATCTTTTGTTTTTACCTGTTACAGCCTGTACAATAACTTCATGTGGCCCTTTCATGTTGTTATAAGCAAAATCCTCTTCAGTGAAGAAAATATGAAGCAATTTTGCCGCCATCTTTTCTCCATTGAGGTCACGACCTCCAGGTGTCCTTCCAGCAGCAATGACAGCATCTCTTTGGTCTCGGTGTATAAAAACTTGTGACCCTGGAGAAAGTTCAATCATCTGTATCCAGAAACAAATGTAGGTGTTAGGAATTTCCCAATCAGTTCATACATAAACAGAGGTCACACAATGGCCTTTTGATTTTTGTTGTTTTTTTCTTTTTTATGCCAAAGGCTAATTTTAAAGTGTAGTGTTTTCTTTAATTTTTATTCATGTTTTTTCATTAATTTTTCGTTTCTTTTCATCTTCCTTCCTTCCTTCCCTTCCTCTCTCTCTCTCTCTCTCTCTCTCTCTCTCTCTCTCTCTCTCTCTCTCTCTCTCTCTCTCTCTCTCTCTCTCTCTCTCTCTCTCTCTCTCTCTCTCTCTCTCTCTCTCTCTAGCTGTTCATATTTCAGCCAACCAGAAAACCATTCAGGTAAACCATGTAGATATCAGATATTATTGGTGGATTTTCGGGATATTATTGGTGGATTTTCTGCCGTATTTCAAACTGAATGATATTTTCTAAATTAATGGGATTATCAGTGTCGATGTTACATGTAATATACAAATTGTGTAAGATAATAAAGGAATTTTCTGAAGTCTTAGAAAAAAAATTCATTTATAATGTGAACAACTCAAGATACTTTACTTTTTCTTATATAAATCAGAAATTTGAATTTTTGCAGGTTTTAAAGTCAAAATATATGATAAATAAATTGTATTAATTTCACATAATTTTTGAAACAATCTATCATTGTATATTGATAACTTATATTGACCTGAAGTGTGCGAGGGGTCTTACTGTGAGAGGCACCAGAGTACAGAGACAACCCTACATGGTTGGGCAGGTGATCCCATATCTTTGTACATATACACTGGGAATAAAATCCTGGACATTTTAAGTAAAAGACAAGTGTGTTACCACTGTACCACCCAAAAGTCTCTTAATCAAAGTCAATACATGGATAACAAAGTTAAACAGAGGAATCCATTTTGTATTTTGTTTCCAATAATAATGTCATTGTATTATGACATCACAATCAATTTCTAATTAGCACAGCCAATGATAAACACTCCAGGGTGATACATACAAAGTATTACATTGTATACAGGCAAATTCCATGGATAACAAGTCAATTCTGTGATAAATGTATATAAGTGAAATTACATACTCTGTGTTTCAAGGCATCTGCAGAAGGCACTATTCCAGCCCTTGGTCTTTCTACAAAACAGAAAAAAATAGTACAAGTTAATCTACATGCTCTTAATAATTGAAACAGTTTGGCGAAATTTGGATTTCACATCATTTTAAAAACAATTCCAAGTAAAGATATATTCAGATGTGTATATATGCTGGGTGTAAAGGGGAAATCTAAGGACAATTTTTTATAACTGTTGGGTACCAGTACTTTTTTAGGGCAGACTAGGTGTTAAGGGTAGATTCTGGAGTTGTACTTACCTGGGGCAGGTTAAGGAGTTAAGGGTACTTGTTGGAGTTGTACTTACCTGGGGCAGGTTTAGGAGTTAAGGGTACTTGTTGGAGTTGGACTTACCTGGGGCAGGTTTAGGAGTTAAGGGTACTTGTTGGAGTTGGACTTACCTGGGGCAGGTTAAGGAGTTAAGGGTACTTGTTGGAGTTGTACTTACCTGGGGCAGGTTTAGGAGTTAAGGGTACTTGTTGGAGTTGGACTTACCTGGGGCAGGGGTACTTGTTGGAGTTGGAGGAGGTTAAGGGTACTTGTTGGAGTTGTACTTACCTGGGGCAGGTTTAGGAGTTAAGGGTACTTGTTGGAGTTGTACTTACCTGGGGCAGGTTTAGGAGTTACCTTGCTGGAGATGTACTTACCTGGGGCAGGTTTAGGAGTTAAAGGTACTTGTTGGAGTTGGTCTTACCTGGAGCAGGTTTAGGAGTTAAGGGTACTTGTTGGAGTTGTACTTACCTGGGGCAGGTTTAGGAGTTAAGGGTACTTGTTGGAGTAGGACTTACCTGGGGCAGGTTTAGGAGTTAAGGGTACTTGTTGGAGTTGGACTTACCTGGGGCAGGTTTAGGAGTTAAGGGTACTTGTTGGAGTTGGACTTACCTGGGGCAGGTTTAGGAGTTAAGGGTACTTGTTGGAGTTGTACTTACCTGGGGCAGGTTTAGGAGTTAAGGGTACTTGTTGGAGTTGTACTTACCTGGGGCAGGTTTAGGAGTTAAGGGTACTTGTTGGAGTTGTACTTACCTGGGGCAGGTTTAGGAGTTAAGGGTACTTGTTGGAGTTGTACTTAAATGGGGCAGCTTTAGGAGTTAAGGGTACTTGTTGGAGTTGTACTTACCTGGGGCAGGTTTAGGAGTTAAGGGTACTTGTTGGAGTTGGACTTACCCGGGGCAGGTTTAGGAGTTAAGGGTACTTGTTGGAGTTGGTCCACCAGACTATCTCTGAGGGTAAGAGCGTGATCTGTAAAAATATGTTATTGACACATTTTTATCCTCATCAAATTTAATTACATTTTGTATACACTTTGTTTATAGACTTGAGTAGCATACTCTAAAAATGGTCAGATGTAACTATCAAATTTTAAAATTGACAATCTTTAAAGTTTGTATACTGTAAATCAATTAGATTTCACAAATTCTATACTTTTGTGAACTTACTTCTTTAGACATATTCTTGAATACATGATTTCATGTATGCTGATCTTGAAATGACTAAGTTCGCAAAGGATGAGCTACTATAGAGAACATGACTCTCCAGGATTCTGATATTGGTAACAAAATCAACATGAATGCATTCAGAGTCATTTTTGGTCTATCAGTTAAAAGCAAGAGTTACAGCCCAAATCTGACCAAATATATCGTACATTATGCTGTATTATTTAAAAATATATTGGTATTGATTGAAATATTTTTTTCATAGATTATGTATATTTCTAATGAATATGAAACCAGACCTGGAAAGGACAATCCATGTCATTTTGGCATAGTTCTAGTAAGTAGTTATCATTCAAGGCTACATGAAATGGTATGAAATATTCAAATACTCTCAGTATATTCAAATCCATATTTCAATGCTCGGTTGTTTGCTTGTTGGTTCTGTTGTTGTTTACCTTGTTCTCTTTTGAGAACATGACATTACTTACTTGGATTGACCAAGGTTTACATGGTGTGTATCGTTTATGAAGCAGAATATGCTTACTCTTCCAGAACACCTGGTCTTTTTCTCCTTGTACTTTTTCAGGAGTCTCCATGTAAATCTTTCTTTTGTTCATATTTTGCCCTAGTTTTATGGAATTTGAGTTCGGATTATGATTATGTTGCCATGCTGATATTTTCTTGATATTTTTTTCTGATTATAACATTGATACCAATTTTGTAGAAACTTACCACATTTTGATTGTTTAAGTTCTGTTTGGAATTCTCCAAACTTTCTGGTCACATGATGGCAGCACTGACACTGCCCTGACAGAGTGGGACTCTGGTTCTGAAAACTTGACTGTGTTGAGTTGGGAAGTGAGACCCCCACACTTGGCTGGGGAAACTTGACAGCAGCAGCTGTGTGTCTGCGTGGCCTCACTTGTGGTGATACAATGGCATATTCCTTTTTCTTTAGTGACTCCGAGCGTTTCCTTGAAAACAAGCTTTTGTATAGATTATAAATATTTTATGTATTAAGTCTTTATCAAATATGTCCTGTGGACTAAAATGTGAAAACCATTGCTTCTATTCCATTTTACAAGTTTATTTCATCACATGATAATTTCATCATTTGGTGTCAAGTCAGAAATATCTTATGTTAGCTAGTTCATATTGATGAAGATCTCTGAATTACTCACATTATATAATACAACTGTTAAAGATAATAATGCCAGCTCATGTGCAATCTTATGGCAAAAATATTATTGGAGAAATTAGACACTGTTTGAAAAATACTCATTGTACAATGTTAAAGAGCCACCTAGTATAGATTAGTTGTAGGGTATAAGACATGAATATAGTACAAGGTGTGTACTGGGCACAAGTAAGAAATTGTCTTTGTCATTTAATTTGTCTGTTTTTGTTCAACTATATAGCCAGTCATGCATGTTAGGTATCTGTACAATATCTTCTATCATAATAAATTCAGGGGAGTGAAGGCACAACATCCCTCAAATGCTTAATCTGTAAAATTTGTCCAGGGTCTGTAGTGAGCACTAGGTGTATACAGAGTTCTCACTAAAAGTTGTAAAATAGTGGCGAAGAAGTGAAGACAACACTGCAAATCAATTCTATATCAAGGATTATGCTATCTTCTTGAGCTGGCAACCAGAAGATAGAATAAACCCTGATTTGGATTAGTACCAAGGATAATTCTATCTTTTAGAACTGGCAACCAGAAGATAGAATAAACCCTGATTTGGATAGGATGTAGTGTTGTCTTCCTGGATCGCTATTCTATCTGTTCTATTGTAACAAGTTAAAGGTATATGATGTACATATATCCAGCAACATGTATATGCCAGTAAAATATTTGTATGTGTATTTCCGCCCACAACCATGTCAGTTCTATTTCAACGTCATTTGTCCCTGTTTTTAAGTCACAGTTAACACATAGTAAATGGGGAGACAATACTAATTATATAAATAACTTATACAAATTAAAGCAAATTTTGCTGTCTTTGTGTTAACTTAAGTTATATGGTTGGTATTTTCAATCATATTCTCATGTCTTATATTGAAGCTTTGTCAAAAGGAGGTAACCGTGGTGATAGAGGATGATGGGACAACAGTTTGTGAGGATTCCTTTTTCAAAAAGCTGCCATCTCAGACAGTATTTGTCTTCCTTCAGAAAGGAGAGCGATGGAGGGGAGGTAATTCAATCTTCAGATGAAAATTTTGTATTCAAGATCTATGAAAGTTTTTAGTATGATTATGACAGTATCAACGAGTTTGAGTAGATAGACACAGTATTAATCTGTCACCTTTCTAAGATTCGTATAACACTCTTTTTGAATGTTCCTTCATCAAAATCAAAGTATATATTGGGATAGAAGCATCAGGTAGTTAAAATGTTTTATATTGCCTTGATATACCGGTATCATTGTTCAATGTTTGACATTTGTGACCATTTTTCCAGCTGGAGCCTTAATACATGATGCCTTGAGCAAGCTGTACTGTACTGCTAGGAAAAACGAGATTGCAGGACAAATTCGTGAACTCCTGCAGGGAGAAGATGCTCCTGAAAAAATTCACATTATCTCTCAATATCTTGAGATGATGCAGACTAACACAGACTGCGAGGAGCGATATGAGGATGAGGACTGGTTTGAAGGTAAATTATCTCCTTTGATAGCTAGCTTTAAATAGCATGTTTTTGTTCAACATTATACCATGCTATAACTGAAATTACACTACAGTTCTGTGATAGAAATATTTTTGAAACATGTTATGATACCTATTGAGTATGATATAAACACTGACTTTTTGTTTTTCTAAAGAATTGTCATCAGTTTAGAAGTTTATTAGAATTTTATTGTTTATCCTCAGGTCTAAACAAAAAGTACAAGAATAAAAGTGAGGTGATGAGACACAGTGCCCAGACTAGACTTCGTAGCTACTTCACAACGGTAGGTGTACCAACAATAATATAATTCAAACTTCTTTCTGTCACAACAATTGCAGAACAATTTACCTGGGGGAAATGTATGTGCAGGGACAAGTGACCCCAAACTTTTAACATCCTTGCTAAGTGAAAAGCGAGTTCTTTACCATTAATATGGGCAAGGTCAAAATGTTTAGCCCACCATCATCAGATGGTCCATGGTCTGTCATCTGACATCTGTCTATAACAATATTTGTCATCGCTATTTCTTGAGAAGTACTCTATGGATCTTTCTCAAGTTTCATATAAAATTGGCCTTGGTACCGAGTTGTGCCTGTGTAATTTTGGGATTGATCAGAAATACAAAATGGGAACAGGTGGTCATCTTGGATTTTGCCTAGTAAAGTTTATTATCACTATTTCTAAGAAGTACTGAATGAATCTCTGTAGGTTCTCCATGGTCCCTAGTGCCCGTTTTGGGACTGATCAGAAAAACAAAATGGCTTCCAGCTGACCATCTTTGATTTGGCAGTTAAGAATTATTATACATCCCACAATGGGTATATTGGAATCGCCCTGTCAGTCTGTCTGACCATCCGAACGTCTGCCTGTCCAAAATATTGTGTCAAGTACATCCTAAAAAAGTACTGAAACAGTATTTTTCAAACTTGGCATACTACATACTTCTGATATATAATTGTGCCCTTTCATTTTTCATTTAAAGTTGATCAAATGCTACAGCTTATCATAGCCTATAGTTTGACATATTAAGTGCTCCAAAACCATTAACCATGGAAACACTTTGGAGGCTTCTGATTGGTCAAAATTAAGATATTATCTGATTAAGTTGAAAATTGGTATAAAAAGATTTAGGAGGATGACAAAAACAATGGTACCAGTTTTGTTTCCATTTGGTTGCCATGGTGACCAAAAGAAGACCACTTGAAGGAATCTTGTTAGGACAATCCTTCCAAAACTATTGTTAATAAGGTAGTTGGGGTGGGAGTATTATTGGTGCTTGGTCCTAATTAACAGACATACCTACCTTTGTGGGAACATTTCTATAGTGCTAAGTCCTAATTAACAGACATACCTACCTTTGTGGGAACATTTCTATAGTGCTTAGTCCTAATTAACAGACATACCTACCTTTGTGGGAACATTTCTATAGTGCTAAGTCCTAATTAACAGACATACCTACCTTTGTGGGAACATTTCTATAGTGCTAAGTCCTAATTAACAGACATACCTACCTTTGTGGGAACATTTCTATAGTGCTTAGTCCTAATTAACAGACATACCTACCTTTGTGGGAACATTTTTCTTGGTGCTTGGTCCTAGATGAAATAAGAGATATATTTAAGTGTTATGGAATACATAGAATTATGGATATGACTTTTAATCAACATTACATTTGTTTCTTAAACAGTCCAATCTCAAATTTCTGCTATCAAAATTCTAGAATATCGTTTACGATATACATCTCCAGGAACCCCTAAGGTATACAAGTATTGACTGATGATAAAAGATAATTCTCCATCATATATAATTGAAACCTTTCCCTGGTGCCATGTTCCAATTAACAGACACCCATTCCTATACACACAGTAATGGCCCTTTACCACCTACATTCATAATTATATCCATTTCCCCGATATCCAAAGCTATGACCCTAATCCACCTATATACATAGTTATTGCCCTTTCCCACCTATATATATAGTTATGGCCCTTTCCCTTTTATATACATAATTATTGCCCTTTTGCCATACTTATTCATGGTCCTTTGTTTTTCTTTTTATTGCCTTTTATTAAATGTTATATTTAGCTGAAAATTAAAAGTTAAGATGCATGGTATCATCTCAGGAATAACACTTTTACTGGAGGAAACCATGTTTAGAAAAAGGCTGATTGGTTTACTAATGTAACGAACATTTATGCTGTTTCCTGTGACATATGTCAACATCTGCTTCTTAAGTTTTTGTGAAAAGTTTTTAAAATGTTTATAAATTCACATGTATACATCTTACATCTCTTCTATATGGCATATGCTTTTAAATGCTTTTTTTAATTAATAGGAAATAAACTTTTTTTCCATGAATACTGAGTTAAAAGGCTTTGCTGTGAATATTGGAAACATCTGTAGGACTTATCTGTAGGACATATCTGTAGGACACGTCTGTAGGACATATCTGTAAGACTTATCTGTAGGAAACATCTGTAGGAAACATCTGTAGGACTTATCTGTAGGAAACATCTGTAGGAAACATCTGTAGGACATATCTGTAGGAAACATCTGTAGGAAACATCTGTAGGACTTATCTGTAGGAAACATCTGTAGGAAACATCTGTAGGACTTATCTGTAGGAAACATCTGTAGGAAACATCTGTAGGAAACATCTGTAGGACATATCTGTAGGAAACATCTGTAGGACTTATCTGTAGGAAACATCTGTAGGACATATCTGTAGGACATATCTGTAGGACTTATCTGTAGGACATATCTGTAGGACTTATCTATAGGACATATCTGTAGGACTTATCTGTAGGACATATCTGTAGGACTTATCTGTAGGACTTATCTGTAGGACATATCTGTAGTACATATCTGTAGGACATATCTGTAGGACATATCTGTAGGACATATCTGTACAACGATCACTTAATTATTCAAATTTACAATAGTCTGGTGTACATTTTACGGAGACATTGTTCAAATCTTTGCATTTTCCCCCTTTTCCATCAAATCAGGAGTAGAGATATATTTATATTTATTAAACATAAGTTTGGGGTTTTTTTTCAGTTAAATTGTGATATATCATTAAAAAACAAAAACTCCATATCTGTTATTATTTAATTTGAACATTAAACTAAGAGAATTTTACTTTTTGATATCGCTGCTGCTGCTGCTGAAATTTAATTGATTGGTTTTGTTGTGTATGATATCAGGACCTGATCTAAATTATTGGTATTTTCAGGCAAAAGACCAGATAGAGAAAGAATCTGCTGGAGAATATAAAGATCTCTTACTCACCAGTCTAGACGATGTTCTTAACAAACTCAAACGCAATGACTTTCATGCAACTTACTTTGACCGAACAGCTGGCGCCAAGTTGCGGCTTTGTGACAAGAAGGGCTGGTTTAAATGCGAAGGTCCATTTGACAGTGAATCATGTGACAAATATCACACCATTAACCCATACGCCTCTAAGGGTTACCGTCAGTTGTTCGGCCTATGGAATTTGGATCACATGCAAGTATCCCACTGAATGGTCTGCCACTTCGGCCACGAATCCATTCCTGATAATAAAACATACGACTCTTCATTGTAATACCTTGGGTGTCATTAAGTGATTGAGCCAATCATTCAGACCTGAGTTACAGCAGTGTACCTATCAGACAAAGGAAACCCTATTCTACCTCTGTGTATTTGCTGAAGTAATGTTACCCGAGAGTTTTATAATTGGGATTCACTTTTAGTGCTAGGGTTCAGACCTGTCCTGATAGATACTAGAAATATATACCAGATATATATATTACAATGGATGGTCATACTTATATAAAATTAACAACCTGCTGAGGGCCAACTATTGATCTGGTGCCATAAATATCACATTATATATTTATATCTTCTATAACATTGTTTTCATTAGCCTAACATTGTGTCGTGTAAAGTAATGTGATAGTCCAGGTGATCTAAAGGTTTATCAGACGTCTAGTTTAAGGTCATTCCACCTAAAGGATCAGGATAAAGTGACAGTCATTCATCTATCCATGACCTCCATCTGCTATGCATAAACTTTTCACATTTGGATTTTCTAAGGACCAGCTGAAGGATTTAAGTGAAAGTCTCCTGGGGGTGTGGGCCATTAAGACCTGGGGATGTGGACCATTAAGACCGGGGTGTGGACCATTAAGACCTGGGGGTGTGGACCATTAAGACCTGGGGTGTGGACCATTAAGACCTGGGGGTGTGGACCATTAAGACCTGGGGTGTGTGACCTAGGGGTGTGGGCCATTAAGACCATTAAGACCTTGGAGTGTGGACCATTAAGAACTGGGGGTATGGACCATTAAGACCTGGGGTGTGGACCATTAAGACCTGGGGGTGTGGACCATTAAGAACTGGGGGTGTGGACCATTAAGACCCGGGGATGTGGACCATTAAGACCTGGAGTGTGGACCATTAAGACCTGGGGTGTGGACCATTAAGACCTGGGGATGTGGACCATTAAGACCTGGGGTGTGGACCATTAAGACCTGGGGGTGTGGACCATTAAGAACTGGGAGTGTGGACCATTAAGACCTGGGGTGTGGACCATTAAGACCTAGGGTGTGGACCATTAAGAACGGGGGGTGTGGACCATTAAGACCTGGGGATGTGGACCATTAAGACCTGGGGTGTGGACCATTAAGACCTGGGGGTGTGCCATTAAGACCTGGGACCATTAAGACCTGGGGATGTGGACCATTAAGACCTTGGGGTGTGCCATTAAGACCTGGGTGTGTGGACCATTAAGACCTGGGGGTGTGCCATTAAGACCTGGGGATGTGGACCATTAAGACCTGGGGGTGTGGATCATTGAGACCTGGGGGTGTGGGCTTCTTGTTCGACAATTCTTAGGAAATCAAAGTATATTGTACCAGCAATGGCAAAGCTTTGGCCGATGTTGGAAACAATTCACTGGTCTTTTTAAAATGTAATACTTAATTGTTGTAGATGTGTTATAACATGTATCAAATAGTCATATTAAGGGAAATCATCTTTTTAAACTTTATTAGACACACTCTGTAAAATTGATTCACCTAATTTGGATATGGGACTTTGATGTATCATTGGATGAAGATATTTCTTCCCTGCTTTGCTGATTGGCAAATAATTTTTCAATGAAAGGAATTGTATTACCAATCTACAACTGTAGATCAGTTATATTTGAACTTCACTATTGATATGAGAACTGTCTCCACTCCAACTCTGATAACATCACTATGATCACAGGAACAATGGCATTCAGTCAAAATTCTGTAAAAATCTACTTTTTCATTTTGGAATTGAGAAAGAATTAGATTAAGAGAATAAAGAACTGGTCAGTATTAGTTAAAAAAAATTTAGATTATATCAGTTTAGTTCCCACTCTTCTATGGTGAAGATATGACATGAATGGAAACAGATTTTCTGGTTTTGACACCAAATGGTGGAATTTGTGCCAAGCTAAATAAACCCATTGTACAGTATTCTTTAAGAATGGAACTGGTAAAGCTAGTGAGAACCTTGTTCATAAGAATATCATTTACCAGTCTATCAGAATTTTGTATCATGTTACACACTTATAGAACAGTTAAACATATATGAGTATATGTATGTCACTTATGATAATTTCATTTTTGTATTACAGAATAGAGAAATCAAGGGAGGTAATACCGATGTACATAGAGGCAGCAAAGAATGTACCCAAGGGGAAAGAACTAAACCATCATCATCTCTATAGTCTCCTGTTTACCCGACAAAATCTCAAACTGGTTCAGGTTGGCTGTCACAAGAAAGCTGCTCGTAGCTCTGGGAACTGTTCCTGGCATGATTTTGTGCAATGAATTTTTTCACCAACAGCTCTGATAAATTGGCAGGCTTACAAGACTTACCATCAATCATCATAGACAATTTGACGTGCGGGATCTCAGTTTGAATACTTCAAAGTGAGATCTTTTGTTTATGTGACTACATTATATTTCATGTGAAATATAGGGGTGTTTTATTGTACAATAAGTTAGTTAATTTAATTTTATCTTTATGATCTCATTTTATCCCACTGAAATCTGCAATCATGTAATATTATGCAGATCTTTAATCCTGTAAAAAGGAAAGAACTTTCATTTGGATCCCAATCCTAGACAGCTCTTGTTTTCTGATATTTTTGGTATATATATTGACATAAAAGCTATCCTGTATATGTTATAAGTGTGACACAATCAAGTTTTGTTTATCACTTTCTGGTAAATAAGTGCACATCTACCACAATTACTTTGTCAGCAGCATATAGAAGTGAAATCCGTACAATCTGATATTAGTGTTACACTTTCAGCATGACAACACTGAAGTTAAATCACTGCTAAAACGATGTATGTTAACAGTATTTCTGTGCTTTTTCAGCTCCTTGGAGCTTAATCCTTTTATTCTTCAGGAGTGTAATTTGACTTGTTCTACCCAATACATGAACAAACTTCCAAAATGACTGAAGTGTGTTAGGAATACCATATGAGGTCATTTATTTGCAATTTCATTTTTTCTTTTTCTTCTTTTTTTCCCCCCAACAAGCTGTAAGTTTTTTTGAAATCTTTTAAATCCTCCTAAATAATTACCTTGCAGAAGTACTTGACTTGAATGGCATGTTATTAAATATCAAATTATCAGATTTAGTTTGAAAACAGTAACTGAGTTGTGTAATACAGATGTCATGTTACAATCTGAATTGTTGAGGTTGTTTTTCTTTTATTTTTTTTGTATGATTTTATAAATATTGGATTTTCCCAGACACCTGTGGCATTAAATGAACATGTTAAATTTTTATATCTAAATATAAACAGTTTTTCTCATATGTCTTGTGTAAATGGAACTGTTTTTAATTGATCGTTAAGATGATCAGGATTGGTGCTAATTGTTGCTCTGATTTTCTTGTCTTTAAGCAGATACAGGGACATGTTTGGAAGGGAGATTTCACTGAGTCAAATGTTCAAGTTCGAGATTGATCTAGCTTTTCTTTTCAAATTATATAGCAGAATCTAAAACAATGTATGTAAGTTCAATCTGGACTAACATAACAATATACTTTTAAAGTACACGTTACCATTGTGAGGCTGGGCCTTGTGTTAATGATATCTGTTCCTGTCCTGATTTTTGTGTGATCTTACACAGAATTATTTATCTTATTAGTGCAATATGTCAAAAGATGTTTTTATTTTGATATATTTTTATAATCATCTTTTGAAAGATACTGAAAACATTTCCGGTGTGATGTATAATTTTTCATCTGCGATATTTTTAAATAATTTTAATGTTTTTGAAAAGTGATAAAGAATTAATGATAAATGTACATGTACTTGTACATTATACCTGTTGACCTTGACTTACCAGTATATATATTGTCTGATCACCTGGGGTGTGTACACATTGTAAGTTCTCAGTAGATAAAATGTACATTATACCTGTTGACCTCGACTTACCAGTATATACATTGTCTGATCACCTGGAGTGTGTACACATTGTAAGTTCTCAGTAGATAAAATGTACACAAGAAGAAATCATTGTAAATGTACATGAATCAAGATTAAAAAGAAGCTGTTATTTAATATTAATTTAAATCTATACAACGTTTTGATGTCCAGTTATGTTTCCAAATTTCCTCGTACACATCGCAAGGAAAAGCATTATTGACATTTGATAGCATATGTAACATACCACAGCACTGACAATTTTGTAGCTGTCAGCAGGACTATTACATTCCTCGTACATAAAGACAATGTGATAAAAGTTATATAAGACTTTCTGCCTGTTAATGGTGTTTTTGAAACTGCTTCACAAGTAAATGTATATAAGTCTGTATGTGTTGATTTCCTGTATAATTTCATGTAAATTCCTCTCCATTTTTCTAATAGGCACACTCCAACTTACTCCCCTCTTCAAAAAGTCAAAAACGATAAGCAGAACTAGTCCAGAAGTCAAAAACAAAATAACCAGCCCGTTAGTGACAATAGTATCACAGAAATATCTGTATGATCAAGGTTAATATCCAGTACAACTGCCTTACAATTTTTGTCTTTTGTTCTCTTAAAATCCTCCTCATTTAGAAATGTTAATCTCCAGGGTGTTTAATTGATTAGATGTGGAAAATCCACAAGGTGAGAAAGAAGTCTGATAGTGTGTGTAATTCTGTGTGGCTGTATACCTGTATATGCCTTTAATGCATCTAAACTTATAGATTTTAAATTACATATCAATAAAGTACTGATTGATCAATGATTCTGTTTTGTGATCTGTGATATATATACCAACAACAGACAAATCTTGGTTTTAGTTTAATTGGTACTACTAAACATGGTGCTATGTATGTATATGTACAGAAAAAAGCAGTTATAGTTTCTGTAGTTACCCTAGAAACAGATTCTGCAATTTGATGATGAAATCAGATAGTTACATTGGTACAAATTACTAGATCTCACTAAACCTCCTAACTGACCTTAATTTCAAATACAGATTTCATGTTATTAATTGGTTTTGAACGATGAAGCTGATGACTTCTAAGCAAATGAACAGAATTACTGCTTCATGTGTATTTGTAGGCCACCATCTTTACATTACCAAGGTTCCATCGTCTGACATTTATTAGCCCACCATCTAATAGATGATGGGTTATTCAAATCGCCCTGCGTCCATGGTCCGTGGTCCGTCCGTCCGTCCGTAAACAATTCTTGTTACCGCTATTTCTGGAAAAGTACTGGATGGATCTTTCTCAAATTTCATATGCAGGTTCCCCTTGGTCCCTAGTTGTGCATTGTACCTTTTTTGGACCGACAGGCAGCCATCTTGGATTTTGGAAGTAAAAGTTTGTTACTGCTATTTCTTGGAAAGTACTGGATGGATCTTTCTCAAATTTCATATGCAGTTTCCCCTTGGTCCCTAGTTGTGCACTGTACCTTTTTTGGACTGATTCGAATTCAAGATGGCCGACAGGTAGGCCATCTTGGATTTTGGATGTAAAAGGTTGTTACCGCTATTTCTTGGAAAGTACTGGATGGATCTTTCTCAAATTTCATACGCAGGTTCCCCTTAGTCCCTAGTTGTGCATTGTACCTTTTATGGACTGATTCGAATTCAAGATGGCCGACAGGTAGCCATCTTGAATTTTGGAAGTAAAAGTTTGTTACTGCTATTTCTTGGAAAGTACTGGATGGATCTTTCTCAAATTTCATATGCAGTTTTCCCTTGGTCCCTAGTTGTGCATTGTACCTTTTTTGGACTGATTCGAATTCAAGATGGCCGACAGGTAGCCATCTTGGATTTTGGATGTAAAAGGTTGTTACCGCTATTTCTTGGAAAGTACTGGATGGATCTTTCTCAAATTTCATACGCAGGTTCCCCTTAGTCCCTAGTTGTGCATTGTACCTTTTATGGACTGATTCGAATTCAAGATGGCCGACAGGTAGCCATCTTGGATTTTGGAAGTAAAAGTTTGTTACTGCTATTTCTGGGAAAGTACTGGATGGATCTTTCTCAAATTTCATATGCAGTTTTCCCTTGGTCCCTAGTTGTGCATTGTACCTTTTTTGGACTGATTCGAATTCAAGATGGCCGACAGGTAGCCATCTTGGATTTTGGATGTAAAAGGTTGTTACCGCTATTTCTTGGAAAGTACTGGATGGATCTTTCTCAAATTTCATACGCAGGTTCCCCTTAGTCCCTAGTTGTGCATTGTACCTTTTATGGACTGATTCGAATTCAAGGTGGCCGACAGGTAGCCATCTTGAATTTTGGAAGTAAAAGTTTGTTACTGCTATTCCTGGGAAAGTACTGGATGGATCTTTCTCAAATTTCATATGCAGTTTTCCCTTGGTCCCTTGTTGTGCGTTGTACCTTTTTTGGACTGATTCGAATTCAAGATGGCCGACAGGTAGCCATCTTGGATTTTGAATGTAAAAGTTTGTTACTGCTATTTCTTGGACAGTACTGGATGGATCTTTCTCAAATTTCATATGCAGGTTCCCTTTGGTTCCAAGTTGTGCATTGTACCTTTTTGGACCGACAGGCAGCCATCTTGGATTTTGGAAGTAAAAGTTTGTTACTGCTATTTCTTGGAAAGTACTGGATGGATCATTCTTAAATTTCATATGCAGGTTCCCCTTGATCCCTAGTTGTGCATTGTACCTTTTATGGACTGATTCGAATTCAAGATGGCAGACAGGCAGCCATCTTGGATTTTGGAAGTAAAAGTTTGTTACTGCTATTCCTGGGAAAGTACTGGATGGATCTTTCTCAAATTTCATATGCAGTTTTCCCTTGGTCCCTTGTTGTGCTTTGTACCTTTTTTGGACTGATTCGAATTCAAGATGGCCGACAGGTAGCCATCTTGGATTTTGAATGTAAAAGTTTGTTACTGCTATTTCTTGGACAGTACTGGATGGATCTTTCTCAAATTTCATATGCAGGTTCCCTTTGGTTCCAAGTTGTGCATTGTACCTTTTTGGACCGACAGGCAGCCATCTTGGATTTTGGAAGTAAAAGTTTGTTACTGCTATTTCTTGGAAAGTACTGGATGGATCTTTCTCTAATTTCATATGCAGTTTCCCCTTGGTCCCTATTTGTGCGTTGTACCTTTTTTGGACTGATTCGAATTCAAGATGGCCGACAGGTGGCCATCTTGGATTTTGAATGTAAACGTTTGTTACTGCTATTTCTTGGACAGTACTGGATGGATCTTTCTCAAATTTCATATGCAGGTTCCCTTTGGTTCCAAGTTGTGCATTATACCTTTTTGGACTGATCCGAAATCAAGATGGCTGACAGGCAGCCATCTTGGATTTTGAGAGTAAAATCTTGTTATTGCTATATCTGAGGAAGTCCTGGAT